GCGACCGTAATGGCGTACGAGCACCACTCATAGAAGTCCACCACATTGTCTGGTTGCGAGGCCAACTCATCAATAACTGTGTTGAGAACAGCGATCATCTTCCCATTCATTTGATCCAGCCCGCTACCTAAGAGCGGCGGGTGCATGGAGTCTGCGGTTTGCAGCCCCAGGCCCTGACCTCCAGACTCTTTGTCCCGGAGAAGCTGCATCCCGCGACCGCTAACACCTGCCCCATTCTCGGCGACATTGGCGAACAACGGGCCCAGTGACATTGCGTTGCGGCTCCGTCGCACTGCAGAGACCAGCTCCGGCGATGCAATGATGCAGACCTTCGTATAGAGCATGTCCATCGTAAAGGCAGGGAGGCGGTTTTTGCGGCTTTAGCAGTCAGCGCGTTGGCTCTGTCCAATGACGAAGTGACGCGCGCAACGCACCTCATAATCGCAAAGTACTCGAGGCCATAGTACAGGAATGACACCAGATGACCGACCAGCGGAATGGCGCTGGAGACCGCAGGTGGTTCCCGGGGATCCAATTTCCTTCGCTGGACGAAAAAGAAGATGGATGCCAGGAGAGCCACCAGGAGGGTGAACCCGATGACGGAGGGTATGTCCGACATCCTTCGGTGGAAGATTGATTATTGGTTATTGTTCATGGGGATATGTATTTATTTGAGGGAAGGTCTGGTTGTGTATGCAAGGCCAAAGCCGACCCATGACGCGAGATGGCTTGACCGCTGACCGCCAAAACACATGTCACTGACCAGGAATTACTAATAAGCGGAACAAGAGCTTAGTTGACTAACTAGTTCAAGTTAGTTAAGTTCATTGGAATAGTTAGTTTGTATTATTCTCCACTACTGTATATCTTCAGTACTTTCGAAGTATTTTTCAAGTAGTTATTATATCCTTAATATTCTGAGATTTTTAGAATTTTTCTAGTATATATGTGACGGTGTACGAGGCCTTTGACCAAGTAGCTAAAGTTATCATATCCATTAAGGAGGTCACGGGATCATTTAGTTGGTAACTATGGGATTACCTAATCTAAGCACCGTTCCCCTATTAGTTAGTGCTACACGTGCAACGCGCGCCCAGATCAAGTCCAGTCAGTACCGGAGTTCATCGCACCTCCGTGTGCATATATGTGCGTCTGCTGTATCGCAGAACGCTTAACCTACAGCTGTCAGTGCTGGCAAAGCTTGGTTTGTATTCCCTATCTTGTCTCCTTGCGGTATATGCCTCGGTCGAGAGACGGTACTATCATTATGTAACATTACGGAACTTGGTGGATTTGCTTCAGTCCGAATAGTCCATGCAGAGTTCGTCGAATTCTTCCAATAGTCTACAGAGGATAGACTACCTGGAACTATCCAAGGCATAAAGAGTCTTGTTAATGCCCCACTGGCCGTTTTCTTGTGCTGTATGATCTATATCCACAACGGATGCTGATCCAGTGGGTCTCTATACACAGTCCGTGCGTGTGATCTGCGCGGGTCACCACGAAGAATGGTTCCCATCCTGTCGTCGAACAGTACGTAGGAAAACGTCCCTAGGGATAAGTGGAAGTTCAGACAGAAGTATCAGTCACTGTAAAACGATCCATGCCGAAATTGTAGGTCTCATGCCTCGATTGTACAGAATCTCCTCAACTCGTTGCTTGAGTGTCCATATATATATGTATAGATAGCCCTTGTTGCTTCATAGAGCGATCAAGCTCACCCTTAAACATTTCCCCATCATGCATAAAAACAGCACAGGCTTGCACCTGGACATTGTATAGTCATTCGCTATGTAGTATTAATTGAATATACTACTTAGATTTATGTCTAAAACCTCGATAAGGATAAACGCAAACCTTGTGGCAGACATTGATGGACGTCGCGGAAATGTGAATAAGATGGACAAACCGGTAAGTATTCAGCCACTAGAAGAGAACCCGTGGTCTTTACATAGTCAGAGCTTCGAAGGGGACTCACAAATGGATTATGCAACCCGACGGTATAAAACTTGCTATAGAGGACACGAGTAAAAAGCGGAGATTCATCCTGGATTCGAACGCATGGCCAAATTTCCGAGGGGGAACGAAACTAGGGTAGGATGCAGCACGTGGGTAGATTTGATCACAGGACTCAATTAATTTGAATTTTCTTCGGATATTAAACTTCATATTATCTCAATTTATTTCGTACCCTCGCTTTGATTCTGGGGCGTTCCATGAATTGGGGATCGAAATTGCATTATACGAGATCTAGAATATGGGGGCATATTCGCCGAAACCTAACTGCAATCATATTGGCCCCCCAGAAAGGGGTGATATTGAACAGGAATCGTATATTCTGCGGTATTCTGTCACCACGAGAGTATATACAGAGTACCCCCTACCACTGTCCAGGAAGGCTTGTCGCAGGTTCAACGACACCGGTAGATATTAAGCACTAGGATTGGGGGCCAAAGCGCCCCACGATCTCAGATCTCTTGGAACATCCGAGGCAAGTAATTTCCGGCCCCACATGGAAGACTTTGCACCAGCACAAAACCCGGCAAATAGGGTTCAAACATGAATCATGGCTCAGCTCTGGAATGCATCGGGAGGCGTCCGAGCTCGCCACTTGCGAGAGGGACTCTCAGAAACCAATTGGTTCACTCGCCCTGGCCTTGCAGCTAAAGAGTATAAGAGTTTGGGGTCCCTGAGTCGGGATACGAGAGGGCCATGCCAGGCAACTCGGCAAGAAATTAAAACAGTTCAAGGATGAAGAAATGAAGTGAGGGACAAAAGGAATGTCGGTATTTACGGAGTATGCTTCGGCATTGCCGTGAATGCCTCCCAAAAGCCTGGACCCAAGGTCCGAGAAAGCAGGATTGATTCAAACGGCCAACGGTAGCGAGCAGCCCGGTTCTCTGATTGACTCAATCAGCTTCCCATCTGTGAGCCACGGACTCCACTTACCACATGGTCTCGAAGCTGATGAGGTGGATCGAACCACGCGAGACCTTCCGATCGTGGGTCTCGCCCCGAAAGGCGTAGACATTGGGTAAGAATCTTTTTTTACACCGTAGCAACCCAGTCTGATTTTAAGACAACTCGAACTCCTCTTTCCATCCTCTTCTCAGGCACCACCTGTGCGGATAAAACCACCAGGGACTATGACTTCATGAAGCCCTAAGTCTGCGGCAGTTGTCTACCTGTGTGGCGCCTCCGGATATTGAATCAACTGTGCGTAGCAACCGTCAGCCAGGGGGACTCATGATGGCCGAAGATCGAAGCTTAGAGGTCCGAGCAGTTGCGGCGGTCTTTCTGGCATTAGCTACAGTGGCTACGGCTCTCCGATGCTATGTACGCCTGGTGATTGTGAAGGCATTCGGCTGGGATGATGTCATCATGTTATTGGCGTTGGTACGTCTTTGTTGCCATAGGTGAACGGGAGTTTCAAAATGCATTTCTGACACTTTTTTCTGTTGGAACAGGGTTTCTTTGGCATGTTTTCCGGGTGCATGATCGGTGGAAGCCTATACGGGACCGGAAGGCACCTTACTGAACTAACAGATCATCAGAGAACAACCGCCATGGAAGTAAGCTTCTTCTGCCGGGCTTCCTAGACTGAGAGGTATCCTATGGTGCTAACAGTATACGTAGTACTGGTTCTTATGTGATGTTGCCTACTGCCTCTCGTCCATACTGTGCAAGATCTCCGTCGGCATATTCCTCCTGCGTGTCACCGTGGACAAAATTCAACGGGCCGTGATATATGTGGTCACCACTTTGGCGGTGATATTTGGATTGATGTTTTGGATCCTCCTTCTCGCCCAGTGTAAACCAGTGGAGTTTTTCTGGATGCGATTATCTACGGAAAATCCAGTTTCCGGGTCCTGTATCAACATGACCGTGGTCATCGTGGCTCTGTATATCTTCAGCGCGGTGTCCTTTATCTTTGACCTGACGGTTGGCGTTTTGCCCGTGTTCGTCGTTCGCAATCTGCAGATGCGTCGCGATCTGAAGTTTGCCGTCGCCGGTCTTCTAGGCATGGCCTGCATGTATGTCACCACAACGTCCTCGACCGTCCACCAACGTAGTCTTCTAACACGCATATTTTAGTGCTTCCGTCGCAGTTCTTGTCCGGATGGCATACGTCGAGACACTTCGAAACCCAGACTTCCTATGTAAGTCTTCCTGCAATCTCCTCATACCGTGCCTTGTCGCATGGTTGGAGCACTCTGATACGAACACCTACTGACGTTTATTCTCCAGACGCCACCGTTGGTATCGCAGTGTGGTCCAACATTGAAACCGGCCTGGGAATCTTTGCCGGTAGTCTGGCGACCCTCCGCCCTCTGCTACGAATGATCCGTCCGGGAACCGGTCGATCATATAACAAAAATACTCCCTCGACTCCAGGATCGCGTACGTGGCCGAACTCGTCGTTCCGGCGGAGCAACGCCCTGCCGCTCTCGTCTCTCATGACCACGGAAGAGGAGCGACAGAATAGGCTAAAAGGAAATGTGCGTGCGAGTACACCCATCGAGACTGGACCGGGGATGACGTCGTCGAGTGTTGGAACTGAAGATGAACTATCAGATCACGAGTTGATCCTACCAAAGGATTCAGAATACCAGTATCAGATCAATGTGCGGCGTGATTTTCACATCACGAGCAGTGAAAGCCCGGTTTGAGATGGGCAAGTGAAATACTATGAAGCCATCAGATACGAATGATCATGAATTTCATATCAACGTAAACCATGCTGACGCGTATGCGCTCGTAGCTACCAGGTCGTGCTCACACCCCATAGTATAGAGGAAAGTTCCAGGGATACTTGTCTCCGTCCGCTGACATACATTACTGCCAGTGTTGTATTCAAGCCAGATACAACAAGCGACTGTGTATTATCTCGCCATGAATGAACAGTCGACGTGTCTATAAATGAAATCTACCAAGTGCCTATGTTTTGAAGATGGTCTATTCGTATATGTACCGACTAACCTATAAAGCCCTAGCGAGCATTACTCAACCGGTCCAGAAATCAGTGAATTGCTCCAGAATTCTGGAATAACAAGCTGGGGCGAGTGCAGGACGAAGCTGACCACAACCACAAGGAATACCAGTATCCACCAGGCAGAAGGTCTTCTTTTCTTTCGACTCCACTGCAACCATCCAGGCCCACTGCGCGATGGAACAGGGAGAAAGCAAATTATAGGACTATCAGCAATGGACTTCGAAGCTAGATCCACCGGGAGTCTTGTCATATAGGGCACTATATATCGTGCAAGCAGGGATTTAATGATTCCGTCTCGTGCATGGAGCCGGACCAAGAACCGGGAATCTTGGTAGATCTTGTTGACACGGCTGAAGCGCTCGGACTGGAACTCATGAAGAAGCTTTTCAAGCGCTGGCCGTAGGAGTTTCTTCTGCCCATTCTTCGAGAGCCTATCATACAACAGATTGGTTAAGACTGCGGCGTCTTCGATTGCAGTATTCGCTCCTTGTCCGATATTTGGCGTCATCTACTACGGTGTTATGTGAAGCTCTCCAGTAATGCTAGGGCTATTGATCTTACCTTGTGAATGCTGTCACCAATACAAACGATGCGGTCCACATGCCAGGTATCAAAGACATTCTCCTCTAATGCTGTTATAGACGTGACTTCCCTGTTCTCCCAGACCTGGCCGAAAGTGGCCCCGTTCACCAGTGGGAAGTGCGCGACTTGCTCACATGTACGTACTGCATCGGCACTCGAAAATCTCACCATGTCCGGGTACGTGTAGGTGTTGTCCAATTTCTTGATCACGAACCAGAAAACCCGTCCGCTTTTCCCATGGATGGTGATAATAGTCAGGCCATCATGGAATGCATTCACTTGGTCTCCGAGGTTTAAGCCTGGAACGGGCGACGAGATACCGAACACACAGGCGTATTCGACTTTCATGCCTTTCATCGAGCAAATCAGTCAGAGGTTGATTGACACCGGGGAATCAGGGAATACAGCACAGAATTACTTACTTCTCTTTTCTCGCTGCGACACCCGTCCAGGCCCCAGCGCGTCCGCCAATTTCCACATCTCAGCGCGGACAACGCTATGGACACCGTCGGCACCGACCACTAGGTCCCCAGTATACACCTGTCCGGAGATTGTGACAACTTCAATATGACTATCTAGCCGTCGAATATGCGTCACTCGACAGTTTGTATGGATATTTATCGGGTCAGGGTATGATTTGTGCAAAATCTCGAGGAATTTCTGTCGATCTAGAAATGCAATGGGATACCCGAATCTGATTTCCACCAGAACGATCTTGTCAGCTAGTTCTACTACCTGACTCTATCACTTGGCCATGAACCCGCTATATTACTGACCTTTCATAAACGGCTTTAGGATAATTGCTACGGAAAGAAAACCCGTCGGGGTATGTGATAGTAGCCATGCGGAGAGGGTAGGTCATCTTCTCCACAGCATCAAAGAGCCCCAATTGATCTAGGATACGTCCCCCATTGGGGACAATACCAATTGATGCCCCCACCTGTGGAGAGAGATCTGAATTCTTCTCGAGGACAACATGGTCTATTCCTGCCTGATGGAGACAGTGCGCCAGGGTGAGTCCAGCGATAGATCCCCCAACAATAATCACTTTGAAGCGATCGTTATCACACATAACGGAAAGTACACAGAAGGTATTGACGCAGAGAATGAACGCCTGTTAAGGTCAGAAAATACAGAGTACTCTACGCTCAAGCGTCGTGGGACAATGAACAATGAGAGGGTGAATAGCAGACAAGGAGCTACCCAAGCCGTCACCCAAGGGCTACCTGTGTCTCATAGAGGATGGAAGGCATGCGGGTAAGATGTATCACGATGATGCCAGGTCTCTAGGACATTAGGGAAAAGCTCAAACTATGGTTTCTATGGATCTATTGGCGGGGCTGGTCGTAAAACGAGAGCCCTATCATTTGTTTTTTACACTTTTCAGCTCTCACGGTCCCCAGCCAACGGTACAGCATTTATGATCGTCCAGAACTAGCCATTGCAAAAAGAACCACCGGAGAATCGCACCGGCACGGGGTCACTGGATCGAATACGTGGATGCCCTGTCATTGGACTTCGGGATTTCTTATCAGAAACTATTCAAGGAGTCACCATGAAGACAATATCTATATCGGACTTTGGATGAGCGCATTAGGTGAGCCTGTAAAACTCACATCCTAATACGACCACGTCTTACGCATCACTCACCAGTCCAATATGTACAGAGCGAAGACAGAATGCGGGCCCGGCGTTACGAAAATGTATATCTCCCGGGGTCTTCCGAGACCCAGCGGGTTCTTGAACCAACATTATCTAGTGAGACCAATCAACGTAAAGTAGCCACCAAGGATCATATACATCCGGAACCAACGATTGAATGTGAGGCAGCCCTGGTCCAAATGATGATGCCTGTGCTACACAGGATATCGGGCATCCTATCAACCGTCAAGTCCCCCTACTACTGACCGACACGATATGAGCGATATCATGAGTGAGACAAGGGTTCGACGAGTTTTAAAACTGCCCAGCATCCCACAGTAAGCAGGTGATCCTTGTTGCGCGCATTGTGCATACCGTTGGCCTCTTCCGACGTTTTGAAGTAATAAAAAAAATACTATAGGACCTTTCCAGGGGAAAAGAAAAGAAAAGATATTCAAATAGACACAATTAATGGGCTTGCTCGCCACGCGAACGCCCATCACCAGTACGAGTAACGAATCCAATCAATTCCATTGTTCAATCCCGTCTAGGTAATAGAAACACCGAACCAACATTGGCAAGGCGTGGGTTGAAAGCCTGCGATGATGGGGGTTACATATATCAAAGCGTATACGAGCCCCCACGGGTGCCTCCCCTTGTGACGAGCCATGCGACCCTGAGAAGCATTTGGGAGAAGTTGCCCACAAAAAGCCAGTCTTAAATCATTCTCCACTCTAAAACAACATGGCTAATGAGGTATTAGATCATTTGAGCACGAAAATAACAAGGAAGATTGGCATAACTAGGGGGAGAGAATATGCCCACTTATTCGGGGAAAATTAGATTGCCAAGTACATCACGATCCAGTTCATGGCTAGTCTACTTGAACTCTTAATTCTGTAAATTTAGATGATACTGTATACGGCTCCCTTGTAATTCTGGATCACAATGGCATCCTCGCCATCCCATCCGGACGGTCTTTGGGCAATTCGTACATCAATCCGATGTAGCTGGTCGCCCGTCCAGTCCCTATACACATAACCAAGGCATTGACTGTCTATGCTACCTAGTGATATTAAAATTTCAAGAGTTATCAAACATGTCAATGGTACAGCTTGGAATGATACAAAAATGCATGCCTACTGATATAGTTCTCTATTGATCGAGGGGTCTGCGATAGGATCCTAAACTCAAGGATGGCGCGGGGTAATTATGATGGATATGTTAATGGTCCATGATAATCGAAGGATCCCTTGTTAAGTCGCAGAGTAGTCCTCTTTAGATTTGAAATAACTAGATGTTGGCAAAGAATGAGATATGCTGATGTGTGACCCAAATGGCGGTACCCATGTTGCAGCTGAGTCTGCTAGATCAGCTTAACGAATCTCACCTCATGCCTATACAGGGACTACGTTGCATTCGCATCACGTCCCAGTCGGTGCCTGAATGTTAGTGTTACTGGCATCAATGTGCCCCCGGCGATGGTCAGCATAACAGCTAGACATCCGGATTGGCAATTCAGTGAGATGTATGCAAGACGCAAAGCTGGCCGACATTGACGTTACATCTATCCAACATACCGCCGTATATCCAGCGATACCCGCCGCATAGGAAATTAAAGACAAAGAAAACTGCAATACCTTTTACTCTTTGGCTCTCATGCACAGTGATCCTACTACAATCATTGACATCGTTACCATCATGGGCTTCCTGCATGGCTTTCTCTCTCAGCCTACAACCTATGCTATACTGGCCGTGCTGGCTATTCCGGTCACGGCCCTGGCGTGGGACAGACTGCCGGGTTTCGTGCCCTCCGTAAGGAGGTTATTGGTGGGCAAAAGGACTCCCTCTGAGATAACATCATTAGAGTGCCCATACAGTTACATCCGACAGATATACGGAACGCATCACTGGGCACCATTCGTCGACAAACTCTCTCCTAACCTCAAGGCAGAGAGCCCAGCGAAGTACCACATGATCCTTGAGATCATGGATGGAATTCACCTTTGCCTGATGCTTGTTGATGATGTATGCGAGATACTTCCATGAACAGTTCCTTTCCTCACTGATGTTGGCTCGCAGATCAGTGACAACAGTGACTATCGAAAAGGACGCCCTGCTGCCCATTGTATCTATGGTCCCTCGGAGACTGCAAACCGAGCGTACTACCGGGTAACCCAACTACTGAATCGCACGGTGCACGACTTCCCAGAGCTTGCGCCATGGCTGCTGCAATGTCTCGAAGAGATACTAGAAGGGCAAGACCTCTCACTTGTTTGGCGGCGGGACGGTCTCCCTGCCTTTCCCGTTCAGCCAGAGGAGCGCGTAGCGGCATATCGCCAAATGGCATATTTGAAGACTGGTGCCCTCTTCCGTCTGGTCGGACAGCTCGTACTAGAGAACCAATCCTACGATGATACGTTAAGTACTGTAGCGTGAGTCGATCAAGAGAGTCAGTGCTAGGAGAGTATCGCATTAACTCGTCGTCTCCCTAGATGGTATTCCCAATTGCAAAATGATTGCAAAAATGTGTACTCCTCTGACTATGCCAAAGCCAAAGGAGCCATTGCGGAAGACCTACGCAACGGCGAGCTTACTTACCCAATTGTTGTTGCCTTGAATGCTTCTAAAGGACATTGCGTGGTACGAGCGTTGGAGTTTCGATCGCCACATAATATTCGACAAGCGCTGCGAGTGATTCAGAGTGATCAAGTCCGAAATATATGTCTCACAGAAATGAAAAAATCAGCAGTTTCCATCCAGGACTGGCTCGCACTCTGGGGACGAAATGAGAAGATGGACATGAAGAGCGACAAGTGAGTGGGAATAAAACAATGTTACTAGTAACTAGGTGCGATAGTACGGAGATAGTGAGAATAGGTGCTTCTGTGCTTTAGTCTATCAATATCAACCCCAAATTGGTTCGATTGTATTTATTGCCTTGTATAACTTAGATTTCCTCCCTTCTAACCATGTGGACGCCAGGAGCCGTTCCGTTGTTACTTGGAGAATATGTAAAAAGGCTGTTTGAGTGCAAACCAGCTTTTCCAAATGGACCATGCGAAAGGGGAGACTTGGTAGAGCATGGAACGGAGGCTGACCGTGCACGCATATTAAATGCCGAGCTATTAGCTAAAGCCACAGCCGTCAAGTATCCTGTCACCTGTTCGATACAGCTGACGACCAGACCAGGAGAGCCCATCAACCGCAGTCCACCTGAATGATTCTTGGGCCAAAGATATGCACACCGGACATAGCATGTAGGGTTCACCCATATCTGATCCGGCTGTAAAAGAAATAGTAGCCTCCTAACAACCGGGGTGACAGTGTGATCTTGCCCTGTGCTTTCCGCTTAATCCACCCCACATGGCCCTTACATATAAGATTCTACCATCCTTCATCCAAAGGTCTGAAGCCTACCGTATTCCTGTAAGCCTTCTTACCTTTAATCCCGTCTTCCAAGAATTTCTCTCATTTGCTACATATCCTCCTTGCAGAACCCTGACTTCAGTGAAATGATTTCAGGTGTGCCTGATCGCTGGAAGCTTGTTGCGTCCTCCTTTTCTTCAAACCTGGATGCAAGCTATCCCACCCCGAGTTCATTGTCATCCGAGCCTATAGATACAAGCGGTCCATCTCCCCAGGGTCCCAAGTCTACTTCGGTTGACAAAGAGAAGGTACAGATACCTGCTTCTTGCTACTGAAAAGCTGAAATACTGATGGACGCATGTAGATCATTCGCGGGCCTGTTGACTATCTATTGAAATGTCCCGGAAAGGATATTCGTCGCAAGCTCATGCAAGCCTTCAATGAATGGTTAAGGATTCCCGAAGACAGGTTGAACATCATCGCGGAGGTTGTTGGTTTACTACACACTGCGTCTCTCTTGTACGCCAATTCCCTCCCCTCAACCCCTGAAGAAAAATAGCATGACTTGTCAGTCATACTCACGCTAACTCTGTCTACCGTATGTGATTACTTGCAGGATCGATGACATTCAAGATTCGTCCAAACTGCGACGAGGGATACCAGTGGCTCATTCCATATTCGGTGTCGCGCAAACTATTAACTCCGCGAATTACGCCTACTTCGCCGCGCAGGAGAAGCTCAGAGAGCTCGATCGCCCCAAGGCGTACGAAATCTTTACTGAAGAGCTACTCCGTTTACACCGGGGTCAGGGCATGGATCTATATTGGCGAGATTCCCTGACCTGCCCCACAGAAGAAGAGTACATCGAGATGATTTCGAACAAAACTGGTGGTCTCTTCCGGCTGGCAATCAAACTAATGCAGCTGGAAAGTGAGATAGCAAGGTGGGAATTTATCTACCCCTTAAGTGCACTGCCAGAATTGCTGACTGGAGCAGCGATTTCCTCGCGCTTGTCGATCTTTTGGGTGTCATCTTTCAGATCCGTGACGACTATCAGAATCTGCAAAGCGACTTGTATAGCAAAAACAAAGGCTATTGTGAAGACCTCACAGAAGGCAAATTTTCCTTTCTAATTATCCACAGCATTAATAGTAACCCAGATAATCAACAGCTGCTCAATATCCTCCGACAGAGAAGTGAGGAGGAGTCCGTGAAGAAATACGCCGTGGAATATATTCGGTCCACAGGATCTTTTGACTATTGCCAGGAGAGACTGGCATCATTGCTGCATGAAGCAAAGATGATGGTCAACGTGCTAGAAGAAAATGTTGGATTTTCCAAAGGGATCTATGATATCTTAGCTTTCTTACTGTGATACATCTTTCACCGGAATCCGGGGAAAGCTTTCGGCGGAACCGAATGTAACCAAGATAGGTCTCAGTTACTGTCTAGGATTATCCTCAACTTTAGGGCCTCTTCGTACTCAAATAGAGAGGCATAACCGGTTTTTCTCAATTCCAGAATTGCTTCTCCTCCCTTATTTCCGGCTCTTCGTGGGTTGCGCAGGTTTATAGCCCGACCAGTCCCGTCACGATGAGCTCGGATGTACGTTACACAATTGCAACGAGTAGCGGATGTTATCGAAGTGCTCGGACTTGAACATGGCATTACCTAGGGGTGCCTCCCTTCTACAAGTATAGTTCGGAACTCGCCTGGGAGGTATTCCCCTGAGCAGTTGCTGACGGCCAGTGCAGCATCACTATCAGATCAGAGGAGTATTCCAATTCGACCCCTCGTGTAGGGTAGAAACCGGTCTCATAATCCGCATACACGAGCGGTTTGATTTCAAATCGGCCTATGTCGTGGATCTTCATGAAGAGGGCACAGGGAAATGACCTTCTTACATGGGAGCTTTCCCCTTAATAGGTATTTTTCAAGATAGTTCTCGACTGACTGAGTCCTGATAGTGTGATATTAGATTGTGTACCTAGAAGTACTCGTGCGTAAAAAGTAAGCAATATAAAAACAGACTGGAAAGTCTCAACAACATGACTATGAAAGGGGTCGGTGTGTTTGCTGCCATTCGTCCACCATTGCGTCAAAATCGGGACTATATAACCATTCCAAGTCAAACACTTCGTGCACATCTGAATCATTGTTTCGATCCTGTTTCGGCATACGACGCTTGTCAATTCGCGCATTAAGCTCCAACACCTTGTCGACTCGCGCTTGTCTTCCCTGCTGCCAGAGCCCTAGGGCCTGCTCTAGCGACATATCCCGGCTCTTCTTAGCCAGAACCAACGAGTACGTATAGACATCCTCGAAGGCCTGATTAACCCCCTGCCCCGCAGTGGGCGGAATAGCGTGTGCAGCATCGCCTAAGATAATTACTCGGCAGAGGTGAGAGCTCCATCGGTCCAGCTTAGGGACAACATGAAAAGGCCAGAGGTTGATCTTGGCCGCAGAGATCTGCGACACCGCTCGCTGCACAATCTCTGGAAAGTCATTGGCTCCGTCACGGAGAAAATCAATACACCATTGTTTGTCATTCAGGAGTCGGTCCCAGCCCTCCCGTTCTAATTGCGTGGCATGCTTCTGTCTGCCAATCAAGACCTCGGATCCATCCTTGAGCTGGGGTGCGATTACAAAAGCACCGTGCTTCGGGTTCATGATCGTGACGGGCAACTCATATTCATCGGGGGCTTCTAGTTGACTAGTAGGAACAGCAGCGGTCACTCCAACCGCATTTGTAAATCGTGGTTCTAGGTCTGGATAGAGATACTTCCGGACCCGGGAATGAATTCCATCCGCGCCCACGAGGCAGGCTGCTGTCGCCGTGGTGTCATCCCCAAACTGCCAGGTGACTTCCGACGAGGTTTCAGATTTGACATGTAGGAATTTCTTGTTGTAGTGAACGGGGATGTTGGCTTGGGTCACCATTTCTGAGAGCTCCTTGATGAGGACATGTCGATAGATCCGCAAACCATGGTAACCGTATTTTATGTGTCCGAACTCGAAGCTATCGATCAATTCGTTGTCGGGGGAACGAAAGTACAAATGGTCGAACTCAAATCCCTCTGGTCGAATGCGCTGGTATATTCCAAGGATATCGAGAATGCGGAGTGCATTGGGAGAGAGCATGATAGCACCCCCAATGTCTAACGGGGCAGATCGAGCCTCGTAGACTGTACACGGAATGGACTGGCGATGGAGAGCAAGTGCGAGAGTCAGACCAGAAAGGCCTGCACCAATGATGGCAACGTTCTCTGGGGTCGACATGGTGATTCGCAAAGCCAGACTTCTTGGGAGGGATTATTTGTTTGACGTTGGTACTGTTTACGGTGGCTACGTTCGAAGTCAGTGTCTCTTTTATATCCTCACAAAATAGGTATGAACATCTGATGTTATCTGCGGATGACTCCCGAGTCGCGGAAGATGTCAGCCGGAGATCCATTTCGGATTTGATAGTCATTCGGATCCGAGTTCGGATCCGATATTGTATTTTACACCAGTTATTTGACCCAAATTCAACGTTTTGATCGGCAGACAGTAATTGTCGGTTAATTTGGTATATAAAAAACGCATACATATCTTTATCTTCATGAGCGTAAGTAAGCCCAGCAGGAATACGTCCTACGTGACCACTAGGGTAGCGATAAAAGCTAAAGAACACCATAACTACTAACGTCGTGCTATAAAGACTAGAACCGGCTAGGCATCTGTCATACAGTCGATGTATTTGCATAAGCTACTGCCGATAATATGAAAAGCAACGGATATGGACATCGCAGGAATAGATCCTAGATTATGCATTCCATGCGAAGGAATCGTCCCCAAAGATGAACGGGTCCCCGTGGAAATTACCGAACTCCATGGCCAGTGCTGATGACCGTGCAAGAAAGTCCTCGGGTAGATGGAGCTGAGCGGACGGGGCAAATGAGCCCTGACCATCGTTTGTAAACATCGGCTGGGTAGTTGGAAGCTATACACATGTTCGTTACTAGGAGTCACCAGGTGGGAAGGGTTTAGCCATGAATCCTACCATTTGGGCGAAATCAGTGAGGTCCAATCCGAAGGAGCCCTCTGCCACCGCGGGAAGTAAGTGCTGTCGACAAGCAGACAAGGCCTTACTGGCTCCTTGCGACATCCGTTCTTCCTGGGCCTGGGTCGCACCGCGCACGCGGACGGATTGCAGAACAACTGCAAGAAGCAGAATATCTTTGAGGTTACTGCCTGCTTCGCTGATCCTTGCGGTTAAACTCTCCAAGGTATTTTCAACAGTCCGTGTCAGGCTTGCTTTGTTATGCATCGAGCTTCCGAGAGCTACACGGCCTGATTGCTGGGAGTCGAAGATGCGTCTTTGGCTGGACTGCTTGATGTATCCACATACGCTAAGGGCGCCCCATAAAATATCACTTTTGCAGAAAATCTGGAAGAGGTCCCAGTATGCGCCCAGATTGCACACCTCTGGATCGGCTACGCTTGGGTCAAAATTATCCTGGTAAGACAAGATGGCGAGAGATGACTCCAAGCCAATCCGGCAGATCTCTGGGAAAACCGGATCGTCGCGAGGATCCCCAAGCATGACCGGCCGGTAGAGGGACAGGAGAGGCCTACGTGTATAAACATCCAGTAGAACACAATTGAGTAGCATTGCCGGATCCTTTTCGTCTATGTGAGCCTCCTCCAGCTTCAGCGGGCGCGGTATCTGCCGAAGACATTCTACAATCCTGCTGCCGTGCCGGACCAGTTCACTCAAGTCAGCCTGCTCTCGGGCCATTCTTACTACAGACATTGCCCGTAGGCGGTCGGCTAGAGATGTCGCTAACGAAACCTGATAAAGCGAATCGGTCAGGTCCGATAGTCCCTTCGCGGATGGTAGCTCGGATGTGGATTCATCGAAGTCAGAATCATTGATGTTAGCCGGTAGTGGTCCAACATCGTGTGGGGACGTCATCACCGGCATGCCACAAGCAATAGACGCTTCAAGATCCATCTCCACAATCGTGATCCATAGTCGACGCCGGACCTGTGCTTGAAAGACGGAAAGCTCGCTACACTTCGCTAGATTTAGATGTAGACCCATCACCATCGCCGAGCGGATCAGGGTGCCTGTAGCTTTCCACAGCTCTTCGGGGGGCACAAGCCGCAGACGACGACTCAGTAGAAGGAGGGTCTCGACTTGCAGTGTTGTGACCTCCGTTCGCCGCTTACGAGTCAGGTTCTGAAGCCAAAGTTGGATCAGCGTGATTGCCGGCCCGTTCAAGTACTGCCATAGGGCGGAATCGTTTATTTTCGTCTGTTGGCCATCCAATGCAAGCGATATGGTGCATATCGCCGTAAGCTGTGGTATGAATGCAGATGAGGACTGGTACAATTCATGATCGGGCTCAGTCCAGAACTGCGAGTACTCGCGAAGGAACGAGGGAACATGTATAATCCGGAATATTTTCTCGAAGTTATCGGTGTATGTGCGTAGTAGACGGTCACATATGCTTTTCGCTGGAAGAGACGCGCGAAGCTGTACTAACTCGGGCGAACTTTCACCATCCACGGTTGATGCTGGTGAATCCAACTGGCGTGGCAATTTTCCTTGGAGGAACTGCACTTCTCGAGCAAGGCCGACAATAGTCGAGTTCTCACTGCACTGAGCAATGAACTCCTTGGCTTGGGGGAACTGTGAGAAATCTCAGTCTGGCTGCTGCCACAATACGCCAAGTCAACGGCAGTCTACTACCTGGTTCAGAAGGCTAATCCTGTTATCTTGTCCATGATATCGTGTTCGCGTTCCCTTAACAACTAAAGTGCCGAGAAATGGTCGTGAAATGTCTGATTCGGAAATGACTTCGCAAGGTCGCGGGTCATTGCTATCCACGGAGTTAGCTTTTAGTGGCAGGAGCAATGAATTTTGTTTGCTATGTGTCCATCACCTAATCTGAAGCACTGAGCTATCTTCATCCAGGTCTGTGTTGGCTACACGTGACCCAAGGCTGAGTCGCTCTTCTAATCTGAGGACTCGTTGCTGCAGGTCTTCGATGATCCCAATGCCTGCACCTCCTCCAGACTCGCCCCGCGGTGCAGATTGCTGATCGATAGTAGTAGAGCCCAGGCGGACGCGCTTCGCCTTGGAAACTGAAAAGGAACCTTGGTTGTAGGCGCAGTCCGCGGGGCATCCAGCTTTGGCGCAATTCTCGCATGGCGTCACTCGATCACATTTCAATTTCTTCTCTCTGCATCGCAGACAAGAGATTACCGGTCGTGGCCGCTTACGGGGCTGGGTGCCACTCGGGCCTTCCACTGGGCTCTGTATGGAAGCTACCATCTTGGACATATCAGCTCGCACGAGAGATCATTCATCACGCAATTGATTTGACGCCAAGTCAGGAGGCGGCCGTTGAGATTCGGCCCCCAAGCCGTTTCTATAAATAGTAATTTCTAGATTCCTTGTCCGTTTTGGTTAATCTCTGATTTGGTCACTTGGGTTGCATGTTTATTTAGTTCGAGATATAAAGCCCCATGCAAAGCCAAGTAGGGTACACGGCATATTGTTTGGACGCGTCCATGAGACTTAGCCCATTGGAAAGCCTACACCTTGGCTCCTAAACCTTCTTGAGGTCTTTTTGCCAAGATTGATTATCACATATACAGTTAGCCAGGTATGCTGGGGCCAATCATATTCTTGGTTAAAGTTCCTCTAGGACCCACCCGGTCATCATTGATATTGAGAATACTATAAGCAAATCTCTAGACAATGGTTATTTCTATAACACGCGAGGTAAATCCTGTAAGTCGAGCTAGACACACACCGTCTAGTGAGAGGCTGGGCTTTACCAAGAGTAGTTTCTTTTTTTTGGTCATGCCCAACTGTAATCCAGATCTCAACACCCGTAGTTTAGCAAATCTCTGACAGGCTACAGGTAACACAACCCTATCTATAGCCCCTGCGTGATTGAAGGGATTTAGCCAGCAATTTCCTATAACAGCTAAATGTATAGAATATTACGAATCTGCGCTCATCCCATATTCTGATAAAGCTGCTCGAATGCGGGAGCAATCTCAAGTCTCGATCTAGGGCATCGCAGGCGATAAATAGAATATCCAGTGCTGATAGCTTTGGCAGCATACCCCAGAGCAATATTGTGTGACATGGTTCCAATCCCATCGGCGGCTATAACAACCTCACCAGTGAAGCGTCGACCGTCGGCGGATATCGCTGTCGCTGCTTTATTCGAAGAGTCCTGCTCGTAAATACCAATCGTGACATTGAACGTGATTGGTATATCAAGACTTTCGCGTTGACTAGCCAACATGTGTGCCGATGCAGCATGAACGATGAAGGGGCTTGCTCGTAGAGGAAACGAGGCATGCTGCACGACTCTCTCCGAGTTATGTTTGTTTTCCGACAGCGGAGCCACAGCACCACCGTCTTCACCGCAAAATGTTCCACAAGGGATTTCGTGTATACAAATTGATCTTCAGTTCTGAGTGCATTTTTCCATTTTTTACGCACCACCGTTAAAAAGTATCTATTTTTAAATACTTACAACACAGTCAATTCTTGATTAAATTGAATTCTGATTAAAAATTAATAATTAGTAATATTCCACATTGAAGGTCTACTTGGGCGAATTTTGTTGTAGACTCTCTTTGGTATTGTATATAATAGTGGAAGGACCAGCAGTGTCTTCTTCGGAAGTATCTGCCCCATCCTGGTTGGCCATACAAAAGCTATCTTTCTGTATTATAAAGGTGCAGGAGATGTTATCATATCTAGCTCTAGGACTCTCGAGATTAGGGTTATTAGTACTGATCTCTATAGCAAGTTATCTCTCCCGTTGACCCTGGAGTTTAGATTGTATTATATTGGTGATTAACTGACTGTCTAGATTAATCCTACAGGCAGTACTATACGCAAGTTTCAGATTATCCAAAAAATTAATATAGGTGCAGCGCTTATTTTGGTAAATAGAGACATCCGGTTCTATATCTGAGAAGATTATTAGCTTTAAATTTGCTCTTACAATTTTCCCTATAGTAATGGATTTTCTCTAGCTATGCTCTGAGTGCTGCTATCTTATTATCTACAGTTGCTTAACTAGCTTGGAATATAATCGTGTTATAGTGAATTGTCAAATATCAACAATGTCTTAGCAAGTATTTATAGAATATAATTACAATATAAGATAAAGGCTACGAGCCAAGAGGATCATTTAAGCAGATTAAACTGCAGGAAATACAAAAAAGGTTACAATTGTCTATATATGTCAAGCTCTTTTTATTAAGACCCTTCAAACGTATGACTAGCTTTCTGTGAGCTTCTCGACTTTGCCAAGCAGAAAGCCGAGGACTTATGAGCCAGGGCCATTACTCTGAGTCAACTGATAAACCTCGTCGATCAAAGAAAGCAGGCCATATACGAAGTCCAAAGTTGTGGTCAAATGCATTGCTGCCTTATCCCCACTTCTGTCAATCTGCAACTAGTTTACTGGTGCTACAGGGCTTCATTTGATTGGCTAAAATCCCTGTAACGTCACGTCGAAAAAGTGCGAAAGCAGAAGCTATTGGCCTCTACTCGCGGGCTTCAGAAAAAGAACTATGAGGCTAATCTATGTCTTGTGCGTGATGGTTAGTGCCATTTATTCAAGACGGCCTTGTGACCCAGGAAACCGCTGTACGGGAAGGCGACTATTTATCTGCCAATGTCCGAGGCTACCAGCAGAACTGCCCTAATCCAGTGTCAACCTCAATATGTCACCTTTAGGCCAAGTATCTCTTAATCATCGTTGGTCACCCATTTCATAGCCCGAGAGTGAGGCTAACCAAAACTCTTTTCCAGCATATCGCCGTCTTAAAATCCCTAGAAACGTACCATTAGAGCTACGTCCGTCGTTGGGCCAAGGATGGGGAGCTTTCGCCACAAGACGCATCGAGCGAGGGTCCCGGATTCTAAGCGAAAAACCACTTTTCATCATCCGGAAACCCCATACAGACATCACAGAAGAGCATGTGAGAATGGCATTTCAGGAATTATCACCCAGTCAGCAAGCAGAAGTTCTACTACTTCGGGATAATGGGTCGATGGCTTTTCCGAGTTTGAACCAAGCCTTCGCGGAGAACTCTTTCTGCATCACAACAGCAGACCCTGACAGGCCTCCTGCTTATGGCCTGTTTCCTCTTCACTCCCGTTTCAACCATTCATGTATTCCAAACTCAAAGATTCCCGTTACTAAGGGAGAGACGATTTCAATTTTTGCGACTCGGAACATAGACGCTGGTGAAGAGATCACCTTCTGTTACGAGTCCGATTTTGAGTGCAGAACGAGATATGAACGTCACGAAGCCTTGCGCTTTACATGTAATTGCATGGCCTGCCTCCCCGGCACTCCATTTCAACAACTTAGCGACATGCGGCGACGATTGATCCGAGGATTGCAATATCTTACCCTTGGCGTCGACATCAACGGGCAAAGACAGAGTTCGCATTCTTCAATAATAGTCGACTCCGAGCTGAGAAATGCGGCGGAGACTTTCAGCATACCGATCTCCTGTAGATTTATCTATACTCTCTTGACAATTTTCTTGATCGAAGAAGAGGGTTTACTGGATGATTTCCTCGTCGAAAGGCTAAGACCAGGTTTGGTCGCGACGGCGGGCTTGTTTACTCTGGAGAGCAATTGTAGTATTGCTAGACTCGCCATGAACCAGGGGAGCTGGCTGGAAAGATTGCTTGTGGGATTTGAGCTATATGGGCGGAGAGATACGGCCGACCACGAGGTTATTCTAGCGTTACAAAAAGTGCGTCTAGTTACTTGATGCAAGTGGGGAACGAGACAAGTCGATATTCTCGACAAGCGAGTAGATAATTATTCAAAATAGTCATTCCCTGAGTTCTTATCACTTAGGCGCTAGATGTGCCTCGAATTTCCTGGTTTTCTCCAATTCGATACATACAATCTCAAACACCTGCATACGACTAGTATTAGTGTATCTAATATAGACTCGATTGGTACTGTTACGCTTAGGCCCCATGACACAACCTTAGCTCATGAGCACGGATATGACTTAAGCGATAGCTTTTTTCTTGGATAACATATGATAGCATTAAACAAGAAGCTATACGAGAATTGTAGCAACGAAGGAATCCAATATGGAAAATATCATTGGTAGTCCCTCGTCGATACTAATAACAATACAACTTTCCACAATTTCCGGATGTTGTCTCGTTTTGAGTAGTCAAACAAGGTCGTCCTTCATCACTACTATTTGGCCAGGAAAGAAAGTCCGGACTTTCCTGATGGTATATCAAATCAACGTTCACAATGCTGGACATATGAAGCAAATGTTTCACTGGTGGCAAAGAAGGTCTTGCAACTCCCGGCGGATGTCCTGACTGATCTTTTTGTTATTCTTAATCACGTCCGGTTGGGGAGGGATTGGATTCAATCGTTTGCTCCGCTACTTATAAATCTGTAGTCTGATGCAGGATGACACACGCCAAGACATGTCCCTCCTACGGAAATGATTGGAGAAACTGCAACGTGATCCGTTCGGCGAGGATGGCGGTAATTCAAACTGTGAAGCGTCAAATGTGGTGTTTGGGATTGCTGTAAACTCTTGGCTTTTCGTGCTCAGGCGCGCCAATGGTAATTGAGTATTGACAGTAATTGTCAGCTTTCAGCGGTGGTGTGACTCTTAGAGATTGTATGTGTAGCTGACTTGAGCATGTAGAGTTGATATAACTTTGCGAGCAGCCCGAAGCATACGAACGCAGGCCGACGGTGGAATGCAGGGTTGAGTTAGTCTTATTTACGGAGTAATCCGAAGAGAAAAGGGATTACAAATTTTTGTTGCTAGTAAGAGACGAAATGAAACAACCCGCATGTCATTGATTATCGTATCACAGGCGAATTACAAAAGCTCCAAGAGAGACATAAACCAAAGTACAAGCTCCATGGACTTCCCGATCGTCAACAGCTCCTCTAATCATACTGCGGTGGCTCACTAATTTGTAATCACTGGGGCAGTATTATCCCAGTCGTTCCTTTCCGCGGCATCCACGAGCCAGCAAGCGACGCTTACACGACTTATGCTGGCCATCAGTGGAACACCTTTCCCATCTTGCGGCCAGAGCTTTACCTCCTGGACGTCGGTGTCCACCAATCTTGCCGGACGGACGAGGACAAAGTCGACACCGCTTGCTCGCACTTCCCGGTCAGTGTGGTTGTGGTCGTCGTACTGGTAAATCATGTTGGACTTCTTCATCAGTAGCTGCAACGCACAATTCATGTTCTTCCAAGAATCCCCCACGCCAAAGGCTTGCAGAATGACCACCTTCCTAACCGCAAATTCCTTCATTACCGAGACGACATTAGCATTACAGTCGGCCATGAGACGTGGCGGTGAAATCGGTGCAGCAAATGGGCTGTCCGAAGCGCGAGGAGCACTGAGGGTTACAATAACCACATGCGGCACGTCGACTTGGAATGCTGCCCTGACATCATCTCTGCTAGTTGGAGTCCCTACGTATGACTTAGCCTCCACTAGACACAGTATGCCGATGGTGACCGAGCTTACCTTGTACAAGTTTCAGGCCAATTTGCTGTGTAATTGCGGAAGGCTTTCGGACCAATGCCGTTACTTGGTGTCCTGATGCCGAAAGTCAGCTACTATCAATCATACCAGGAGAGCCACGACTACATACCTCGACGAAGAAGCTCTTCAATAGTCAGCTGGCCAGTCCGGCCGCTACCGCCGATAATGAGAATATGCATTTTGGTTGTGGGATTATGATGTAAATGTGGCATGGTAATTCTTCTCATCTGTCCGGCAGGCCCTTGGGCTTTTATTGTTTTTAAAATAAAATATAGAGATGTTATGTTCAGTAAAGCATACTCAGGCTCGTATTTGTTCTCCGGATCCGAGAACTTCGGATCCGGGCCGGACCAAACGAGTCCGATGGACGTCTCAGCGATTTTCTATGTATACTTTCTATCATGACGACGAAGGAAAAGCATATTAGTAAAAGAAACAACAAATTAAGATGTAATAATCGCCCCCATCCAAAAGCACCACTATTTTGCGTCCCTAGATAATGGTACTTTTTATCGAACTGGAGAACGCAGTAAGCTGAGAAATACATGATATTCTTAGTCACATATGTATAGCGCTGACTGATAGTTAACTAGTTATTTATATGGTCACTGAGTATTTACGACTCTGGCTCCTCAACGCGTGCAAAGGGCTTTAGGCACGAAAGATGCTCATCCTGATGCAGGGAGTCGCCACTATTTTTGTAAGCCCTGAGGATCTCAGAATTCCTTTACTTGAGCGTGTTGATCATGTACTGGATGCCATAAGCGGCAGGCTCCGCCAGGGCTTTCTTGTGGGCATCCTTAGCCTCTTCCTGAATCTCATGAAGTCGCTTCAGCCAGAACATGTATCTCCATGGCGAGAGTCCGGCAGGTGATCGCTGTCCGAGCTGCGATTCGAGGAATTTCTCACCACCCTTGCTGATGTGGCTAGGGCAGCCGTTCCAACACACTTCTGATAGCAAAAGGAGGTTGTGGCTTGCTATTTTCAGCCAAGCAACGGCAGCTGGTAACAGATGAAAGACCTCAAGCTGCTTCGTACCTCGATTAATGTCTTCCTCCTTTGACTCTTCCCCGGTGGGAAGTGCTTGAGGGCTTTCAAAGAGAGTACGGAAGATCAGAAGAGCAACTTGGCACAGCCTATCCTTAGCGACACGAGTGGATGCAAGTTTAGCCAGGAAGACTGCGAAGTTGAGACGGTGTGTTACCGACATAGAAGCAGCGTGATTGACCGAGAAATTGGTCATATCGCCAACGAAGAAGGGGAGATCATTCTACAGTGTATCGTCGACAGTTCTTGCGATATCAATCCCATAGACTCCGCGTGCAGGTCTAGTCAACGGCCCCATCCGTTGAATGCGGAGGATATCGAGGACTAGTCCCTCGTGCCCAGGTGATTCCGAGGAGACTGCTTTGCCAAGTTCGTAATACATATACCACAGGGAATGAATGTGGCCTTGGGGGAGTCTACACCATCTCTGATATCGCAGTATCGGCTGGTAACAACCCGGGTCCGGTTACTAAAGGCCATATATCGGACTTTGAATTCACCCCGACGACAGACTGGCGTGTACCTTCCTGATCTCTGCGAGCATGGTCGATCGTTGCGGTGGAAGGTGTGTCTCTAGGCAGAGAGCTCAGCAGAGAATCACGGAGGTGATCCATTTTGGAAACCTGACAGTGCTGAATGATCATTTAGTTAGAACTCAGGCAAGAGAAAGAAGATAGTGGGGAAGTGAAAGAGTTGAGCTGGTGAACACAGACGGCGGCTTAAATCGTTGTAGGTGTCAACTTAAACGAGGGGACAATGCGATATCTCTCTCAGGGTGGGGTCTCTCCTGGGCCCCTACTAGGCAGCAACGTAGGATTTGACAGGCTGGCAGTCCAATTCTGAATTTGGATTCGTGTGTGCGATGAAAGATTGAACTATTTACTTTTGTTGATAGTCGATCAGCCGGCAGGCAAGACAAAAGTACATGTCAACCATGCAGCCACCCAGCAGGTACTCTATTTATTTAGTAGGCGAAGGTCGAACGTATGGGAAAAAAGCAATTTGCTCCGCGAAGAAGAGCCCGACTAGCTGCTCTAATTCACACCCTTGCGCACAAGTTGGGATATCACGCCAGATCCATGACGAGATCCAGGAAACATTCGTCCACCACTGCCAACACGTCAGTAACGGAAAATATGGCGGTATATTGGTTCAATTACTATCGAACATATCCCTTTAGTTGTTTTCATGCTTACTGCAGCCAGAAGACTGAATAGACAGGGGTTTGCTGTATAGGAATATTTAGGGCATGTGTAGCCTGGCCCTAATGCATGTCACATCACATGAGCACGCATTGATTTCCCCTCAGTCGATGTTGGCATGAACTGCCTCAAGCCCTCTAGCTCCAAGGTTATGTCTATGCCTCCCAATCACTATCTCCGCCTTGCTTTTAAACTTCTACGATTTGACAGCTTAGCACGAAGCATCCTAATACCGATACGTGACGCCAAGAAAGTCATGGCCCCACGCCCGAAAGAGCTCTACCCACCACGGGACGCGTCCGACCGCGAGATTGACGAACGAAGCTTCGGGACCCACAATCCCGTTACGGTTCCAGAGGGTCAGAGCACAGGAACACCCTCGACAAAAACGTCTTTCACCCGTCCGAGTCTCGCAGAGATAGAAGAGTTGACTCGTTCAGAGGATCCTGTCGACCGAGAGCTCGGAGAGATTTTGCAAGTCTATCAAATGCAGTTGATGTTGCTGGATGTACAATATAAACGGTACAAATTGATGTTAGAACAAGGGCAGATATCTTCCGAGTCATCCTCCTCTTAGGAAATGGTGTTCTTGGTGTTCCGTGGAGGAGTGTTTCCCCTCGCGCTTACAAGCACATGAATTGGTATATTTGACGTGGGTTGCAAATGGTGTATCATACTCTATCTGGAAGACAACGGGTGCATACTGTGTGATGTTTCATATGCGATTTGCTGGGCAATCGTCGTATTCCCTGGCTTAATCCATGTTTTCCGGATAGTAGTAATGAATGGGAGGGTATATATGTCCATGAGATATAGGTGTTTGTAATTAGCTATCAGCGGAAAGCAAGAGGATCGATCAGTGACCTGACACCATGCTTCTTGAACTCCTTCTAAACGCCATCTGTGTGACCCGACTGAATGTAAATAAATGACATTGCTAGTACAGATTTCTCCGCCAGGGAGGAGCATAACAGGAACCAAAGCAAAAGAACAAATGAGAAATCCTGCGAGAGATTCGAGAAACTGTCCATAACTAATCTGGGGGCAGCTTCTTGCTCGGGATTTCATGTTCCTTGGCTCTCCGTATGCTTCCAAGAGCAGAGAAGGCATGATACAGAGTCTGGGCCTGTTGAGGGATAGCTTGACTCGGATATTTCGATCGTAATACCTGCTGGAACAAGCGCATCACTGCGGCTTGATTCTCGAGGTAAGCAGGACCACTCCCAGATGACAGGGCAGGGATTCCTTGACCAGAAATAACAAAACGACGCACTGCACCACCGGGGCTGCCTTCTCCATCTAGGAAAAAAGTACCGTGTTGAAGCGCCAAATCAGTGCGAAGTTCTCGACCCGACGACCCCTCCGGCGCCGTCACCGTGCTGTATGTCCAAAGAGCAAGCGCGGCGAAGTATAAACACGTGGCGCAGAACCCAGTCAGCAGACCCGGGGGTATACATTTAGCGATGCGTAGTATCTGACCTGCATGCCATGCGGCTTGCCGTAAATGACTCGGATTGATGTGTTTGATAAAGAGCTCGTACACATCGGCAGACCGTTTCTCACCTTCCTTTCCAGCATATCTCTCGAGTGTACCAAGCGGCAGATACAAGGAGAGACAGGCAGCTTGATGAATCAGGGACACGGCAGGGACAGATTCATGCAGTGGCTCTACGATCGCAATATTAAACTGATCTAGCTCTTGCTCCAATTCGCGCTGCCATGACTGGAAGAGTAGGCCGGTCCATGGACGATGTAGGCTATGACGCGTACGATTGCAGTCAGCTACCATAAGTGACATCCCGTGTACTGAGATGAACGCTGCTAAAGGGAAGTCGATCTGACGAGGTAATAGACCGAGGGTCGATGGGTCCCGCAAGACACCTGCAAGGGATGGGAAGGCCTCCGGGGCATGAGGAAACTCCTGCAGGTATACATATCCCCACTCGGAAGCTGACCTTGCGTTCCACAGCTTGCGGGAACAGGGGAAGGGTAGCTCTAGATCACCGTATGAGAGCAGTGCGTGCGTGGAAAGCCGAAAGGACGATTGCACGTCATGGATAAAGAGATGGTACACGACTCTATGGAGATACTGAAGTCAGCATCCATTCCTATTGAAAACAATGGCAAAGCACCGTAGCATGATACGCGCGTGCGATTGCTTACCGTTTGTAGGATTCTGACTCGACCCAGTGATGCCATTTCTGATTCAGTGTTTCTTCGTCATCTACCACCGTGGGTGTAATGATGGGGTACCCTTCGCTTCGGAAGTGGGAAGCTCGGCGCAGCATCTGCTTGGTCATTAGCATTCCGTATCAAAGAGTCATCTAAGCGCGATAGACGAGGAGAATTGCGTAAAACATACCGTCACAATGGGTTGTGCAAAGCTCTCTGCGATTTCGACGCGTCGTTTGTCACCACTCCACATGCCAATCTGTAAGGTCAGGGCATATGCCTGTCCTTGACGCAAATTGCGTGTGTTGCTATTATCATTTTCGTACTGACAAGATCAGCCTGTTATTGCTCTCTTCACGGTACGCAGAAAGCCTACCTACCTTGCTACTTAGTTCAAGACGAGCTATCTCTAGTAGGGCATACCCCAAACGTTGAATTGCGTTCACAGGAGAAAGCACTGCTCCAGCAGCAGCCAGGGCTATAATCATCTCCGGACTTTCTTGGTTCAGCTCGATGGTGGATTCATGGATCCATGAGTCTATCTCAGATCTCTGATGGAGAAAGTAGTCTTGGATCAGACTATCAAGGAGCTCCGCACTGGGAAAATAATGCATCATTCGACCGAAGTCGCGCCGCTGGCATACCTGGACGAATATGGAAAATGCTTTATCGCGACCTTCCTTTGATAGACACTCAGAGAACACTCTCGCCTCGGCATTACCGGCTGATATCGACCGATCGAGATGTTTTGGCACAGATAGATACTGCTGATCCATGTACGCGTTGTCTTCGCTGCGAGGAGTCCAATTAGACAGAGGGGAGTTGTGATATGCCTCCTTGTCCATTAACCCCAAAGCTTCGGGGACACTTCGCTGAGTTGAGTATTGAGCTGTGGTGTTTGGCCGTTCATGAGCCAGGTCGTGATTATTGAGAGATGCGAGGAACTCCAAGTCGGCCTCGGTCAACCCCAGCTCGGGGCTGATATTCCCGCCGAAGTAGTCGTACTCGTTGGGGCTCTGCTCTCGTATGTAAGCGCAACGTCGCTGCTAAAGATAGTTGGACTAGTATTACCATTAACGGTAATCTGTTATTCTCCAGGAACGCCTGATCAATCACTTCTTCAGCGGCGGAGTAGAAATCGTCCATAAGACCCACTGAGAAATCTTGTGGAGCTGGCTCTTGTTGTGAGTGAGGGATGCCGGCATCATCAACCTGCTCACCTGAGTCGGAAGACTCCGCCATAGATCGGTCTAGTTTTGCCATTGCAGCGTTAGTAACACTTTCTGCGATTCAAATGTCGCGGAGCGGTACGGCCAGCTGCTACCAAGCCGCATTCTTGTTTCTGAGCTGGAGATAAAGTTCACTTGCTTACCCTGTGTGTCGACAGCATCAGGTGTTCTCTCATCCTGAGGCCAATCGCACTCGAGGTTTCGCTTGACACATCGACGACAGGGCTTTTGGTCATCACACTTCAGCTTGGACAGAGCACAGTTCTTGCAGGCTCGTGATACGCGCCCTCGCACGGCCGAAGCGGTGGAGAGTCTGGTGTCTCTTTGACCCGAGAAGTGTCCTCGGGCATGTCGGCGTAGGAGATCGCTATCGACAAGGGATTAGCATGATAAACGGGCGATTGATGGGCGACTATGGACAAACATTCTCCCAAAGCCTTTCCCACACTTGTCACAGACGAATGGTTTGTCCGAGGTATCTGGAAGGAGCAACTGTAAGCATTTGTCTTATAAGTCGATTGGTTTCGCGCTCAGGGTTAAAGGACTCACGCGATCGGACATGGCGGATAAGATGATCAGGTCGAGCATAATGTTTTCTACAGACACCACACTGGTAAAAGCCTGTCCGAGACTTATCTTGTTTTTCTGCGGGACTGTTCATAGCTACGAATATTGCGATATCTCGTAGCAAGACGCTATACTCTGGTGTTTGTCGGCCCCAGAATTTGTTCGGGGGACAATGATGTCACGGGGTCAGGGATCGGGAATGTGGACTGCCGACGTGCGGAGTCGAAACCCTACATTGTTGAACCTCGGCAAAGCACCGCGGCTATTGGATAAGTGTTTTGGACATGCATGACGTGAGTCTGGCGCATAATATTGGTATTCATTGTGTCTATGTGGTGTCGTAAATACTCCAATTTAACGATACAGGCTGCTGGAGGGATGGCACTATTCACTGGACTTCACACCCATACCATTCAAATCCTCCCCAAGAACGCCCTGGTTTTTCACCTCCACCGGCTGACAGGGAGTCAAAACGTATAACATACGAGACCAACCCTGGTTAGGGGTAACGTTCCGCCAGGCATGATTTGTAGCCCGTTGCACGGCAACATCTCCTCTTTTTAATAGTCGCTTCTCACCACTATCAAGTAGAAGTTCGACCTCTCCTTCCAGGACGACACCGTAGTCTAGCGAGACAGTACGATGCATTGGACTGATTGTGTTAGGTGGCATATCGACAATACGGCAAACGGTCCCCGTGGAAATGCTCAACCCCGGTGGTGAGGCGAGACGACGCTCGTAGCTGGCAATATCTGCATCGTCCGACAGCTGAGAAGGGAATTGCTCTGAAGTGTAGGCAAGACTGAAGGTAACCTGGTCGACGTTTTGGACGGGCATATCTTCAGATAGACGGTTCGAAAAGATGGCTTGGCCATTGTCGTTATGAGTCGTGACAAAGCGTTGGAGAGGACGGATATCCTTGTTGTGTTCAGACATTGTGTAGGCTAGTGTTATAGTGGAAAGGGAATGTGTGTGATTGTAAATAAGTTGAGAATTGAGAATAGCAATTACCTTGAGGGCTGGTGGTATCTATATACCATAAAGGTCTCGCTAAACAGAAGCTGCTGGTGGATCTATCTTCGGGTTCCTGTTCGGGTCCACCGTCGTTGCCCTCGGGCGCAATGACACGACATCGGAGAATTGCCTTATGATTCATATAGTCTATGTTTACATAACAAAGAAGATTGGCTAACCCGGAGCCTATATCCGAAACCGACTTTATTTGGCCGGAATCACAGGAAGAGTCACATAGTTCTCGTACGCCGGCCCAAAGTGTATGTGGTTCGTTCCTTGCAATTTCTCGGGGGAGCTTCATCTTATTAGCGTCGAATTTCCTGGAAGCAAGAGAATGGAGAGCAGGGAGGGCATACCGATCACTGGGGTCATTGTGCTGAAAGATTCCGGATCCCTGAGTATCGCCCGACGCAACCTCCAGGACGAGTTTACCACCTTGTTCGACCACTACGTTGCTCGGCCAGATCTCTACATCTACCGGATAGACCTCACCGGGCATGACAGGTAAGACATCCGTTGAAAAGTAATCGCGATGCGGCAAATACTCCTGGTGGCGCAGGTGCTTCTCGTTTACCTTGCGCATACTTACGCGCAGCCAACCCTTGGCCAGCGGTACGGGGTCTCCAGCGGTACCAGTGTAGTATACCTCTTCACCAGTTGGGGAGATATAGCGCAGTGTCACGAAGAGATCAATGTCGGAGGGAAGAGGGCCTCCCTTATCGGGACTGACAGACACGTTCAAATGAGCGACAATATGGCCAGTGATCTCCGTTTCTTGTTCAAAGGCGGGAGTAGTAAATTGGACAAGCTGAGGGTTGTCCAGAGTGCCCAATGCGCGGTAGTCAACCTTGACTAATTTTGACTGTGGCGATTGCGTCTGTAGCTGAAGGTCTGGAGTGAGGAAGAACTTCGTGTACTGCGTGCGAGCGATGGGCCATTCATTCTCAGTACGCCGAGTATAGGCTCGTTCGGCCTCGGCGTTGTCAAAACCAACATTCCCTTTGCGCAGCAAAACGTCCACCTTGGGTGCCTGGCCAGTGCTCCATCCCTCTCGATCCTCTCCCTTGAGAAAAGCATCCAGAAAGCTTCTCTGCAGCTCGACCTCTTCATGATAGTAGAATGGCAAATCATGACGCCCAGTTATGAATCTTAAATATTTGTGTTCCGAACCTGCATTCATATAGCCCACCACGTTGCCACGTAGGTGTAGGAGAATCCCACCCCAGTTCGCAACAGAGAGCAATGGGACCTTAATATCCTCCATGTTATACTCTTTGGAAGCATAATATGGTTCATCTCGGAACTTGTGGCTGGCATTATCGATCGTCTGGTCGTTGCGATTCGCCAATAATTCTTCCTCCGACAGATCACCCTCAATAGTATCGGGTCCCCAATTGCGGGCAGCGCGTCCAGGGCGCCCATATTGATTGGTGATCACCTGTCGATTCCACCAGAACTCAATAAAAGAGTTCGACAGAATACCTCCATGACGGCATCGGTCGCGGTAATAATCCGACATGCCTTCCCAGGGAATAATACAAGCTAGGCCTTTGGGCTGGCGGGCAGCGACACGCCACTGGCTACCAGCGTAGTAGCTGATCCCTAGAAGACCAACCTTCCCGCTGGACCACGGCTGCTCCGCGGCCCATTCCACTACATCAACAAAGGCTTCGCTGGTGCCCCGCGACATAGTGTCCAAAACGCCGGGGGACTGACCTAAGCCGCGCTCGTCTGCTCGAACAACGGCATAGCCATGCTTAGTCCAGAAGCCAGGATCTGGAGTTTCCCATGCCGAATGATCAGAGTGATGCTCCGGATTAACTTCGCTATAAGATTTAGCGTGGAAGCTGCGCGTATTTAGTTGCCAAAGCTCTTTGCGTGGAACATGGAGAGGACACCATACTCTTTGTAGTGGATATCCTTCCCGTATGGCCCGTAGGTAACCAATACTGGAGAGTTGTGGACATCCTTGGGTCGATAGACATTGCACCGAATTAGTCCGGCGTTGTCCTTCAGGGGGATTGTCACATTCTCTTCGTAGATGTAAGGAAACGAAGTCGCGTCTACGCGTGTAATATCCTTGATGGGATTCGGCATCTTGACAGGAGAAACACACCAAAAGATGACAAGTGAATAATTTCCAGTTGTAGAATTTTGCCGCTGTAGTATTTACACCTCTTGCACAAGCTACCTGGTCTAAATAATGCCTTTAGCTATGTTCATACGATCGGGAGCATGGGCCCGACCGTATGTGGAGCCGAAATGCTCGACCCGAACTCATTGAGGCACAGAAACTGTAGCGTGATCAGAATAAATAATGTCGATCCATGTAATAGCCGAGACCCACCGGACTTGGGCCTGGAGCAAAGTAGCATTACTACATACAAATTGGAGATGCTTGCCTGCCATGGCTTCCTCTCTCGTCTTCTGCACTTCCTTCTTTTAATTCTTTCGCCGTAGTGATCCCGCGCCGTTATTTTGCAAATTGTCCTGCTTCCGATCGACATGCAGTCTAAACCAAAGGGCTTGAAAGTCCTCATTGTTGGCGCTGGCATTGGAGGACTAGCTGCAGCCATTGCCCTTCGGCAACAGGGGCACGAAGTGGAGGTGAGAGACTAGTGTGAGCCCGAATACATGACTCCGAGACTGATATAAGGGTATAGGTTTTTGAAAGGTCACATTTTGCAAATGAAGTCGGAGCAGCAATCCACTTAACTCCGAATGCCAATGGACTCTTGAAGCGAATTGGGGTTGATGCACGAAAGTACGGCGCGGTGCTGACAGAGCAAGTATGTCGGTCCCATATGGAGTTTTGGACGAGAGGAGTGATATACTAACGATTGACTCCGTTCATCTAGCTTCGCGATTACACCTCCGATGGTGAGCTCCAGTATACCTTAGACACAAGTCTAATCTCCGGCAGCTGGCAGCATGTAAGATACGCTCGTATCCCTAATAGGCCTACTGCAGTGCGCCGCCAGCTAACCCTGCTCGTTTAGGAATGGGTTCTGATTCATCGCGCGCATCTTCATGAAGCTTTGAAAGCCAAAGCACAGGCTTCTGGGAAAGGAACACCCATTATTCTGCACACATCGGCCAAGGTAGCGGACCTGGATCCTCACGCCGCGACCATAACTCTGGAAGACGGAAAGCGCTTCGAGGGCGACCTGGTGCTGGGGGCTGATGGTGTTCACTCTGTGGCCCGTCGACATGTCTCAGGAAAAGATGTTAAGGCATTTAGCTCAGGCCGCAACGCATTCCGGTTTATGGTTCCACGTCAGGAGGTATTAGCAGATCCCGAGACAGCTCACATGGTCCAAACAAACGGAACCGTTCTTATGTGGCATAGTTCCGACAGTAAGGTGGTCATCTATCCGTGCGTGAACAACGAGATATTGAACTTTGTCTGCATTCACCCTGATACTCTTACCAACGAGTATGTCTCTCACGGCTGGAATCAAGGGGTAGGAAAGGACACGCTACTAGAGGCTTTCAAAGACTTTGAGCCCGGAGTTCTGAAATTGTTGAACAAGGCAGATCCTGAAACACTGAAGATATGGCCACTGCTGGACATGGAAACCCTGCCTCGATGGGTGAATGGCCGACTAGCGCTAATGGGAGATGCTGCTCATCCCTTCCTTCCATATCGGGCTTCGGGAGGTGCCATGGCCATTGAAGATGGCTTGTCTTTGGCTGTTATGCTGCCGGGAGATCTGAAACAGGAGGATGTCTCCACACGGCTGGGCCTATACGAAAAGGCTCGCCAGGAGCGAGTGTTACAGATCCAGGAATACACACGAGAATCCGGAAGGAGGCATGTGGGCGGAAAAGAAGGTATGTAGACACTCAGTCAACTGGCAAAAACGACAGCTAAAATATCTCCTAGCCGCCATCATCAGTTCGTACATCTATGACCACGACGAGTGGGATCATTCAAGTGAAATATTGCGCCAGTATCTCTGGGCGCAAAACAAACAGGTTTACTACCGTCAGCCCACTGTCTTCGGCCCTATGCCAGGACCTCGCCAGGACTTCTGGGGCAGGAGCCGAGCGGCTGCCTCGAGCAAGACAAAGTTTTGCACAGCATCCGTTCGGTTCAAGACGAGTCGTACCTTGCTTAAGAACCTGCTACCGAATGCATCCTACAGCTTTACCGGTATGGGAAGCGTAGCCTACGCAACCTTCTCCCAAACTACGCTAGATGGATTAGACTGGCTCGCCGGTGGAGGATACAACCACTTCGGGCTATACATCCATGGTGTCCAATACAAGAGTGCCGATGGCCAGATCACGGAAGGATCCTACCTCCCAGTTTTATTTGAGGATCTGGCGGATCCTATCATCTCTGGTCGCGAGGAGCTCGGGTTCCCGAAGGTATTCAGTACAATCGACGTGAGTAGGCGCCGTCATTCGTATCATGTCACCACTAGCTGGCGAGGGGGAGTATGGGGTCGGTTGAATTTGACAGGGCTGGAGGAAACGACAGAAGAGCAACAGCAAACCAACGGATCGACGAAGGCTCTGCCGAATCTCCTGCTGCACCGCTACATGCCCTGTGTTGGCAAGGACCAGAAAGGCATCCCTGAGGCGGAGTATCCTGTTGTGGTCGATTCCGCTGAAGACCTGACGGTTGTACCTTCGAAGATCACACGCGAACTACGTGCCACGGACGCCAAACTAGAGATCGATGGGTTGGATTGGAACCAGCTCCCTACTCTCCATCATATCGTGTCGCGTCTGGCTGAAGTTCCAATATATGAGGTTGTAGAGGCCAAGGTTGTTGAAGGAGAGGGGGTAGCAGACGTGTCATCGGCTCGGAAGGTCGATCCGTGAACTGTAAACTAGAGAACATATTAGAGTATTAGATATCGAAGGTCACTCCTCTGTGCCCAAGCCTTACGATTTAGCAAATATAAACAGCCAGAGTTTATGGTTTACATCATTTTCACAGTAAAGAGAAGCTATTTTCTTTTTGCTAAGCCGAGACCTGGTGCCCGTGGTTCAACGTACGGAGCTGGGGTATAGTTCGTTTCCGTCAATTATGCCTATGCAGCTAGAGAAGGTCTGCTGAGATCTGGTCAGGTTATACCAGACGGGCGGCAGAGAAGTTTGATAATGGGATTTAAGTAACTGACAGACGAAAGGTTCATCCGATTCAACCATCTAAAACTGTCCGGGCCACAATCATCTCTATAGGGTAATTTATATAATATATTCTCAGGTTTACAGTAACTAAAAGCGTACCCTACGCAATTCCTACGCGACTAAGCTTCTCCATCTGGAATGACCGGTATCGAATTCGAACGGCACGTTAGCGGCTATACAACTAATGACGTTGGCGAAGCAATATGTAGATAAGCGTAAGCTCTATCCTGCCAAATCCCCATCCTCAAGCTGTGCAAAATCCATAAAATGCGTCCAGAACGATTTCATTAACACCTAGGGCAGCCAGGCCATCTAAACCATGGGTGCAACATCTTCGTTGTACACATCTAGCAATTGAATTATAACCTTACATCCGTCTTGAAGTGAAACGATATTCCTTTTCATCCCAGGCCAGTCCTTATATAGATAGCAAGGTATGTCATTAATTGTGAATGTTCAATTGTTTGAAATATAAGTTCACTCGATGCGCAGCCGATATTGCATTTTACCACTCGCCCCCAACCTCATACCTAAAGATCCTATCATTCACGCGCCCTAATGTGTTATGCCAGAGCCGCGATATAGCCTATTAATCCAAGAATGATTCATCAGTATTTGCTCACTTGCTCAATCCAATTGACTTTGACATGTCTCTGCGTACCGCATTGATCCAGACACCATGCAACATGATTTGAACGAAAGCCACCTCAGCCGGGTGACTTCCCGCAGAGCGCTCGCTCCAGTCGAGGTTTCGATTAATAGGTCGATAGGGAGGTACTCGAAGATGGTCTACAGGCCAATCTGCAGGCTGTTGGATTGAGGCTTGGATGGGTGTTTCGCTTCGCGGGGCTGGTACTTGCGGCTCGCTATGCTGCAATTCGTAGTCCGTAAGAACGGATACCGTTGTACTTGTAATCGGGCTTTCAGTCGTGGTAGTAGACATGATTCTGGACGGTCCGCTGGCGGTGTGGTATTATGGTGCCTGTCGATATTTGTGTGGACTCAGGGAATATGACCACTGGTTTTGGGTCGAAGACGTCGATGAATGGCGAGAGCTAGGGAAGCGATGAAGGGAAAATCTGGGGTAATTCCTGATTTGTCCACTACGGGAGCAGTTCGGTCCCGCTGAGCAAAGTGCCGAAAGATGACGGATCATGTGGTATACTGCTAGTATAAAAATCATATCATATCATGGCTGTGATGTGGTCCCGAAATGTTCGGGCCGAGAGACTGGGCCGAAGTGGACGACCAAAGGTGATCCACCACGCAACTGCAGTAGGTATAGCTATGCTGATCTAGTTACTCCAGAAAAAAAAAAGATAATAATATCAGGCGTTTCTTTTATCGATCCGTGAATCACTGCCACAGTGAAATCTGAGTGCAATTTCACACTTTCCTTGCACCTTGTGCGCAATTCGGCTACATCAATATGGAGTCGAAATCGAATTCTCGATCGCATCCCCCACAGTTTTCCGCCATTATAGCTGGAAATATTGATGAACGCACGGATAATATTAGATACCGCCAGAGACAATTCCACCGCCTTCAATCGAACATTCTCCAGCACCTGACCGAACTGAAAGAGGCCATCTCCCAGGACTCGGGTCATAGCGTAGAAGAAGTGCAAACGGAGGTCTGTCTGGCGTTGAAGGAAATTCGCTCCCACTACTCTTCCTTGAGCCTCGAACAGAGTGTTCAGGTAGAATATCGCGTGGCACGCGGAGAAGATAATCTGGACAGGAAGAAAGGTACCGGTATTGTCTATATCATACCTACCACCCACACGATCTTTTATTCGGTCATCGCTGCGCTGAGTGCTGCCCTCGCAGCGGGAAACTGTATCATTTTGGAGGTACCTATAGCGCTCAAAACTTCCTTCCTTTTTTTAAAGTGAGCGCCTTGTGCTAAGAATGGAAACAGCTTCCCAAAACGACCTCAAGAGTCACTGCGCTACTCCGCCGAATCCTCACCAAAGCGCTAGATAGTGATACATTCACTATTAGCGAGAGCCGTCCTGACGCTGATTTTCTCAGTACTACCCTTGTTTTGAACCAGCAGTGTCCTAAATGCGTTACACCTTCACCAAATCTGGAGTCGCCGAACACTTTGCGGACGGTGGCCGTAGTAGACCGAACGGCCAATCTTCAGGAAGCAGCAGTTGATCTTGTCCGAGCGCGGTTTGCATTTAATGGCTGCTCTCCGCACGCTCCGGATGTAGTGTTAGTCAACCAGTTCTGCATGCAACCTTTCGTGGAATTGGTGATCAAACACGCCGCCAAACACCTTGGAAGCGACAATCGTGGCGCCAACTCGCTTCCTAAACGCCCCAAACAGTTATCGGTGCTTGACCAGATAAGCTCCGAGGAAGGAGTTAAGGTGATCGTGTCTGGAACTGGCTGGGGTATTGCACTGGTACAGAATCGGTAAGTTAATGGCTATCTAGCAACAGGCTTCATCATTCCCTCGAACGTTAGTCTAACCATGCATAGTGATTCTCCCCTGTTGCACACTAAACTCAGTGAGAAGTTGCTATTACTGCACCCCGTGTCCAGCTTGGACGATGCGATCAATCTAAGTAACACGTACGTCATTTGGATTACCCGCGATATGTTCTTCAGTATAATCACTAACAGCATAGGACATTCAGTGCCGGTACTCATACCGCCACGTACACCTTCGCGGTCCCAGCTGCAGCCAAATACGTGTCAGAGTCAATCGATGCGCATGCCGCATGGATCAACCACGTTCCTTATGACATGCTTGGTAAGTACAAATTCACATCCATCTGTCGTCGACAGACACTGACGATATATCCCTTGTGTCAAGTCGGACCCGTCGTCCCTCTCAGCTATCGCGTCGATCCCCACACACGGTACACAACAGAGCAGTTTGAGGTTCTCCGGCCTCAGGTTGTGAACCCAGCCATCAACACGACGATCGCCAAGGCTCTCTTAGAAGGAAAGTCGGTGCAGTCCGATCGGAGGTTGCAGGAGCTTCTTGCTCCGCTCCCAGCCATCCAACAGCGACCCGGGCACAAGATTGGTTATTTTGAGCAGGGTATTATTACAGGAGGGCTCATCACGCTCACCTCGCTGATTACAATTGTGTCTGCCGCGGGATATTGGGTTTTGAGAATGAGGTAGTTGTAGTATACTCATGTAGTTAGCAATATGCCCTGCCCTTACTTTACCCAACATATAATTCCCTAGCCTAGGTTTAACTCTGTAGCATTCTTTTGGACACTGCTGTGGGGGAAACCCGCAGAGATAATGTACTTGTAATTCCATTAGGTGCGGTATATCCTTACTGTCTAATCCTTTTTTCGCATTAAAAAAGTGCCAGATCTATCTACGATATCGTAACCAACAAGATATGGAATAGTTGGTTATTTGACAATATTTACTTCCGGTGTCAAGGACACTCTGACTTTGAGTCGTACATCTCGTGATATTGTCTCTGCAAGAGACCAAACTTCGCTTCCCTGAGCTCCCCCGAGGTTCACAAGTACCAGAGCATGGCCAGAATAAACCCCGGTCCTTCCGGTATTTCTTCCCTTCCAACCATACTTCTCGATTAGCCATGCCGTTGGTATGATCCATCGCCCGTCCGACTTTGAGATCAAAGGAATATCCGGATGCATCTGGGTAAGTGTATTTCGGACCGACTTGTTAACGACGACATTTTTGAAAAAGCTTCCAGCATTGCCTAGGACTGTTGAATCAGGAAGCTTCCGTCTCGACAAAAACCCAGGGCCCAGTAAAGAACTGCGAACAGTATCTCCCGTATGAGTGGGCCACCTCGATCGTCCGTATGAAATATTACTTTCAGAACGCTTAGATCGCAACCACTTAATGGCTGGACAAGATGATTATGGGGCTGTTCCTGTGGGCGAACGCGGGATATATGGGTCCGTTGGTCAGCGCATCCTTGACGCGCTTGTACTGCATAGTCTTGAACGGAAAGAAAACTCTCGACACTCATACACCGCGATTATTTTTTCACATATTTATAACAAAAGAAAAATCAATGTGGCGGCCATCTCCCTGGAGTCAAATATGTCGAAGAATATTTTGGCATTAATTCTCTGTGCTGCGATGGGGTTGGCTTGTGGCACAATCCATTGCCTTCTTCCTCGTTTTTTAATATTGAGAGTGTTAAATATATATTCCAACATAATCCCGTTACTTTTGACAACGTGGGAGCCAAATGACAACCTCTTAGCAGAGTATCAACTATATTAAGATGTTGAATGAATATTTAATGTTTTTATTATCAGAATGTATAAGCTAAACCGTATGCAGGTATGGCATCTATTGGAAATATCAACAACAACTTTTTCTACACGTGTGGGAAAGTATATACCATCAGCAAGACGCACAGTAGCCACGTATATGCAACATGCTCCGCTAGATGGCACTACATATTGGCTAGTGCTTGTGATGGGGGTCTTTATGACTTGGGATACAATATCTTTGTCAACCAGCTCAAATCAAAGGAGCTATAGTAAAAGTAAATCCAACTTCAACAAACTATTATATACACAGAGACAATAACAATTATGCTGCAACCTTGGGCCAGGAACCAATAGTAAATTGAGAATTACACATATTCGTGAGTTCCCACGTCTCAGTCGCCAGAATGGCAGGTGTTCCCTCATCCTCGAAATCCCCCGCTGCGCCCGCAACGAACATGGCAGCCATGAAATGATCATCTGTCGCATGCGCGTCGCGGTACTCCGGATGCTTCATCAGGCGCGTCATTGCACGTCTTAATTGTGGCCCCGAGGTCTTGGTGAAGACATCTTCAACAGATTGTCGGAACTCCAAGGCCCAGTGCTCCGGCGGCGTATCCTGGGCGAAGTTGTCGCGGAAGCGAAGCATAGGGGCCCAACGATTGCGGTACAGGTTATGAACCGCCCCGCCCGTTCCGATAATGAGATAGTTCTCCTTGCGCAGCGTACGGAGGGTCGCGCCCACCTTCATATGGAAATGGGGGTCATATCGGGCGTTCATGGAGATGATGGTGGATGGCGGGCAACCGTTGGGGAACATCCGGATTAAGATAAGATATGTATCGTGGATCCAGTCGAAGGTGTCGTTGCCACTGACATTGTACCCGGCCTCGTCGAGTAGGTCAATGCAGCGTTGTGCGGTCTTCAAATCGTTGTTGAGCTTGTAGTCGACGTACTTTGACGGATGAACGTACGCGACGGGACTCTTGCCTGGGTTAGGGTTCGTTGAAACCTGGATCTGATCGCCAAAACAATCCCAATGGGCGCCCTGCCAACGGTCAGTAGTCAAATAATTTCAGGACGCCAATGGCCGACTGGTGGCCGCCGACTCACCATGAGAATAACTCCCTTGATGCCGTTTCGGAGGGCCTCGTCACCACACTGTTTCCAATAGTCGGCCGAGGAAGACTCCTCGCCCAACATCATGGTCGAGCCATGGGAAAAGAAGTGCACCGGGGTTAACGCTGCTAAGCGTCAGGACATGAATCTTTGGAAACGAGGCGACAACATACTCATGTTTAGGGATGTTCAATTACGGATATCACTGATTCACTGTTTCCAAAGAGGTGCCATGATCACGGTCTATATCTCGGGCTGGGATGGACGTCGGATCCCCCATTCGGAAAAGAGAGCCACGGTTCATCTGAATAGCCTTCGGCACGGTGGTCCACATTCCGAGCGGCCACTCCGTTGCTCTCCCAGCAAATTCCTACAGCCTCAGCTCTAGTGAAGAGTATGCCGATCTCGGATAGAGTGGAGTGGCAACCTGAGCCCGTGGTTTGCTCTCAGGTGATGTTGTGGTGTGTTTAATCTCGGATCGGAACATATCTTCTTCTTACCTGATGATATTGCGCTACCTGACGTTTTATGATCAATTAAATATAGTTAGGATACTATTTAAGGGTTTGCCAGTCCTCAGATGCCTTCAATCTCAGACAATTTCACTTGCTTTGGCCCATCAGTACTGCTGTCAGAACTCGCAGTTCCCGTCACTCAGCAAAGAAAGCTATAGCATCTGGCGGGTGGGTCCGGTGGGTCAAGTGGCAGCTTTCCAGGGATTCAACCTTTAGCCTTTCAGGTTCTTTGTTTGAATGTCGGTTGAGGCAGAGGCGGTTACGGTGGTGGTGACGATCGCGAAATATGAACAGATTGGTAGGCACGCGCGCAATACCAGCGAGGTGCCACATCGCTGTCACTGTCTACATCCTTTTAGTCTAAGAAGCGTTCGGATGTTACTCGCCTCGCTTCTGCCTCCAAATATTTGGAGATTCCAAGCTCGCACTTTAGGTTAGCATAGACGCTAATGCAGGAAGATAAAGCTATACAGAAGGCCGGTGCATTCATCTGTCAACGGCCTTCCTGCATTATGGTGGGTAATGATTACTTAGGTTGAGACAGGGCTAAGTGTGCAAGAATAGAGAACGGCGACAATAGAGCGTCCTCTAGCTATTAGTCAAACTGCCCGAGTTAATACTAGACATCAAAACCTGTCTCTATCCCATGAAACCTCTTGACCGCGGAGATGCTTAATGCTGAGGCCCACAACCTTAGGAGCCCGTCGATTCAGCTCGAATTTCCGAACGCTGAGCCGCTGGTACCCACAGAAGCTCTATGTACAAACGAAACAAAGAATATTAACGACCATGGCTGAATGTAACTTTGGTCTGAGCTTAACTCGTTGACCTTCTAAGGAAAGAGAAGCGAAATCGGAGTGCCAAGGACATAGTAGATTACTCTCTGTGATCGACTGTTTCCTTTTACATTATAAGCTTTCAGACTAGCTTCGAGCCCACATGCCCTGATTGCCACTAATCGTGACCTGACAGAGCAGCGCACAAGGCCCATGACCACACGGACCAAAATAAGAAAAGGGGCTCGTGTTCTGGCCTAGTTGCCAAGAGGTCCCTTATAGTTCACATGTATCATTGGTGGAGAGGGATTTATCTTTCCTCCTTGCAAAGCATGGCTGGTATGGCTGCATTTTAATGCGTAGTGATTGTTGCGGTGGACGTTGGGTCTGGGGTGACTGAGATTTTCAATGAGTGCTCTTGGTATTTACTCGGCAACGATCACTCTTCAGGATCACATTGGTAAAATATATTATTTGAACTAATATACAGGTAGCTGTTTCTGCTCAATATGGAGCTGACTGACGTGCTGAAATCACCGAAGAGAACGTATCAACACTGTACTGCCGCATGTCCGAGTCTGTGGCGCTATGTCTCCCAGGATCACTCCGGTAAGTCGATGAGATATTGTGCGCCTGCGAACATGAACATAGCGGTTCCGGATCAGACGTTGATGGGCCCTTGGAGATCTCGATCAATTGACTCAGGACGGCATATTCCAACTTTAACTTGATACTATATGCCACGGGCTTGAACATCATTTGAATGGCGAGGTATCCCGCGAACTGGACTGCGGCGACTGCCACGTCGAGTACCATAACCACAATATTAATCGCCACGAGCCGAGTGAGAATCGGACGGTGAAGTGTGTCCGGTCGAAGTCGCAGTAGCTTTACCGTTTCGAAGATATAGATTCCTGAAATAAGAAGCTCCTGCAAACAGAAGCCCACGAGCTGAATTCGCTCCATCTTGTTATATACGACCGCAAACCGTGCCGAAGTGCGAAAGCCTTCATCGTGGATCAAGGTTCCATAGAAGAGCACCGTTGCAGGAATAAACAGGACAATACTGTCGACAATGATGAGGATGAGGATGGCACGGAGTATCTTTGGCGACTGCAGGATAAGGTGCAGTCGTGACCAGAGTACAAGAGAATGGCCCGCCACGACGCAGTACCAGCTCGGGATGATTATGGAGGCAGAAGCCCAGCGAGTAAGTCCGAAATAAAAGATAAAGAAGAGCCATCCAAGGACAAGTGGGATCAGGCCAACGGTGGCGATCAACAAACTCCAGAAGTAGCAGCCGCTATACCGCTTAAACGTGGTTAAGCATATAATCACCAGTTCCACGGCATTGTACCAGGCAATTGTCGCGAATACTGTAATGATGTATGTTTGGAGCTTGGTGACTCCTCCCGTCTTTGGCTGGATCAAACCGGGGTCCGGATCAGGCGGCATGAGGATATCATGACTCTCGAATCCACGGAGCTTGGTGTTTATGGCGTGTGTAAAGGTGAGATTGAGCTGGGCACCTTCGCAGCCCCAGTTAAGTTCCACAGGTATTCAAATGTGAAAGTGTATTGAAATTCTGATGGAGGATGCCCGGGTTTGTATATGGCTTGCATAGTCAAAATCGTTCCGTGGACTCCAACCAGAGATTGAGTAGATCTTAGGCCTGTAGACAGTATACAGGCACAAACAGGGGTCGAGCGATTATTTATTGCCGATCCAGTTGAGAATCGCTGAAAGACAAAGTTAAGCTTTCCCTGGTCCCCATGGAACCCTCAGGGTTACATTCTTTTGAGCGGCTTTGTATATAACTTCCCAACAAGGTGCCCTGACGTCAAGATCCGTGCAGTCGGTGTCAAACAGCATATTCGGGTTCAACGAAAGGAAAAAGTGCACCGCATTGGTAGGGATGCAGTCCGCGCTGGAAACCTTCTTTCCATGGATCATGACTGGCCATGTGCCACACCGGTCTAGACCAAACCTTGTGACATCGCTGGCGATCCCCAGTGCAAAGGTACAATGAATCACTCGTCCGAGAATAAAATTGGGAGCTTAGTTCAGGTCTTTGTGCCTTCATCGGCCAGCGTAACCTTTCGAATCCCGTGTAATCGTCGGGGCTATGGCCCAGAATACAATAGAACGTCGCTTGTGCACATCTGGAAAGCCCTACGATCTTGCTCAACGGTCTTGATCTGGGGCCCTTTGTACGCTCTGCTTTGGTGTAATTAATCGCTGATTCAGTGGTGTTCGAGGCCGAGTCTGTGCCGGAAGAAGGCGCATATTTGGAACATCAGAAGGACTGGTGGTCGGCCTCCGACTGGAGTTGGCCCACCTTCGTTCTATTTCTCTATCATAGTTCATAGAGCCCAACTCCTATAGTTCCCCACTTTCTCCTATTCACTCTGCGGTCGATTGTCTAGTCTGGAAATTGTGTTAAAGGGTCTAGACAGTCAATGTGTTTCCGCAGTTCGCACATTTGTTAGTTAGCTGAGCAGCGTTGATACCTATGTCGCTTTAATCCATCCAGGCAGTGATATTCTATCTTCTAATGGTCTATCTTACCCTATCGAGTATATTACATTCCCTTTTACCCCTGCATGCCACTTATCCTGATGGGGTATGGCATAGGGCACTACTAGTAGTAGGCCTCGTTTGACCACGTGACGAGTAGTACTACGGGGGGCAATTCGTGCCACTCGGGAAGATCAGGGCAGTGTTGTGGCACTAATACATTAGACCGGAATATCCTCAGCAGGGGCCATTTTTCTCTTAGCGTTACGCGTCCATTTTTGATCTAGATGATTGCCTCTGTCCGCTTAACTGATAGGTATAGCTGAGAAAAATGTCCTCCTTCCGAGTGTTGATCGTCGGAGGCAGCATCACAGGGTTGTCCTTGGCGCTGATGCTAGAGAAGAACAACATCGACTTTCTGGTACTCGAGGCATATCTGGACATCGCGCCTCAGGTCGGTGCTTCGTTGGCCTTACAGTCTATTGGACTCCGGATTCTCGACCAGCTGGGCGTTTGTGATGAGCTTTTGGAACATGCGCAGGGCCACACTGTACAAGAAAGTATTTACCGAAGCCCAAATGGCGAGAAGATGTGGAGGGCCAGCAACCTCAGTGACGAGATGAGCGATCGGTATTTGATGTTCCTTCCCCGTGCAAGCCGTTGTCTAATATGCTCAATTATAGACACGGGTATCCGATAGCGTTTCTAGACCGACAAACGGTGCTTCAAACGCTATACAACAAAGTTCAGAATAAAAGCAAGATCCTGACAGGAAAGAGGGTACAGACTATAGACAATTCTGATCCGACCATGGTAAATGTAATTACAACCGATGGGTCAATATATAGCGGTGACATTGTCGTCGGCGCCGACGGGATTCATTCAACCGTTCGCCAGGAGATGGCGCGTCAAGACGTAGACACGGGTCGAGATTACTTAGAGGAAAAATGTGAGCGCCGTTCTTCCTTCATTGATCTTTTTTCAAAGTCCTGGAAGTAGAGCTGATTGACTTCATAGCAATCTCTGCAACCTACTCCTGTGTCTTCGGGATTTCACACCGGACTCCCGGCATTGATCCTGGCACCCTTCAGGACGTATTCAACGAGAAGTTCTCTTATCTTATTGCTGACGGGCCCGGCGACCGTACCTATTTCTTCCTATTTGAGCACATGGACAGGGTGCGATTTGGCCAGGAAATCCCTCGACTCACAGAGGCAGACAGAGATGAAATGGCCGGCAGACACTTTGATGATCCTATCACCTCAGATGTCAAATTTGGTGACATCTACGCACGTAGAATCAGGTCCGGCGTCACTCCCCTGCAGGAGCATGTATACAAACATTGGCATTATGGAAGAATGATTGCGCTTGGTGATGCAAGCCACAAGGTAGGCAGATGTCCGGAATACTGCCAGCCAATGGAATACAGGCTGACAGTAAAGTCATAGCTTCATCCATTAACAGGGCTGGGGGCGAACTGCTGCATCGAAACAGCAGCATGCCTCACCAATGGCCTTATGAGGCTACTACGCTCTACACCTCCTGGAAAACAGGTCCCAGATAGGGAGATATCCGACATGTTCGAAACGGTTGAGCGGACACGCCAGCCAAGGGTTCGCCAGCTCATCGAGATAGCCCACAAGCGTCAGAAGCTCGAGGCTATGGACACACCCGAACTAAAGTCGTATGTTGCTACGAGGATCCCAAGCCTCCCAGTAAAGGTTGTCTACAACGAATGGTTAAAGACCATTCCACAGGCAGTGTCGCTGGATATGCTTCCTTTACCAACAAGGCCACACAGAGTCCCCTATCATGATGAGCTAAAGGCCGAGGAGACCAAGCATGCCAGGGAGGGTTCCAAATTATAATGGGAGGGGTGTCTCGCGTCTATTTGGGCTGATATAAAGATGACCTATCAGATGCTCAAACCCCTTTTCGCGACACCGATCGGTTATATGGACGCTATTATGCTGGCGGACACGGCGAAATCTTTTCTAGACCGTATTTTCAGAAGTAAATATATAGATTGGCTCCTCTCCGGCATCCGCGGCTATCATCATATCCTGAAAAGGCTTCCTATTTACCTACTGAGATCTGAGCATTTGTATGTGCTTCTATTTTGCTGCGGCTACTCTCCGACAATTGCCTATAAACTGTATAGACACAAATATACACTGTAGGTTGCACGATAGGTAACAGAAGGGCCTGAGCAGCAGTTGACAGCCCCATAACTAACAACATAATAGGATAATATTTCCTGGAATAGTGTTCCGCATGTCCATCGATCCGTAACGCGTTAAATGGCCTTCAAGAAACCTAAAACATGTGTGCATAGCTGGAAATTCACTGCAGTCGATGACCTCTCCAGATAAGCGACGTGGTTACACCACGTAAGATGATACCATCGGGCAACTTTCCTGTATTCGCCCACAGCAAACTCCTTTCATCCGTGATTCACATAACCTATTGCGACTGACAATGTGGGTGGAGAATGACTAGCCGTGGAGCGGCCCCATGCCATTAACCGTTTGCTTTCGAGTCAGTCAAATCAAGAGCTAGTACACCCGCTAACCAATGAGATAAAGCAAAGCGCGCCTTAGGGTATTGCAAAGCTGTTGGTTTAGAGACAATGCACCAATAACTAAGCTCAGGTCGCTGAAGAACTTGCCGGCGGGGCTTAGCGTAAGGCCGGTAAGCCCAGGCAACGTGGCCAGCAAGCCTTCGGAGATGCAGGGCCGCATGCCACCAGTCGCATGAGGGGTCGGTAATATCTGGGGTAAGACGAGAGACGATCTTCACGCATCGACTGGCCCAGGATCCTAAGCTAGTGTAGCCGACTCTTGGCCGCAGCTTCTTTCCCCTCACGTCAAGGCCAAGCCTGAATGGCGACAGCACCCGCCAACGCATATTTGCATTTGCCAAAGTCTGTGATCTCCATCTTCGTACAAATACATTCCGAGAAACCTCCGTTCATCCTTGGACTGGGAGAATTGACCCCGAGCGGCGGGCGAGTGGAGTAGGGGTGATTGGCGGAAAAACCCCACTCTATGCTGCAGACAAAGTCCTTCGAATCTCACTGTGGTCTAACATATCAATGTTAGAATGTGGATTGCTGCCAGTTGTATCTGGCTATAAATAGAACTCAATGTCCCAGGACCTTTTAATCATTGACCTGTCGAGAATCACTGTTTCCTCTTATCTAGACTCGTCGTTACCCTCTACAACTATATCCTTATCATATTGAGTGAACCATTGTCGAAATGAGATTCGGCGCTCTTGGACTCGCTGCCAGTCTGTTGAGTCAAGTTCAGGCAAGTCCTGTCGCTCGTGCAGCAAAGACACCATACTTATTCCTCATTGGTGACTCTACCGTTGCTGTAAACGGTGGTTGGGGCGATGGCCTTTTAGCCTACCTGAAGGATCCAGCCAAGGGTGAGAACAGGGCAAAGAGCGGAAGTACCACCGTTACCTGGAAATCCGATGGAAGATGGGACGATCTCATTGAAAGCATCGGAGCCAACGCTGCCGACTATGAACCGATCGTTACTGTGCAGTTTGGTCACAACGACCAGAAGGTCCTTACCCTCGACGAGTTCACATCGAATCTTGAGAGCATCGCCACTGACATCCAGGAGGCTGGTGGAACTCCTGTAAGGCTTCGGTTCGCATCTACCTGATTGGAATATATGTGCTGATGATATGGACAGATCTTCATCACTTCCCTTACTCGTCGGAACTTTGACGGCGATGAAGATAAACAAGACCTTAAGGACTGGAGCGATGCGACCATCGCCGCTGCCAAGTCCGTTGGCATCAAATACCTGGACTTGAACTTGGCCAGCACGAACTACGTCAACGCTATTGGCGAGGAAAATGCTATGAAGTATAACCTTGCTAGTGACGATCGAACACACTTGAATACTGCGGGCGAGGCCGTCTTTGGTCGGATGACTCTTGACCTTCTGTTGGAGGCACGTGAGGATCTCAGTGAATACTTCGAATCCAACGAGGCATTGAGTGAGAAGATCGCCAATGGTGAATACGCTACGGGGGATGAGTAATGGATTTGCCTAGCACGGTAGACAGCAGCAGATATATGCAGTACGATATGCTAGGGATAGAGTATCGAAAGCAGTTGGTGCCATATTATATTTTGCTTGACTCTTATTAAGATCATATATACGAGTAATTGTATTACTCATTTACCAGCGTGATCCCAATCAAAGCTAGTTTCCACTACCCGAATAGTCATCACTTTTCTGAAGGACTGTCTATCTGTAAATTAATGGCTTATACTATGGCCATCGTTCCTGCGCCCCTATCATCAGCCATAAGGCGCAGGCCTCGGGATAAAGATAAAGCGAGAGGATCCTGAAAGGGCAGTTTCAGGATTGTCGCACGCGCCAAGCCGGTACTTTGTGCTTGGTAACAGTCTCTGCCATTCAGGACACGTTGTGTATATGAAATGACGTACTTCATACCAAGGATTGTCGTCGAATCTTCCGATTCCTGAGTGGAGCCTTTCACCCAGCTTGGTCGCACTTGCAGTTGCCCAGTATCCTAGGCAAGAACGGGAATCCTATGCTACATTGGATATCTTTTTACTCTATAGACAGTTTGATTTGAGCAAATCTTCTACCTATGCGCCGATTTGCCCCGGACTTCGATACCTCTATTGGTGATATTAAAGTGCGGACCACGAAAACAGTACAATCGGCGTTGGTTGCTATGTGTAGAGAATGAAAACCCATATAACGTTCTCATGTAATGTCGGACTATTAGGACTAAGACGTTTATCTACATAAACGTCTCATGAACACATGTGGTGACTTTCAACCTTCCCTTCATATTGAACTTTATTATCAAATTCGAAACCATCCGTCAGTTACAAGTAAGCAATCATTAGTTGAAGAAAGATCTTGGTAAAACTAACCTTGTCATATATAGGTACTTTGACTGGATTTCTCCTTATTCTCACAAGGGCACAGCGACATTCAGATCCATAGTTGGCAAGTCGCGTGGAAAAACAGACTGAGGCGTCCCTACACGCGCGAGTCGAGACCGCCAAGTGGTTCATCGGGGTTATTTCGTGTGGCCTTCGCTGACATCTTCCGATGGGAGAAGTTGTTATAAAAGCTTGTAAGGAAATGTGAGGCCTCGGTTGAATACTGTCGCCTTAGGGTCTGCCTCTGAGGAGCCCGTGTGGGTTTGGACTTGGTAGCAACGGTATCGGCAGAGGACTCTTGAGGTTGCTGATAGGATGACACGGCCATTTTCAAAATACTTTGACTTGACTGACTAGTAGTAGATGTTGAGGTGGAAATAACGGGACCTGAACGGTCTTTTTATGTGGCTGGCGTCCCACTTTGGTACCGCCACACTATAACCTAATTCTCACATTTCTTACGTTTTATGTACGTCAGATGTCCATTAGCAGTCCAATTCTGGTTAAGAAGCAGGTGAGGGTAGCTAAGGAACCTGGTGAGAGAATTACACACCAGCGAGATGTTGTCGAGGCCTACTTCCTTTTTACAAGAAACATCCTGCAAGGCCAACCTGCGAAAAGCCTGTTAATAGCGTCATATATACATTCCTTGAATTGACCATTCTCAGCTACCTGTACGCCGAACAAAGTAAACTTAAATACCTTCATAGATATACTGGATACACTATATAGTCACAATGCTTAATGGCAAATAGCTGAACGCTTAGGATTTTGCTTCATCGGGGAACTTCCGCAGCATATCACCTAAGCGATCCATCGGGGCCGACATCAGCCCAGCCACGGTCTCATAAGGGGGCTTATCAGGTGCTGCCGGATGACTACGAGTAGGAATGAACTTCTTAGTGCGACCGAATGAGCGCGCCATGCTATCAGAGTCGGATTCACTCAGAACATGCTCGAGAGCCGGGAGTTCTTGGGTTTCTTCCTCCTTGATGTGCTGTGCTAAGTTGGCCCAGAGGGCTTTAAGTGTGGGAATGAATTCGGGGTCGTCGGGTTGAAGTCCTTGGAATTTGTAGAGGTCTTCCTTTACCTTGTAAAACATACATGTCAGTTACCTTCAGTCATAGCCAACGGTTCCTTCGGGGACGTGCACTATAGAAGGCTTACTATTTGATGTTCATGTCGATCATGGTCCGCCATCGCTTTGCCATTGTTGAGCACTTTCTCCATCCGCGGGTAAACTACGAGCTCTTCCCCGATGGAATGGCGGGCGAGCTCCCATGTGAATTGGTTCTGCCATCGTTCCTTGTCATCATTCGTTTTGACGCTTAGAATGCGATTATAGGCATCCTCCAGTTCGCGATGATCGTTCTTGATCAGGTCGGACACGCGAGTCGCTGCCGGGGCAGTGGTGCGAAAGCCTCGTTCGGCTCGCAGGGCAGTTCTGGTGAGACAATACTGTGGGGGGAACTCGAATGCTTTGGATAAATATCGTGAGGAATACATTTTATTTTCAGTAGCAGGAATTCAGACTTTCATTAGTTGATCTGCATGAAGTACCAGAGATATAGTAGACATTACGAGGAATAGCACAGCGACAATTTATAATCTCAATTTTACGGATAGATAGTTCGACGTCGCCATATATCCGTAAGAATGACATGCATGACCAGTAGCATAGATATCCATGGCTTCACATTTGGGCCAGCTAACGACAGCTTAGCGATTAATCAGGTTTCTAGTGAACAGTTCTAATTAAGATTCCGGATCCAAGGTTCAGCATGAAGGAAAGATGGACATATTCCAACTGTTTCTCCACTCTTGCGGACCGATAACCCACCAATCATTTGCCTTTTAATCAGTCCGACCCTCGCATTAGCAGGTATTCTATTTGGCCTGTATCCTATAAATGTTTTTGGAGACCTGGACAGACCCGCAGTCCGCTTCTAGGCCTGTCTAGGCCTTTCTTGGCCCTATCATGCGTAGTTGAAGTCCGCTAACCACGACCATAGCCTCCACGAGGAGTAACACGTATGGCTCGTGTGGTTGTAAGGGGGGCAATCGCTCTAGTAAGAACCTAGAGCGAATGGTGTATCCTTGTACGCTGGGTCCTTTCCCTTCGCTTTCGAATGGTGGTGTCGTTGACCATGAACAGGTGGCAGCGGTGCATTGGGGTAGTTTGACACTACGAAAGATGGTTCAAACGTCACTACGGTACCTCTTAATAGTATATACAAACATACCTCGAACTATGCCAAATCATATAGACCAACCATCTCGGAACTTCTAGTGTAAAAGCTCCGGGTATTCGTCCACTTTTCCACCCGTGATGCTCGGTCGTGAATTTCCAGATCTGGTCCGAAAGCCTCGGGCTTCGCTGTTAGATTTTAGACGGGCGAGGGAAACTCTTATATCGTGGACCTAAACTTGGTACGTGGCTTATGCCGATTCTACAGAGGATGAACCCGGTTTCTTCAACCAGATCCCATTCAACCTAAAAATGTCCGGACACCATAGACGTCTCTATAGTCTAATTTATACAGTATTCTCAGGTTGACAGGATTAATAATACGCCCCAACTCTCTTTAGCCACTGTTCCTGCAAAAATGATCTTGATCATAGGAAGACTCCGTGATCGTCTACTGCACGCCATGGTCCGGATATTTTCTTCTCGATATCCGTTACCAAGTTCCGCGATGTTCTTTACATATCATCAGAAAGTATTATCATTTTCTTATATCTCTGCTGAGCCACATTACAGCAACATTTTGTTTAGAGTCATCTTCTAATTCACGTGACGGCCCAATTCGGTCAGCTGATTCCGAGGGCCGGAACCCTATCACCATGGTCAAATCACCACCCATACTGGCTTCATACCCCTTCCGATAACGATTATTGCTTTTGAGATGCAAATCTTTGGGATTCTAAAACTATCTTCACGGATAATGAATAAAATCTCTCTCAGGCATTGACTTTTCTTAATGTCACCCGTACAACATGGCCCACCCTCATCACAGTCTACGCCATTCCCGGAAAATGTACCCCAGCCTGTCAATAATGGAATTTACTCTCGATACTCGACATTGTTAGCGGTCAAATTTCTTAAGCATTGTCGACCTTGCCACGGGAATGTTCTCATGTTAACAGACAGATTATGTGTGAAGTACGGGCGCCGTGTTCATTTGTCTGAAGCATCAACAATGCGTTTCATATCGCGGCATACGTCTATACAAGTGCCAAAAAGTTTTATGTTCATTCACTCATCGTGGATTGACGTATATCGTGATGGAAAGGATTAAGGGGGACATAATCGGTAATGGCTGGATTCACCGAAATAAGGAGTCCAAGGCAAAGCTTCTTTCACAGTTGGCAAAAATGGTTGCCGAATTGCGAGAACTCCAGCCCCCGGATGATATCGGGGTCGCTTTGGTTGATGGTGGAGCACTCTTCGATTGTTGTGTGCCGGGGCATTCTCTAGACTTCGGTCCATTTAATACAGTTCAAGACTTCCATCGGCATTTACGAATGGGCATGGAATTCAATCCCGGCCTTGACCCCCAGATCCAGGATCTTATCAACCAACAAAGCAAAACCTGGCCATTAGTCTTCACTCATGGAGATCTTAGCAGCCTAAATATTCTCATCCGTGGAGATGATATCGTTGACATAGTTGATTGGGAAACGGCTGGCTGGTATCCATCATATTGGGAGTACACATGTGCCCAACAAGTCAACCCACAAAACTCCTTTTGGATTAATGAGATTGACAAGTTCTTACAACCAATGCCTCAAGAGTTGAGGATGGAACGGATCCGTCAGGAACACTTTGGGGATACATGAGTAATTCTGGTTAACCACCGTGACTCATACAACCACCTCCTTCATCTCTATCAAGTCGTAGGTTGGGACCTTTCTCATATCGAAGTTGCCCTTACTACCAGACCGGTGGTGTCTTTCTTCTTTTAACAATAACCCATCGCCTCGTTGCGTACTTCATCCCATTTCGTGACGATCTTCCCAAGGGCCTTTACATCCGAGTCGAGCAATTCCAGTACCTCCTTTACCCATGAGACACAGTTCCGACCCGGTTGACCTTGTCCGATGGGGTACTGTGCAGAATTTTGACCAAGCGACTCCCACCCACTACTTCTCCAACAATGATACGAACAAGTAGAATGTTGGTAGGGGTGAGTGGACAGTCGCGCTCCTTACAGTGTCATTCTGAGCCCCCTCCGCTTTTGGTCTCTCCTTCGCGTGGTAACGGACACCCATGTCCCCCCTCTGCTTCAAACTTTTAGCCCAATGATCAAGGACCAGTGGTACCTAGCTCAGGCAGGATATCTAACAGCTCCTTCCATTATGGAACTTGGCTTATATCGTATAACAGATAGTTGGTGCATGCCTCGTATATCCCATTGGGGGATAGACTAAGAACGTGGATGGCTTACTGGCTCTTATATTTTCTTTTGTTTACCTTCTTCTAGCTACACATCGCAATCTGCTCCATTTCCAGACTTTCAGATTTTTAGCTACCCAAGTCCACAGGAGTGTGATAGAGGACCATATAGCCAATTATGCCATTAACTTGGCTCCACGTATAGCCTCGTATGGTTGGGGTCCGCAGTGGAAATGACGGGAGCGGGAACGTTGGGATTGTCCTCAACACTCAACATCAAGTTATATTCGTCTTACTAAGATTCTGTAGGGATTAGTAATTTCCTTTGCCCTGGCAAGTTTCAAAGATAAATATGTCCCTCCTAGCATTTCATGCCATACATAGATAATACCACACGTACTCCTTCGTCATGGTTGTCGGCGGCTGCTTCTGCGGAAAGATCCGTGTCGAGTATAATGGCGAGCCCATTATATCGGTGAGTATATTCTCTTCCCGGAAATATCCAATCGAGTACTGACATATCTAAATAGGCATTATGTCACTGCTACGATTGTCGCAAATTGACCGGAACTCTTTTCACCTACAGTTTCGTGGTCCACGTGGCGGACCTGAGAATTACAGGGAGTCCCAAGGAAGTGGCCAAAAGGGCTGACAGCGGGAATCATATCAAGAATTATTTCTGTTCAGATTGTGGTGCGTGGTTTGCAGTCTGCGAATTAAAGAAGATATAAACTGAACGGGATTTATAGGGACACCAATCTACGGGCACAAGATCAAGCCGTCGGGGGTTCCCGAGGATATCACGATTCTTAGGGCTGGGATTTTTGATGATATGGAGTTTCTGCATCGGCACAAGCCACAGGCGGAGATCTATAAACTAGGACGGGTAAAATGGATGTGCCTTCTGGAAGGAGTCGATCAATTCATTGGCATGCCGCCGCTTGCCTAGTAATATTGAAATAACGATTTTCTTTATGAAGAGGATTTTCAATTCTGGCGGAACAAACGGACACATGATTCCATTCACAAATAATGAAGCAGAGGGTCATTTTCTTTTCTTTTCTTCTGTCGTCTCTAAGTAGAGTAGCTGACCTGGAAGAATACTACAGCACTGAGCCTTGCTTCATTCACTCTATCCAAAGCTGTTCCCAGATCCTAAGACTTCGGTGGTAGAGGCTTAACTGGCCACTCGTAGTCCCTCTTGAAGATAGCTTCGAATGACCATTCACCATGTCCGACAGTCTCTGTCTCCTCTCCTGAGTCAGTTGGATATACAACCTCACAAGTTGTCCCATAGGGCACCATGACTGTCAAATGGATCTTATCTACTCCCTTCGCAACATGGGTTGTTTCCCACGAGCACGAAGCTTGACCATACGGCGTGACATGAGACGCAGAGGCATTTGTAAACTCTGCTCCGATAGAGGGCGCCACACGAAACCGTTTCCAACCCGGCTCAACCCTCTGCAGGCCTGCGATCCTCTCAAAAAGAAACTTTGTGATGGCGCCAAAGGCGTAGTGATTGAACGATGTCATCTCGCCGGGATTAATCGTACCGTCCGGCAACATGCTGTCCCATCGTTCCCACACCGTCGTTGCACCCATTGTCACTGGATAAAGCCACGAGGGACACTTCGTTTGTAGAAGCATGGTATATGCGACTTGAGTGTGCCCCGTGAGTATGAGTGCTTCACAGAGGTATGGGGTTCCCGCGAAACCGGTACCTATCTTGAATTCGTCCTTCCGGACTAACTCTACCAGGCGGTTACCAGCACGGATTCGCTGGGAAGGCGTCAGCAGGTCAAAGCAAATTGCGAGTGCGTATGCCGCTTGGGAGTCGGAAGTGATGCGACCGTTGGGAGTGACATATTCATCTTGAAACTCTTTCCGGGCCTCCTTCCACTCTACAGCGAACCGCTCCTGGTCAACATCTTCACCAAGAATACTAGCAATGCGTGACATGTAGTCTAAGCTGTGAATCAGGAAAGCATTGGCAACCAATTTAGCATCAGTAGCACCCTTCCACGGGGCCTCCGGTGGAGCAGCAGGGTCAAGCCAATCCTGGGATAAATAGTCAGCAAACTACTCTTAGATCTGTGAGCGCCGAACTGCTATACGCACCCCGAGTTGGAAAATGGCTGTATCCCACAGGTGAGTGGACCCAGTTTGATTTCGTGGCAACCGTTCCAGCCATGTTATCATACTCGCATACTGCTGAGCCAGAATACTCCTGTCTCCTGTCTCCTGGTAAAGCGCCCATGGCGCCAGGATAGTAACGTCATGCCAGATAGCGCATGGGACACGCCGGCACCATATGGGATCTGGGAGTGTCGCATTTGGAGTTACCATCGCCGGAACACCTCCAAGAATATTCTGATCATGTTCTACATCGACTAACCAATTCCGAAGCATGTTGAAGCAGTCGTAAATGAGTGTTGCCGTCGGAGCAAACAACGCCAGGTCACCGGACCAGCCTAGCCGTTCATCGCGTTGAGGGCAGTCGGTTGGCACAGAGAGAAAATTACCTCTCATACCCCAGCAGACATTCTTGTAAAGCTGGTTCAAAAGCGAGTCGGAGCATGAGAATGTACCAACTTGCTTCATGTCTGTATGACAGACAACAGCTTCCGCCGACAGCTCCAAGTTCGTGTCCCCCTCCCACCCATCAATCTGGACGTACCGAAAGCCGTGGAACGTGAAACGGGGCTCATAATACTCTCCATGAGCATCTCCCTTGAGCGTATACTCATCAATCGCCTGGCAGATCCGGAGTGGTCTGGTTCCCAGCTCTTGATGTTCTAAGACTTCTGCATGAGACAGCCTTATAGTGTGACCATGTGGACCTTTGATATTCGTGAGTCTGACATAGCCGACTAGGTTCTGGCCAAAATCAAGTATTGTCATGCCTGACGGTGTAATTATTTTCTGAATGGGCGGAACGACTTCAGTCCTCCGAACAGGCTCACTAAAGCCTGCAGTGAGCTCGATCGAGTCGGGTAATGGATCCATGGGGAGAACCGGCTTCCAAGCAGGATGCAAAGCATTAGTTGGGGATGACCAACGGGGGATTTCTCGTGTGGCATCATATTTCTCTCCGTCGTATATTTCTGCCAGTCGAATAGGTCCGGTCGTAACAACCCATGAGCGGTTGGATGCGATAGTATCAACTCTCCCGTCGGTGTAAGTGACCTCAAGCTGCGCCATCAGGGCAGTATGCGGACCCCAAATGTTGCGATGTCCTCCTTCAAATCCAATACGACCACAGAACCAACCTTCCGCGACACGGACTCCGATACAATTTCTATCAAGTGAAAGCATGGAGGTGACATCGTAAGTCTGATATTGCAACCTTCGGTCATATGTAGTCCAACCAGGAGCCATGAAGTAGTCACCGACCCGGCGACTGTTGATCTCCGCCTCATAAACACCTTGTGCAGTAACATATAGGCGCGCTTGACGGACAGTTCCAGCGAGAGAGAACTCTTTCTGGTACAAATCCTCTGGGGCGGGCCCGGTAGTTTGAGGTCCCCAGGGTGCGGCAATATGCTCACACTGCCAATCGTTGCGCTCCAAGAGGCCCGTCTCTAAACAAGCCTCTTCACTCCATGGTGAGATGTATCCCTCTCCATCCCACACCCTAACGCGCAAGTAGACTTTTTGTCGTGATTTTAGGGGTTGATCAGACGGCCATGGGACTAGGTAACACTCCTTCGAAGTGCGTTTAACAGTTGAGAGGAGAGTGTGCTCGGAGTCGAATATCTGTATCTCATAAATCTCTTGTTGAAAATGCCTGCGGACATTCTTGAAACGCCACGAGATGCGAGGCTCCCTCTCCTGAACCCCAAGGGTATCGGGGGGGTGGTAGTGCTCGAATTGAACGTTAGTAACCAAGGCCATTGCAAGTTCTCGATCCGACTGCGGGTGAAATGGAAGGGGAGAAAACAGCACTGGACCTCACCTCGAACACCGATCGTCAAAGCACATCAAAGACCGTCATCGCTTCGGGCTTATTATGAGCGAAATACCCCGAGCCTGGTGGGACTCTCACACCCCCTCACGGACACCAGACTTCTGTGTTGCGTTATGTTTGGCTCAATATGGTTCCATCAATGGCTGATTCACAAGGATTATTCTCGTGCGTTGATCAGACTCCACTCGTTGTTTTTGCGCAGCAAAATGCCTGTTTTCTTTTCCCATCTGGTTTCTACGCGATAGGGAGTATATAAAATCCCGTTACTAGTGGCAAGCCATGCGCTATTGCTGTAATTCCATCTGATTTGTTTCAAACAAACCACCAATATGAACGTGAATATGTTCAAAGCGGCGGACTATGTCCCCCAGGATGCTGGTCTTTCGTATCAAAACACACTCCCTGCTGTAGAGGAGCTACCGCTACCTCGAGACTTTACCTGGGGTACTGCTACGGCTGCGTATCAGGTTGAAGGCGCCGCCTTCCAGGACGGCAAAGGGAAATCCATCTGGGACACTTTCACTCATCTTGACCCTTCTCGTACCAACGGGGAAAATGGAGACATTGCCTGTGATCACTACAATCGCATGGTGGAGGATGTTAAGTTGATGGCCTCATATGGTGTTGATGTGTATCGTTTCTCGATCGCCTGGACCCGAATTATCCCTCTAGGCGGACGTGACGATCCGATAAATGAGAATGGAATCGCATTCTACAACAAGCTGATCGATTGTCTCTTGGAGCATCATATTGAGCCCGTTGTGACCATCTATCATTGGGACGTACCGCAAGGGATCTACGATCGTTACGGGGCCTTCTTGAACACGGTCGAGTTCCAGGCGGACTTTGAACATTATGCACGGCTGTGCTTTTCTCGTTTTGGGGATCGAGTCAAACGGTGGATCACATTTAACGAGCCCTATATTATTTCAATTTTTGGTCACCATAGTGGGGTGCTTGCTCCTGGTCGTAACAGCACAACAGGGGGGGATTCGAGAATTGAGCCATGGCGTGTTGGCCACACCATCATCCTTGCCCACACCTCTGCGGTGCAGACCTACGCGACAGACTTTCAACCCACACAGAAAGGTGATATTTCGATTGTCCTGAATGGACACTTTTATGAGCCGTGGGATGCCGCCAGCGAAGAACATCGGTTAGCTGCCCAACGTCGCTTGGAGTTTTACATCGGTTGGTTTGGCGACCCCATCTTCCTAGGAAAGGATTATCCAGCACCCATGCGAGCTCGGCTTGGTAGTCGTTTACCTGGATTCACATTGGAAGAGCTGGACCTTCTGCGTCGCTCAGCCCCAATCAACTCGTTTTATGGTATGAACCATTACACGACCAAATACGCACGAGCTCTACCTGACCCACCGGCAGACGATGACTGCACCGGTAATGTGGAGGAGGGGCCCACTAACAGCGAGGGGAAGACCACAGGACCTCTATCTGGCATGTCCTGGCTACGGGTGACACCCGCAGGGTTCCGGAAGTTGATGAACTGGGTCTGGGATCGCTATGGTCGACCAATCGTAGTCACTGAGAATGGATGTCCATGTCCAGGCGAAAGTCAGATGACGAAGGAGCAAGCCCTAGACGACCAGTTCCGCATTCGGTACTTTGGGTTGTATCTCGATGCTATTTCCCGAGCAATTTATGATGACGGGGTGAAAGTCGAGGGCTACTACGTCTGGTCATTAATGGATAACTTCGGTACGTCAGTCCACTCCGAACCCATGGCGGCATACTAACCTTTCTTGACACAGAGTGGTCTGCTGGCTATGGCCCTCGCTATGGAATCACACATGTCGATTTCACAACCTTAGTCCGCACACCCAAACAATCGGCAAAGTATTTACAGAGCAGTTTCAAGAACCGTAGGGCCACAAACCGGAGATAGGTGGATGGATCGACTAGCTATAGCAGCCTTTGACTGTAGAAATAGCATACAGTACAAATCCCATATGAACCACTTTTTACAGAAGTATGTTGCGCTCCGTGATACATCCTTAGCCAAAGTGCATGGTTAATCTTAGACCTTCACATTTCTTGAACTTCCACGGTGGGTGAAAGCTAGAAGTGACTCTCAATGCGTATTGCGTATTCCAATAGATGGGATGTGAGAAATTAGTCTCGACTAGGGCTCCCAAGACCAATCGGAGCACCCGATGGAAGTAAGACTCTAATAAAAATTGGATTCACGGCTCGGATTGCTTCTTCCTACTCTCCTAGGTTAAGGTAGGGGACTAAGATACGGGATTCCTCGTAGATCGAATCGTGCTTCTTTCCCGAATTGGTATGGTTTACGAGGCGCCGGCCGGTCCTATATGTTAGTGCATGGATGCTCTCTTTTACGCCTCTCTGGGCTAGACCATTTAATGTGGGGTTCTTCGTCAGTGATGCTAGGTCTGTCGCGCTAGAGTAGAGTAACCTATCATTCTTCGGTGGTCTTCAAAAGCTATGGTTGATGATATATCAGCGCATAGCACATTACATGTGTCACGAAATGGGCGGGCTGATTCGTCCATCCAACCATTTGTACTGATATATACTTAGGGTCAGTCAGAGAAATATTGGAAGCTACGATCAGGCAAGCCACCCCCTAATACGCACCATTGTGAAGTATAATTTTCCGGTTGGAAGCAACGGGGTAGTCTTCCCATTTAGGCTATATGCTAATATCCAAACGAAGAGAGATGGCCTACGTGCTTTGAACTTAATCGCATTGTTCTTCTTTGCCAGTAGAAAAAGCGCCACTGCTGGCATCTCTACCCCGGATTTAGTTACCCCGCAGAATGGCTTTGACTTTCGATTGTCACTGTTCTCGGACTGTGGCCAACCGGATGGTCATACAATATTGTAACTTACCGCGGGGTCCGAATATAGTGTGACTAAGGCTTATACCCCAGTCGGTTGGACGACTTCACTAAGCATAAGATTTGCCTTCGTTGTCTCAAAGTCCGGGGTATCTGCGACCGAACTCAAAGGGACAGAAGCCTGGGCTCCCAAGCATACCTGCGCGTTAGGGTCTGGAGGCTTCACCGTCTATCAACCTCGGCTATCCTCACCATTGTTGAAATGCATAACGCATTCTACTTACTTCGGACAGGAGAGGGTTTACTCGTGACTATTACAGAAGGTAAGGTCAAGCCACAGTGCAAGGCCTTCACGCTCTTAAGGGCAACGATCCCTTGGAGCTCATTCCCGTCCCTCATCTTGTTACACCTTTCCTCCTAGTTATGCAGTACTTCCTTCGGTACCCTGGAAACCATGGCAGCAAACGCTGGACAGTCTAAGCCTTCAGTTGAACATCTGGAGATGTCTGACAAGGGAGTAGTGAAGCCGTCGGAGGCTACACTGGATGCTGCAACAAAAGGCCAAGCTGTGTCGGGGTATGAGGATCTAGGAATCTGGGAAACGATCAAAACTTTCAAAGTTTGCACCATCGTATGCTTCGCCATGGCTTTCAGTGCGGCTACCGATGGATATCAGGTTGGGTCAGTTAAAGCTCTAAGGTCCCAGGGTGCATCGATGTCCCATGAACTGACAGTGGATACTAGAATCAATGCCAGCATTATCGCTAATCAAGGATTCGTCGCGCAGTTTGCCACTGAAATTGGAAAGGACGGAAAGCCCGCTCTGGCGTCGCCGATTCTTGCTGGATGGAGCTCCATCATGTCCTGTGGTCAAATTGTCGGGATGGTTTCACTACCGTTCCTGTCAAGTAGGTATGGTAGGAAGATGGCTATGTACACATTCTGGGTGATCCTCGTCAGTAGTGTGCTTGCGGAAAGTCTGGCGAGGTCGTGGCAGGCATGGCTCGTGGGTAAACTACTTGCTGGGATTGGTGTCGGATGTCTACAGTCCACGGTACCAACTTACATTGCTGAGGTCGCACCGAACCGTATCCGTGGTGGTCTCTTGATGTGCTATAGTTTCTGGTGGTCACTTGGTTCCTTCTTTGCACAGGTTGCTCTGCAGCATCTAGCCCACGACCATCCTATGAATTACCTGACGCCCGTTTATACCCAATGGGCCCAAATTGGGTTGATGTTCCTGATATATATTGTCGTCCCAGACTCGCCCGCTTGGTGTATCGATGCTGGTAAGACCGATCGTGCCAGAAAGGAACTCTTGCGACTATATCGTGGAGTTCCGGGTTTCAATGTGGATCAACAACTTAGTGTCTTGTCCCTCGCTGTTGAGCACGAGCGGGCCATAGCAGCCGAGCAGCGAAGAGAGAGGTGGTACTCTATATTCCGTGGCACAGATGGCCTGCGCACTGTCATCACATTGTGGACGAACACCACACAACAGCTCATCGGGCTGACACTCTTCAGCACGTTCGGGACATACTTCTTCCAGCAGGCTGGTCTGAGCGACCCCTTCAAGATTAAAGTTATTACTACATCCATCCAAATTGCCACAGTTCTGATTCTCGTGGTCGTAGCCGACCGCCTGGGTAGACGATGGCTGGCCTGTGGGGGCACCACACTGTCATGGCTCGCTTGTGTGGCTATCGGCATCGTCGGCGTTGTTTCCCAGAGCAATGGATCTACATATGCCTTCGTGTTCTTCGCTTGCCTTTGGAGTAAGCCATGGCTAGGATACAGACTTTTGATCACTGTGAGTACTAACTAATAACTCTTTTATATAGATGTCGGTCTAGCTACGAACGGCGCAACGGGCTGGGGCTATATTGGTGAGATCTCGTCCCAGCGACTACGACCCTACACGGCAGGATTCGGTGCAGCTGTAACCTGCATCGTAGGGGTGGTGATGAGCAACCTCGTTCCTTACATGACGAACGTCAACAAGTGGGACTGGGGCCTAAAGACAGGTTGGTTCTATGCCGGGGTCGGTTTTCCATTTACCCTTGGAATGTGGTTCTTGATTCCAGAGACATCTGGGTAAGTTGTCACGTATATTTGATGCTGTTTCTGGATAGAAGCCCGGGTATGCTAAATATATTTTGACTCAGTCGCTCTGCCGCAGAGTTGGACGAATTGTTCGAGAGGAAGATTAAGCCATGGCGATTCCACAAAACAGAAACTGCTACTCAACGTCTTGTCCAGATCAGGAGAGAACAAGATGGCTGAGAGGAAGTCATTGCACGGTGATATGCGCGATAAAGAATTCGCTTGATAGCTAGTACTATAGCATTGACAACGATATCGATTCCCGATATGCTATTCTTTTTTTCCATTTTTGTTCGTACCATTCTTCTAGTTCACACAATAGATAGTCGCGCCTTCTTGGGATCAAACATGTTGTAGAAGAGTAACAATGTCCACATAATATTAGATTTTAATCTTGTCGCGCCGGATCGTGAATCTGATAAGATTCCTGCATCCGGTAAAGATCAGCCCCAGCCCCTGGAATCGGATTTTCGCGTCGAACCTTTTCACGTACTTGAACTAATACATATACGTTGACGGGTCTTGCCTACGATGGCTAGTTTGAAATCGACAATAGTGTCTTCCTTACTTTTACCACTGCTTCTCACCTCCCATGGCGCAGCAGTACCTTCGCCATCATCCTGCAATGCGGACACGCGTCCTTATTCAGCCTGGATGGCCGACAGTGTCATCTCTCGCGGCCAGGCAGTCTTGCCAGCGGGAACAACGCCGGAAGCGTCAACCTTTCTACAAATCGGCGTTTTCCAAAACGCCATTCTACGGTTGAAAGAATACTATGGTTCTCCGGAAAGCGCCTGCGCACAGGCCAATTGGGACGCCTACCTTGACGCAAGTACGCAGAGCGTCACGCCTTGGCTTCTGAATGCTACTAAGGATACTCAGTATCCTCTTGACAGATTTTCGGATGGGAATGGTCTGTTCTATCAGTAAGTTCATTAGATCAACACCAGCTCGGATGATACCTCGAGCAGAGGGTCCTCGTTTCACCGGGAAAAAAAGGTGTTGAGCTCACAAACAGATAGATATGAGAGAACAGGAAACGAAACATATAAGGCGGCGCTGGATGCATTGCAGGAGTCCATCTATCTGCAGCCTAGAAACCAATATGGTATGTAAATATCCTGAAATATGAATACGCAAGAGCATAGAAAACCACGTTCAATCAAAAACACGACCCCCCTTGAACACTTGCTTGTATATGTTTTTCATCGTTAGAAATGCTGATCAATGAATAGGGGGATACTGGTATTTCAAGTACCCTAATTGGAGTTATCTCGATGGGATGTACTCTCTCATCCCCTTCTATTCCACCTATACGGCCAAGTTCGCGACAGCGAATAGTACTGCTGTAGGCGAGGATCTCGTCTACCAACTCGACCTCCTTTGGTCCCATTGCCGTCAGAACAACACCGGCCTATTGGTACACGGGTATGACGCCTCCAAAACAGCCGTCTGGGCGAACCCGGTCACGGGTGGAAGTCCAATTGTATGGAGTCGCTCTTTGGGCTGGTATATGATGGCCTTAGTAGACATTCTGGAGATTTCCCTCCAGCAGGGTGTTGTTAGTCAGGAGCAGTGGGATCATGTGCACCAGCGATTTGTTACCCTTTCTACTGCCGTCATGGCCGCGGCTGATGCAGAGACTGGTTGCTGGTGGCAGGTTATGACGGATCCGAACAGAGAGGGCAATTACATCGAGTCCAGTGGATCAGCGATGTTCACGTATGCGCTCTACAAGGGTGCGCGACTTGGCTATTTGCAGGATATCCCTGGGAAAGTCCTGGTACCCGCAGCCATCGCCAGTAAATGCTATGGCCATCTTCTTCAGGACTTCGTGGTCGACGACAAGAATGGAACGCTGGGATATAATGGCACCGTATCCGTCTGTAGTTTGAACTCCAATGCAACTTATGAGGTTTGTTTCTCCCCTGGAACACGTATTTCTTGAACAATAACCAGCTAACAGGTGGACCAACTTTAGTATTACGTCCATCAGCCCCTCCTCTACAACAGCTTGCATGGTTCTTCCTCCTTCGTTCTCGCAAGCGTGGAGCAAGAGCGTGCCGCTAATGTGTCCAGAAATTAAGGATCTTCCTTACCTTCCAATCTATGGAACAAAGTCCATTCGTTGATTGCCTATTCCCATGATAGACGCAAGTATGCCGTTAGTCAAATGAAGTAGTCCTTGTTTAAACATCATCACCTTCGGACCATCCAAAAGCATCGATTTCTATAAGGCACTACATTGAGATAACAGTCTCAATACCCCAACCAGTACGTAATTTGACATTCGTTATGGTTTTCCAGGGGTGAAACACAGTAACCACCTTCATTGATCGGCTCAAATCTCACAAACAATCGAAACTAGAAAAATTACAAACGGAGTTTCTTCTCATAAGATTAACTCGAACGCATTACTTCGCTCGGTCTACAGTAGAAAGAAGATAAGTCCAACTTGCCGCGGATAAAAACACCACAAAAATAGCTGCAGGCCCAGGGTCATTGAATTTGGGAGAGTCCGCGTTCTGGCCGAGCCACAGCCATCCTGAGACTCGGAAGTGGGTCGTTGTTCCTGATAGACCCCTTACAATTTGCAGGCCAAACCCACTGTGGAGCTTAGTTGCCCCCGAAAATAGACATTCCAAGGGCAGATATACATTGTATGGCTCTTCACAATGGACCATGTCTCAGGCCTGTTCCCAGTGAGAATGGTCAAAGTGAAACATGACCTGCTGTTGGATACATCCTCGCAGGGACAGTCCACAAGTGCATAGAATAAATGAGGCGGGACACTCCGATCTAAGTAAAATTAGGCGGACCTTTCAGTATCTCCCTATAATTGTGGCTATAGGACCCACACTCCCATTGCAATGACATGAGAGAAGTGATAAACAAGATTTTGCCCCGGGCCAGCGCTTCCAGAAATCGAAACCATTTGCGCATAAAGCCGAAGCTAAGAGACGTTATCGTTTGTAGTATGGTGTTTAAGTCATGCAAATCTACCTCAGTGATGCTTCGCGCTTCTACCCAAGTCATCGGGATTTCTAAATCCCTCCTTATGCTTGACCATGGTGTAAATAGTCAACTTACCGTCATGCTCCTACCGTGGGCATTTGGCACGCTCGAGTTATGTGTGGCAGACTGCTACTACTGAATGTAATTTTTAGGTATACGAAAGAATGATTGCAGTCGCACTGGTCTTCACGTCATGTCAATGCTAGCCGCTGGATCTCGAAATCAAAGAACCATGTGATACTCGTGTTGATCATAATATAGCTTACCAGAATGATCTACAGACTGTCAGCTAGCCATGCCTCCTTTGAGCAAAGATTCCCTTCGGCAAAACCGATTCACCGATCACAGATCATTGCCCACCTACCAAAATAGGAATGAATGTTTTTAACCCTATATTGATACCACTAGTCTCAAAAATGCCACTCTTAACCTGGCCTTCATTTCCATGGCGCAGCTTCATCAGATTGTACAGCGCCCTATGTCGGGATTATGTCTTGGCATGTCTCTCCTCCATCTATTGATGTTTTGGATCTATTCTCTTTGCGTCCTGGGACGTTTCACCGCAATAGCTTTCCATAGCTGTCAATAGATGGCGGGTGGCTCTTCGGAGGGTTTATGTCTCGGAGCAATCCCGATATACAATACCAATCATGATATAAGTACATTGCTTCCCATGACCTGGTCGCATTGAGCGCAATCCCTTGACCAACCTCAGACACTCCTTTTGCATCCCATCCGCTCATTTCGACCGCCGTCGCGTATCGTCGCTGGGAACTAACTTTCCTTCCCATTACAATCTTTTCTAACCTCCAAGATGCAACTCACTCATTTGACTGCCGCCCTTCTTCTCTCCGGAGCCTACGCGGCAGTTGCACCGGAAGGTCCTGCGCCCACTGAGATCCCAGGCGGTTGCAACCCAGCGCACCCTGGTAGCTGTCCTGAGACCGCCACCGAGATCCCCGGTGGTCTGGGCTGCAACCCTGCCCATCCAGGTAGCTGCCCTGAGTCAACCCAGATTCCAGGTGGTTGCAATCCTGCTCATCCTGGCAGCTGCCCTACCCCAACTGAAATTCCCGGCGGTTGCAACCCAGCACACCCCGGTAGCTGCCCTACTCCTACTGACATCCCCGGAGGCTGCAACCCAGCTCACCCGGGAAGCTGTCCCGAATCTACCGAAATTCCGGGCGGACTGGGCTGCAACCCAGCCCATCCTGGCAGCTGCCCTGAGTCTACCCAAATCCCCGGTGGATGCAACCCTGCTCACCCCGGTAGCTGCCCCACTCCAACTGAAATCCCCGGCGGTTGCAACCCAGCGCACCCTGGCAGCTGCCCTACTCCCACCGGAATCCCCGGTGGCTGTAACCCCGCCCATCCTGGAAGCTGCCCTAGCGTGACTGTGGTGTCCGGTAGCTCGACCTACCTCTCTCCCGTTCCCGCCGTGACGCCATCTGGCTTCAGCAGCGTCGCCGGAATTCCTGGCGGCTGTAACCCAGCGCACCCCGGAAGCTGCCCCAGCGTGACTGTTGTGTCTGGCAGTTCCACTTACATGTCGCCTGTGCCTGTCGCGACCTCCTCTGGCAAGTGGTCGGGCAACCTGACGTAAGTACTTTAGTAAATCTGCAGTGCTGACAGATGGGTGAATGTGATACTAATTGAATGACTCTTATATAGTTCCTCCAGCCTTAACCCTCTTTTCACTGGAGCTGCCTCGAACAATCAGCTCCACTTTGGCGCTCTCCTCACTGGTGTTGTTGCTCTCGCTGCTCGTGCTTTCTTCTAAAATGCCTATACCTGGTTCCATGCAATTGTCTGAATAGTTGAAACCCATCCTAGGGAGGTTGGCTATCTCGGTATAACAGCGTGATTGTCCTACAAGAGGCATCAAGAATGTATATTCTCTTCATTGTATTATAACTTATATCCATTTCAATATACCATTTGCTTGTATTGACGCTGGACAATCATAATCAAGCCAAAAGAAATCGAGCGGCTCCATGTTTGGAGTACCCCGACAAGAAAGCATTAGTTCCAGTCTACTAAGAACAAACATAACATGCCGCAGAATAGTTTGGCAAGCTGTGTTGCGTCCTTGTTTGCTATCTTAGAAGCGCCTTTTCTACCATAGAATGAACACCGTTGTTCTTATAGTTATCCACCCATTAATTTTATCACTGGTACGTTCACCTTTGTGCAACCGCTCCATTCAACCCAATCGTCGAAGTTCCCTTCGGTAGCGGCTCTATATATGTACATTGTATCCGTTATATCCACCCCAGGTGATATGCCTATCCTGGATAATATCACCACCAATCACTCCACCGAGTCCCCTGATATATGGAAGGGATCTGCGGTCCTTCGGCATCCAAGATATAACCCTCCTCGCACCATCCATACTCAACCTTAACCTGCTCGTCATAGAACACGTCAAAGGCATCACCCAGAGCATCATTCAGGGTGTGAACGTCCCCAGCTGGGTGAAGGACTTTCCATGGCTTCACACAGGCAGACCCCTTGCAGGATTTCAGAACAAGCAGTAGTGCATCTAAGCGGGAGATGACCTTTTCAATGGGATATCCCAGTAATTCATGCCCGCTGCTCCTGGAAACAGATGGATGAAGATTATTGCGTTCATAAGGATCGGCCTGTCGTTGAATAAGTGATATGACTTTCTTGAACTTGTGTATAATGAAGGATACTCACTGTTAAATCGTACAGTTCGTGTTCATTCGTACACCATACGGAGTAATAGAGATTATATCCCTCCCCTAAGACCCTGAGAGCCTTGTAGGTGTTGTTCCGGAAGGCAATTGGCCCGCCGTCGGCTGGGGTATAAACATCAGCAAAGACCATTAGTAAACGAACGACAATAATTAAGTGGCTTACGAGCTCGACTCATCTCGCCTTCAAACCCGGCTTTGCCCCAGTATTCCACGTTCACATGCTCATGGCGACTCTTCGATGATTGCTCCTCTTCCATTTCCCTTGCTGTCAGAGGTACGGGAGTACCGTCAAATTCTTCCTTGAGGTCCAATCCAGCTATCTCAAAGATAGTAGGTGCTAGATCGATATGCGTTGTCACAACGTCGACCTCCTCACCAACCGGGATACCAGGTCCACGAATAAACATCGGTACACGAATATCCTCCTCAAAGCCACATTCCTTCCCGGGATGCAATCGGTGCTGGCCGATGTGATAGCCATTGTCGGACGTGTAGAAGATATACGTATTGTCGAGGATGCCTGCATCTTCGAGACGCTGGACGACCCGTTCGACAATCTCATCGACTCCTTGAAGTGCGCGTAAACGGGCGCGATAGAACTCGTCGTTGGAATCAATACTGCTTTGGTTTTGTTTGGGGAGAGTACTGATCCAGTTGACTCCGCTGGGCTGTGTTCATGATTGATATTACTATTCGAGCTAATGTTCATTTTATAGAACAGTAGAGAGAAAGACATACCGTATCAGGATTGAAATGCTCCGTCCGCGGCACCCTCGCTTCGGGGAATAAGTCTTTGTGCCGTTCCAAAGGGATCGGCGCCGAGAATCGAAACGTCGTGTAGTCGCTCGCATTGGTCATTTCAAAGTTCGAATGCGGCGCAATTGGCGCAATGGTGAGAAAAAAGGGTCTTTCATGACTCTCTGCGACAGCGTCATCGAGTAAGCCCAGTGCCTTCTTCCTCAGGACGTCGATAGTGTGTTGTCTGGAGTAGGAAACGGGCGGGTCATAATTTCGTTGATAGACCGGGTTGAGATACTGGTAAGTGTAGGGGTCCAGAACAAAGTCGGAACCATTGAAGCCTTTGGCGAATGGCAAGTTGTAGTTATCCACCGTGTGCGCGTTGAAGAGCTTGCCACTGTAGTAGGTGTTGTAGCCGGCGTTTTGGAGCCACAGCGGCAGCCAGTTTTCGTTGTGGCCTTCTGAGACGAATTTCGGATATCCTCCTGAACAAATGTGTAAGCTTGGAGGTCATCTTCAGTGTGTCCACGAAGCATACCATATGGTGGATAGATTTCCGTGACGTTGGTATTATGCGCCTGTTTTCCGGTCCACAGGCTCACACGGGACGGACAACACAACGCTGTTGTGACGAAATGGTTCCTATAGAAGACTCCCTGGTTTCTGATGTAGTGGTTCGTATGTGGTGTGTAGGACAATGAGTCCATCTGCAAGTCTTGATCGTCCACTAAAATAAAAACAATGTTCGGACGGCCGTGGGTGTCATTGTGCCGGATGATGTCGGGGAGATTCCCACCACTGCCATCCTGAAGCCGAAGAGGCGTTTGCTCCAGTGCCACCACGGAGGCGACCAGAATTAAATTAGCATTAAATATCCTCATGGTTGCCACGTGGTAGTAGACATCGGCGAACAATGTGAGACAGACAGTGGCTTATGTATCCTTGTTCTTATCAATCTAATGCGAGACTAAAAGCACGCCATCACGACATCCGATGGCAGCATCATATCAACACCGGAATATGTGCCGAGTAAGCGAAGGCCTATGCCAGTACAGGTAGCTATCCCATCATGTCTTGTCGATCGTTGACTTTCATGTTTCGATTGGCAGTGGCGTTGTGGGTATCTACCATTCGCGCATGGCTGCGCATGGATCACTACCTTATGTCAACCAGCGCCAGGCACGAGTGCTGCATGATGAATACATAAAATAGTCATATAGTACAGCATGCTATTTTTTCCTAGCAATCAAAATCCCCATACTACTGACGAACTCTAGATTGGCATCGCATATCTGCCTCAGCCATTGTCTTATTTCGACGGCCAGACCTCAATGAAGACATCGCCTATTCCTGAACACCCTACCAGTCCAACATTTGATACAAAACACCTATTTACAAGACAAACATATTAGAACTATAAGTTGTTCGACTTACCCATGCTACAATTCACCGATAGATGAATCAACTGCTAAGCATATTTCCCCACTCCAAGGGCACAGCCCCATAAGGCTGACACCACCCAACTCCGCCTTGCCCTATATAAACCAGCACTACCCCCGTGGATCAAACCCCAATTTCCCCAAATAAACACAACATGCCACCCCCAGACTCAACGACCCCCCGGAATCTAGAAATAGCATTTATCTCTGGCCCTCTGGACATAGGCCTAGACAACACCTACTTCCACACCCACTACGTACCTCAAATCAACACAGCTATCGACCGCGGACATCGCTTTGTGATCGGCCCCGTCGCCGGTGTAGACAGGGCCGCATTGGATTATCTCCTCTCGTATCCTATTCCTCCATCACATATCACTATTTTCGTGACTCCTACTGAGAATATATTGATGGGCGATGAATTCCGCTCTCGTGCGGTCAATGTACATGTTGTCGATGGGGGTCTGAATATGACGACTCGGGATCGCGATGCGGCGATGACCAGAGCTAGCTCTTATGATATTCTCAGGTGGAGACCGAGGAAGGAGGCGAAGGAGTTCTACGGACCGATGTATAGGGAGGGGTACGTCACGAATACCGAGATGAATTGGAGGCGGCGGAGGGGAATTAGTGAGACCGAGGTAGTGAAGGAAGAAGATGTGGATATCTTTCGTGATGACAGGAAGCGCTCCTTGGGGAAACAACTTGTTAATGCGCTTTCCGACTCATTTTGCACTGTTTCACAACCCTCTTAGGATTGATCTAGTTGGGATGATAATGGAGGTGTTTATGAGATATAGCGTTTTCAAAGCTGTATAGATTCAAATGAATATCTGTGTAATTGTACACAGGATATATCTATAAATACAAGTACTTTTAAATTTGATATCAGCGCTGAATAACATCATCGTGTACTTCACCCTCATCACTATGAAACTAAAACCTAAGGGGCGCGGGAGGCCAAGCAACACTTCGAATCAGAAACCATTATATTTAGACCAATTTGTTCGCGATATGGTGGGCTAGTTGGCAAGCTGGTTGCCATCTAAAAACGCTGCGACCATTAGCTCGAAGATGAGAGGGCGTGACAGAAGTCTTGCCCCTGCACAGGCAACCTCAGAAACCTTCGTCAAGACAGGAAGCCACATGCACCTAAATGAACAAGGTTGAGCATGCTATTAAGCTGATCATCCCGTAGTATGGGGGCCGTGGGCCAATCCATAGCGAATTAGGTGATCTTCATATGCTGTTCGTGTGTATATCCACGACCATGATGACATGCGGCACCGTGTTCTCCCCACGTCATTTTCTGATGATAAGTGGGTATTAGGGTTCGTGAAGGTCTTCCCGTGTGGGGATGAGCGAGGTGTCTTGATAAAGATAGGCGACTGACGCTATAGGAATACGTGTGGCTTGCAACAATCTCCCTAGACAGGGTTTTGGCTCATATTTTCCAGATCCCTGCAAACCGCACGCCCATGGCGTCCGCCACATCACTGTGTACAGTGTGGCTAGGAACGAGGTATCATGGATAGAGGAAGCACTCCTGCTCCGACGTAGCGCATGAGTCCCAGATAGTGTTAGTAGCATAGAGTATTAACCCCAAATCACCACTCGGACACCTCACATGTTAGGATCTTCGGAGCTCCGAGAATCATAAGGCGTCTTGACGGCTGAGAGGGACTCCGGTGATTCGGAGCTTACATGGATAGAAAGGTTATCCATATCATGGATAAGATTCTGCAAGCCTTGGGATCGGTAAGCAGACCATGGGCTCGAACTCGAGTCCGCTCGGGTGGGTACGTGATGAACCACATAATCGGCCGCCAGGGATGAGATGTCCGTCACCGTCCACAAAGCGCCCTCGTGTAGTTTGGTGAATATCTCGACGACCCGGGAAGGCACGAGAGACGGGTCCAGATGGCTTTGCTTCAGGACCAGTTCGATCGTCCGGAGGAATGCTGTACATAATCGACCCCACCCCAAACTCATGTGCCAAAGGCCCACCACGCAGTCCTCCAGAACATAGCTCCACTTCGGTTCATGAGCACTCAGCTTCGACACTGAGTGAACCCCTGCGACACAGAAATAGTGCAGCATGACGACCGGGAGAGACTTCCACCCGTGGCAGCGTTTGAATAGCATTACCAAGGACCCCATGTCATCTAAAGCCTGCGACATTATTGTGTATGGATCAAACTCGTGCGGATTGGGAATCTGGTTATCTGTCGAGCCCAAGTTTGTACAGAAGACCTGGCATAGAGATGCAATCGTTGCATAGTAATATTCACTACAATATCTATCAGTCACCGAAAACATAGCAAGGTGGAAGGGGATAGCGAACTGTAAGCAGATTACGTGCGGTGTGGTATTATGTTCCAGTAGAAGAACCGGTGGCAGGGCGGCCTTCCACTGAAGGAGCTTTTGGTGCAATTGGTAGCCGTACTCCCAATCATCATTATTCATGACCTCATCTGGAAACCGAAGCGCAAACCTGGCAATTTGATGAACTATAGTCACTAGGTCAGACCTGAAGCACGCCGCCGTGATGAAGAATGGCTGGGAGATAGGAGACATGAACGGATAGGGACACCATTCAATGCCGGCATCTAATCCTGCTGCTTCAATTGGGGAGAATTTAACGGGCGGAGGTTCTTTCCAGGCTGGTACCTTTCTGTAAACTTGAGAAGCAATGCTGTGGACGAGTTAGTAATAAACAGTTTAAAGCCGGTCGGTGCTCGCTCACCCTTGAACATCGTACACCGCCCAGGAAACCAACTTATGACACCTAGCGAGCTGACCATCTTCATCCGGGGAGTCGCCATAGAAGTATGAGGGGGACTCATCCTGGAGCCCTAAGTCTAGGCATAGTTGAGCGCCATGCATGATATACCGGGTACCGAATCTGTCTAGGCCAAAGGTACAGCAGAGTAAACCAATCAGGATGCTGGACTGCGCCGTGGGAAGGCTCTCGAGGTGTTTTTCGGCCTCCCACAGACGCTGTATTTCAGCATATAAATCCTTGCTGAGCAGCTTTTCCATTCGTCGATCGGTGATTTTATCTAGATTGTAGGATAGACTCTGAACCCCTAGTTAGTCGTCACTCCACTCCGGTCGATGGCCACACGTACACAGCCAAAAAAGAGTAAGACGGTAACCAATAATGCAGAACAAAACTTTCCGTGTCCACGTTCCAGGTCGCGGACAAACATATCCTTGTCAATCAGTTGCCAGGTCGGGTTCTCCCACGTAAAGTACAGTGATAATAGATGACTCGCCGTGTCATTGTTCACCAGCAAGGTCCAATGATGAATTTGGGTGGTCTGGATAACCGGTGTCTGCACGAGTGGTTGAGTCTCACTGCGGGCATGGGATGTCCACGCGGCAAGCATTCGGTACAATGATAGGCCATGTTTGGACGGGGACGGGCTTCGGTCCGCTGGAGACCCTAGCGCCAGAAGCGGAGCAAGAATCGTTGGCGTGCCTTCAAAGTGACTCTGGATGGGTATTAGCATAGCCCTCCCCCCAGTGCTAAATACTTCCCGCCGTATGGCCTGACAGTCGGACATACATACCGTGATGAGTTCTTCGATCAACTTGAACTTGGCTGGATCCTCGCTACTATCGATAATGATTCGTTGCAACAGGGACTCATAAGATTGGATCTTCGCTTGGACGGATTCCAAGGCCCACTTTTGTCGTTCCCGCTTTGACCCCATGTAGGTACAGGGGATAGCTAATTGGCGACATTGTTTGCATTGAGGCTTTTGGCCGTCACACTTGGTCTTCCTCTGATGACACGGGGCACACGCCCGACTGGTGCGTTGGCGGTGAGCGGTGACGAGGGCGGCGCCCTTTAAGCGCGGAATCCGGATTTTAGGGTTCCCCGCGCCGCTACTAGTCGAGGTCTGGCCTGTGTCGGAAGATGATTCCCTGCTGGACGCGCCCACGCGCGACACCGCACCGTCGGTGGGATCACTCAACATACTAATATTCGTAGTACTCGACCGGAGGCATGCAAAAGATACAGGTCGTCCATTGATAGTTCCTGTCTCGTGGTAGAGCCCGTAGAGCGGGAATTGCCCCCAAAAAAATAAGGGTCGTTAGTCCGGTGACGCCATTGGGGCGGGCAAGAGTGATTGAACGAGTGGCGCTACTAAGGAGTGGACATGGGAGCAGGAGGGGGGGAAAAAAAGAACAAGAGGGACTTTTCCGGTCTTAATGGAGGCTGCCACTGGGTGGAATCAATGGGTTCGGGGAGAGCGACGGTCACGTGGCACCCTCCCGTCCAATGAGACCGGTCTAGAACGTCTGGGTCACGTGGCGTCAGGGCTGCGATCGCTCGTCGTCGTCGTCGTCATAATGTAATCATGGCCTGACATTTTTTGCCATCAAGTACTAGTATACTCAACTGTTCAATTCGACCTCTTGAATGGATGAAGATTTCGGCCCTTACCGTGGGAAGCCCGGTGTTCCTTCTGGATACTATATCCGAGAGGTCAGTCTGTTGCCGCCACGCCACAGGGAAGTCTAAGCCCCGATGACGATATATCTGCACGTATCTGCGCGTATATCTAGGGTTAGTGACATTTTAGCTACGTAGTTCACGATCAAGAAATGGTAAGGATTTACCTCGTACCTTTTTGGTGTCACGCGTTTAGAGATCCCAAACTGGCCAACAGTCCGTGCGAGCCATATACCTATCTTCCGAGACTGCGGGCCCATTGGCACGCGGGGAATTAATCCGTTGCCTTTCTTCTTTGATTAGAATCATCCAATGAGTATCAAGGCACCCCTATCACATTGGCTCCATTAATACACTATGCATTGTAGTGGTTCCTGGTAGGGTTACCCATGCAGATGACCCGCTTCATTGAAATACTTAATATATCGGTAATTCCGGGCAATGTGATTGGAGTTCTCGCCAACACCAACGTCCGATTGTCGGGGAATCCATTGCGTAGTGGATACAAGTCAAAGCATTAATTTCCTAACAAGAACATCCAGAATCGCCAGCTCTATGTGGGAAGAGAGATGGGGATAGCAACCGCTCCGAAAATCGGCGGAATGGGGAAGTAGTATCGGCTTAGCGTTCTCTAGATGAGGAATACATATAGGAACATGTTATTCAAGGCCTAGAGAATGAGACAGCCTGGCACTTCCTCAGTTGTCATTCGTACTGCAGTGCTTCAACCAAAATGTCTCCTCTCCACCAGTCAGCGCCCGATGGCAGGATCAAGAAAAGGGATGTTGGAGCGAGTAATCTTTTGCGTAATTGACCCAGCCCCATAGTATTTATCGCCTTTTCACGCATTGTCTAACTAATCCTGCAATCCAGTTGGTGCTAGCTTGAATATGTTCGAGTACGTTTTTACCTGTTCTGCAGTTTTTCGATTTTGTATTGATTCAATTAAAGAGTCACCACACTAGGACAGGTCCGTTTATGTCGTCTCTCTCATTCACGCGAGGTTTATCTAACGAGAAATAGCCGCTGGAGGTCATCAAGACCACAATGGCCGCCAATCGATCGGATTCATTCATCACAGCCCTCAGACGCGTCTGGTCGCGGGGAGGAGTTGCCGGTTGTACGTCGCTCGCACTGAGGACGATGCACGAACGTTCATACCACTGACCCCCGCCGATAACATGAGCAGATTACCAAGGTCTCATCCCATGGGCCTGGATTGAAGCCTCCACGAAAGGCGCGGTTCTGCTCTTTGTAGCCTCCGAAGTCGAGTATCACGCACGGACAGCCGGGGCCTCCGAGTTTCTGTCCGGCATCGCAGGAGGCATGGTCGGTGGTGCGGCCCAGGCATACGCAACGGTCGGGTTCTGTACCTGTATGAAGACAGCGGAGATTACTCGCCAGAAGCAAGCGGCAGCGGGGCTGAAACCACCGGGCGCTCTGGAGACATTTGTCACGATGTTTCGGACGGAGGGATTGCGAGGAATTAACAAAGGAGTCAATGCCGTAGCCATTCGGCAGGTCACCAATTGGGGATCTCGGTTCGGCTTCTCACGACTGGTTGAAGACGCGATCCGCAAAGCCACAAACAAAGGGCGCGAGGAACGACTCGGCGTGGTTGAGAAGATATTGGCTTCGGGCGTTGGAGGTGCTCTGGCGAGCTGGAACCAACCCATCGAGGTGATTCGGGTAGAGATGCAGAGCCTAAAGGCTGATCCCAATCGTCCCACCAAGCTCAGTATTGGGAGCACGTTCCGGTATATCTATGCGCAAAGTGGGATACGGGGTCTATACCGCGGAGTCACGCCACGCATCGGTCTAGGAATCTGGCAGACCGTGTGCATGGTGGCCCTTGGAGACGTGTAAGTTCCAACCTACGTGAAGAGAAGAAGGCCTCTCGCTAATAAATTCAGGGCCAAGGAGATGATTGAATCTATAACACAACAGCATGCCTCACATTGAGTATATACATACAAGGAGTATAAATGTGGGATCCGGTCCTAAGTGTTCATAGCAAACAGTATTTACAGTAAAGTCAAAGAGAAACGAAACTAAAAGGAGAGCAGGGGATGGGCGCCTTAGGCAGAGGGAGCCGGGATACCAAGATGAATGTCTTGCGGTGGGCTTGATCTGGTTGCGCCACAGGTACGTGGCTATGAGTTAGTTATACATACATACGTCATCCCCCATGACGACTGTTGCCTAGAGAACTCCTAACAACCCGCTAATTTACTATCTTAATTCAACTCTCTCCCCCAGTACCTCCATCTGTTGTAGCTTGACCATTTGCCACCAGTTTATTTAAATGCCCGCGTGGTACACAGCAACAGCTAGTGAGTGTATGGCGGACTAAATCGACGTTCCGGACAACACAGATTTAGGACACCGAAACCATTTTATATTAAACCACATACTTATTTAGTATCACTCTCACTCTATAAAATATACTATATGTTATATATTAATACTGGATTCATTGATAAAATAAAGAGTATATATGTAATTAGGAATTTTTAGTAGTAGTAGTAGGAGTAGTAAAGTTAAGCCTAGAAGGACTACAGCATCTGAGGATATAAAGTTTTAAAATTAATAAATATTATAAAATTAAAATTATAGAAAATATAAGTATATTCAGAGCTAAATTAATTATTTAAACTATTATAAATAGTAGATACTGCAGTAGATTTTTTAAATAGATTAAATCAACTGACTTAAACAAAGATATAGAGTATTGGTAATTGGGAAATTTGGTAATATCTTACATTGATTGGAATGCCTTTCGTACTGCCAAATGCCCCATCCTCGTCGCGACTGGGGGACTCGTGGGCTTGACATTAAGAACGTCGTGCATGTTCTCAACTATGACCTTGCTCGTCAGTCCCAATGCGGCATCGTTGAACATGTCCGTCGCATTGGTGTGTATGGTGGCGCAAGGAGACATAAATATCAACCCGACCGGAAAGAGAAAATGCCTCACACTAAAGAATCACACTAAAAAAGATAAGGCCCAGGAAATGGTTAAATCTTTAACACAAAATCATGTTTCACAATGACTATCTACAAGGATTGGAATTTTTAGGCAGGGCCCGAGTCTTTGCAGAAGATAGTGTTTAAGAAAATAAAAAAACAAAAAAAAGAAGCATAACTTCAGCTGTCTCTGCCACCTCTTCTATGCTAGACGCTCGAGTTCTCTTGTGTTACTCTGATGCACCTCCATAGGAACACTTGGCATGTCTCACTCGATCTCTTCAGTCATTTTCTTTCCTTCAATCTCTCCGATGACGCTATCACCAATAGGGAGGGTTCTGGACATCTTCACGGCGGACATGATAGAAGGTGCATCGTGGAAGATCTGATTGACTTCTTCAAGGGATCGATTCATTGTCTCCGGGTAGAAGAGGTAAACTACAGGCGGGATGAGACCACCAATGACGGTGAATACGACGTAGTAGCGGTAGCCAATGTCGGCGATCGCGGTAGGAGTAATCATGGCGACGACGAACATCCTAGTCCGGTGAACAATATTAGTATTTTCATTCTCCCAGTAATAGGGAACTGATGCTTACCATAACCACTGATTCGCTATTGAAAACGAATGCATGGCGACTCGCAGACGAACTGGGGCAACCTCCGCCGGGTAAACGAAGTTCGCTCCTAAGAATCCCACCGGAAGGAAGAAATTGTACACGAAGATAAACAGAGCCGAGATAATAGACGCAGTATGGTTGTTTGAGAATGAGTTGGATACTGTCAGTGCCAGCATGCACATGGACATTCCACCACCACTGATCATAAAGGCAGCCCGGCGTCCAAGCCGGTCCACAACATAGAAGCCGACAAAGCAGCAGAGGAATTTCCACGTCAAAGCGCACGCGGCAAGAACCTTTGCTAAACTGGAGCCTAGGTGTAAATTATCTTCAAAGATAATCGGGATGTAGACAGAAATCAAAGTACCACCCGTCATCTGCTGGAAGAATTGCAGGAGAATACAGAGAACGAATCTGTAAAAGAGCTTCTCCTCCCCCATTGTAAAAATATCGCTGAGTCCCATATTGCCACTCGATGATTCCTCCAGCGAGATCTCAATTCCTCGTAATTCGTACATAATCTCAGGCGATAACACATCCCTCTGTCTCAAGCAAGCAAGGGTCTGCTGTGCCGCATCCGATCTATTCTTGAGAACAAGCCAGCGAGGAGATTCTGGCAGGAGGAAGATGCTACCCATGATAGTCAAAGAGAAGAGCGCTGGGATTGCCAGCGATCCCCGCCAAGACGCGGATCTTTCCTGCATATGATAGAATCCAAAGTTGATCCATTGCGTCAGGGCAAACCCAAAGGCAATAAACATGCCTGTTAATACGACATTTCTCCCTCTCTTATCCGCCGGTGAGCACTCTGACTGCCAGACTGGCACTGTAGCGCTCAGCATACCCACACCCCACCCGAGGACTACCCGGCCAACTGTGAATTGTGAGAGAGCATAAGCTGAGCATTCTAATGCCTGGCCTATCAGGGCAATACATGCTCCAGCAAAGATCGTTCGACGCCGACCGAGGATGTCGCCAATCCACGTACATATTAGGGACCCGAAGAGGGCACCAAGGGTGTAGGAAGCAACCACAGCGCCTTGCACTGTGGCATTGTGGGATTTCTGAGCACCTGTGGTATTGACTGTGTCAATCTCAGGGAACTGCCTCACCCACGACGGGAAGTCTGTCAAGCCTCCAACGCCGGATTGATTGTAACCGAAGAGAATAAAGGATGGGCACACGATCAAGAAGATCTGGGCAAAGCGAAGTGTCTCGCCCTGCATCATGACTTCTTATTCCTGCCTCGGGCAAGTTGCAGTCAATGGCTTGAGTCTACTATGTTCGACGGGGGGGAGCTATTATGAGGTGAAGAAGAAGGAGAACATGAGAACTGAGATTTAGGAACGTCCCTCAGTTTTCTATGGCCTCCACGGAGCCAGAGCGCCATAACAACCGAGGCAAGGGCACCATTAACCCTGAGGAAGTGGAGGGGCATTCAGCCTTCTCGCACAGGACCTTCTGTAGCCCAATACTGCCGGAATAGCTCGCACAGGATCCTGTGAGACCCGCAGGGGTAGCAGGTCCTAATCACCGGACTTTAGAAAATTGGGACTTGGCAGGACAAGTATGAAATGCTTGTCGTGCTTGTCTTCGAACCCTCCAATAACCATGTCGGAACCCCGGGGCCAAAACCCACTCGAAGTGGAGAACCGACATAGGCTTAGCATTTCTAATGCGCGATTGGCTTCCTATGGGCGCCATGACCCAAGGATGACATTCATACGCTCTGGTCAATGAGGCATTAAACGTAACCGAAACCGAGCGCGTGGTAGCAGGCCGGTGTATCACCGTGAGGGATGACGCGATGAACCGTTACCCAACGGGGCAGGCCTTGTTACTATCCACTATCGGGTAATTCAATTATCATGCGGAGAAGAAAGAACTCCAGTACATAGGTTGAACTAAGAGATTCAGCGGCCAGTCTGTTGTCACTACGGAGTGCGTGGCCCGATTCCCGGGGACTTTGCGATTCTCCGCACGCGACACCCCACGGGCTCCACTCACCAAACCTGGCCACCGGGGTAGCTCAGTTCAAACAACGGATGAAGGTCTGCCGTCCTCGGAGTCTCACCGAGCGGTTGAGAAGCGGATTTTGGCCGACACAACAGGACCGAGCCAATCATTGGATGTGTGAAACCAACCATATTACTCTGTGAATAGAATGCTGGAAACTGGATTAGCAACTAGTAGCGGCACGGATATATATTTGGGATGGAAAGACATACAGACTTCTCTTGAATGATGAGTTAAAAGACAAATCTGGGATGTCAAAGATGCTGGACAACATGGAGGCTTTTGCATTGTTTGTCTGACCGGCACGTCGCAGGTCACCAGCCATCGTTGCTTCCAATAGTACTGGTAAGGCCCTCGAGCACTACTTACTAGTACGGCTCTCAGTAAAGTATCAGCCACCTGATTGGCCGCCTAGCGGTCATATGACCCACAACACCTCTACTAGTAGTAGTACACAGTAGGCCTTACATGTAAATTAGCCTTATAGCTCTCACATAATGTTGTTCTGGACTCTAGAGGTTCGCTAAAGGGAAATAGCAGAGGCCAATCCCAGTGTGTTCCTTTAGCTTTCTGTGTCTTCATTCTTGCCTTCTCTTAACATTCGCCATCGGATACAGCAGTAGCTGGTCCTACTATGGCGTTTATTACTGGCTTCTTCATCTCCTTTTGACTTTCGCTATGGGATACAGCAGTAGCTGATCCAACTACAGCAAATTGTGTCAAGCTCCTTTCAGCAAGGGAAGCTTCTCCAGGGCACCTCTACCGACCAGGGACGCAGTCGTAGTTTCCACGTTAACAGTGAACTACTACGATGGGCTCTTTGGTGAATTTAATTTATTACATCTACTGGCTTTTCTTGACCCACATGCCATCCACACTGATATTGACATGGACTTGCCACTGCTTCACACCATCCGCATCCCAACAATTGATCGACACACCCGCCGATACCCTCCTCAAGGTGTCTTTTTATTCCGCTGCCGAATGACATGTCCGTACTTATAGAAAATATACGGCACAGGCGTCATCAGGACCGAGATACATCCCAGCAATGTGAGTGACCAATGTACGCCCAAATTTCCGTACATCGGAATCGACACGATGACCATCGCACCAGCAGCGATATAACGGAAGAAAGTTGCACTCACCAAGGCACTGGCTGCGAAGAGCTCATATGTGTCGATGAGGTACTGATATGTGGAAATAAAGATTCCTTGGACAGAGAATCCGAAAGCCACCGACGCGACTAGCGGCGACCAGTACGAGATAGACGGATAGCTGGTCCAGCCCATCCAGAAAAGCGAGATTGGTAGCCAGGGTGCTCCATACATAGCGAACCAAAGCCGCTCCTCCGGAGGTAACCCATTGTGTCCATTTTCAATCGCATTCAGGAGCCGCTTTTTGTATGAGAAGTAGATATGTGGCACCATGGCGAAGGCGATCAAGAATCCGACATTCATGCCGATGAATGTCAGACCTACAGACCCTTGGGTAAACCCATATGTCCGACCAAAGATGAACTCATAGCCTGTCAGGAACCCGAATAGGACGATGTAGACCACGACCAGATACATGGTAAAAAGTGCTACCATGATCTCCCGAAAGAATAGATGAAAGGGACGGGAGCAGCTGTGCATCAACCGAGTCACGAGCGACGTTTGGCGAAGCTCAATCTCTGCCATGAATCGCTGGTCACCGGTAATCTCACGCAGCTGTTTAGCCTTCCACTGCAACAGTACGGGACCATATGTTTCTGGAACAAACAGGAAGATGGCGCCGGTCACTAATGCAGCCATGATCAACGTGGCCCATTCCGTCCAGCGCCAGCTGATATGCGTGCTTTGGCCAATGAACGCTCCAACCATTGGGGCTAGGAACGGCCCGAGGAATGATAGCGTGCAACAAACTGGAAAGGCGTATGTGCGGTCCATGGGGTCAAAGATATCCGCCATGCTGCCACCAAAGGTAGTCATCGGTGTACATCCGAACAATCCCGCTAGGAAGCGGAAGGCAAGCTGAGCTCCAAAATTTGGAGCCAGACCTGAGGCCATGGTAAAGATCATAAGAATGGACAGCGTCGCTATGTAAACCGGATTCCGCCCAACAGTCTCAGAAAAAGGTGCCGCTACCAAAGAACCGAAGCCGAACGCGAACAGGAACAGGGCAGTTGCGAGAGACTCGGCAACTTCGCTGACTCCGAACGCCTCCTGCCCTTGTTTAATCACGGTTGAGTCGATGGAGGAAGCCCATCCAACAAGCATGCCCGTTGTGCCGACAATGCCCAATGTCGCCCATTTCCGTCCTACAGACCAGTTTTTGGGATTAAGTTGGTCGTCGGGGCCATCGAAACCGACAATGAATAATGTTTTAGTATTGACACGCTCACATATTTCGGAGGCACGGCGGAGGTTGACACCAGGAACAGTTACTCTCTGACCGTCGTGGAGAACGATCCCTAGCGTAGAGTATGGCGATTGGTCGTGTCCGTCCATTGAATGAATGCCCTTTTCCAGTCTGGCGTCATCGGCATCCTCCAAAATATCATCAGTCGGCTGTACATGACGGTCGCCAGCAGCGCCATACGGACCGTGCAGCTTAATGCTTTCTTGCAGGTCTCTACGCATCCGTCGGTATTGGCGAAAGGATTGCATCGTTGCGAGGCGCTCAAGACACACACCACAAAATAATAAAAGGAATTGGGAGAGAGATAATTAAGGCAACATCTGTCAAATGTTTTTACTCCTCGGCAAGAATAAATGTGCTCTTTTCGGACTATTTATTTCTAGTGGTCCTTCCATTGCGTCAACCCGAAATCCGCCTTAACCGACTTTCCCGTCATGGCCGACTTAGCCGCTGAATGGCTTCGAAAATCCTTATTCAGCGCCAAAGGGCGAGAAAGAGCTTACAAGAGGTACGTCAGTCTATGATATAATGCAAGCAGAATTACTAGGTACTAGGCCTATCGACTAATACTATAAGTAGACGCATACGAGCCCTTTCTGATCGTGTAAATAGTCCTCAATTTCCTGCATTATCTATATCTCTGGCCGCCGGATTCACCCTCGTCGAAGAACGGAACCTGGGTGTCCAAGAACACATTCCAATCCCAGTCAAAGTTATCTGGTAAGGCCAGATCACCGTTCGCCCCCAGCCAAGAAGCGTCGTTAAAGGCTTGGGATGTTGAACCTTCCTCGGTGAGCCCCGGGTCTTCCTGTTGCATGCTATCTCTGAGAAGAGTCAAGTCCCGTTCCTTTTTGTTCTGGGATAGGCGAACCAATGATTCTATAGTCTCCAGCGCGGTGTGTAGGGTCTGCGTGCTGTAATGTCTGGTAATAGCCCTGAATGAGCGCAGTGCTGGACCCACGTACGACAGTGATTCCCTAGTGTCAATAGCAAGCAAGATACAGAGAAATTGAAAGGGTATGTTGGCGACATGCCACCAAGGACAGCGATCCTCCGCCAGGCGTACTGCGGCCTCAAGGCCGTCATTGCCTAGTCGGATGATACGGGTAAGAATGTCATTCGATATATTGGACGAAGCGACTCGCAGACGACGATAAATTGTGAGTGCCAGATTACTTTGGGATAGTATCAGGGCATCATGGGAGAGTGTGAGACGCTCAACACGGCTGAGTGCATCTTCTAGGTCGGAGAGCTTATTGTTCAGGTCGGGATCCAGTCGTTCGGAGATCTGGTACATGGAGATGAGGTCCGTGGTGAAGTCGCCCGCTCGCGGTAAAGGTGGCTTGCAAGAGACACCCCGTAGAATAACGCGCGATCGACCATATTCATACGAGATCCATGAATTTAACACTGTTGCTACCCAGAATAGGCGTCTTTGGCTCTCATCATTTACGCTAACGTCTGCGGTGTCAGAATAAACCAAAGACACCAGTTCCGGATCCTGGTGAGCTCCGATAGCCTCTATGATATGCATGGTGGAACAACTGGCCATCCACGAGGCATGGGGGCAGTTGGTGCTTCGGAGATATATGGTCCGTAAGATCCAGGCGGTGGCATGATGCAGGAGGGTGGTCTTTGAGATCCGGGTGGTTTCAAGCATCTCCTTTGCAGACTGCACCAGTGCCCCTTCCTTCGGGTGTTCCTGGTGGCCTGAGTACAAGGAGCCCAATGCCGCGACGCCGCAAAGAATGGGGTCATAGCTGGTCGGAGTAGCAGGATCATGCCATCTGGCAACTATCTTTTGCCTTAACGTGTCGGGGTCCAGGACCGCATATACCGGATGTATCTTCTTTAAATAATGGCTGGCCAAGTCTTCCATTTCCTCTCTTGAAATCAGATCTGTAAGATTGATGAAGGGCTCCAGAGGCTCATTCCGTGGACCTAGATTCCAGCTGAAGCCGTACACCTTGGGGGCACCCTGCGGATTCAACCTCATCCCCAGGAGATGGGGGAAAGCGGTGCCTGAGTTGGCCTCCATGTGTTCTTGATTAGCATCAACTCTGTCGGAAAACTTTGGTGAGTCTTCTTCTTCGCTGGGCCTTGCTGAAGATTTGGAAGCTGCAGGCTTTCTCCGTGGATGAGGCTTGAAAGTGCATTGATATTCGTATCGCAAGCAGTAAGTGCAGGGCTCATGGCCGTCACATTTCCTCTTGCGCAGTTTGCACGTTTCGCACGCTCTTTTCGCGCGCTGCCGGGTCCTTATCCGACCGGAATCGTCGGTATTCAACGACATTACGTTGCACTACAGGGTTATCGCGAAAGAAGGAAATCTATCGCAGTCGACGTTGGGCTATCAGTGGGGGGCTCGGGAGGGTGAGAATGACGGGGGGCAAAAGTACGAGGTATCGGGCAGTCGGGATAAATGTTAACTCCGACGCGCGGCTCCAACGCTGCAACTGGATAACCCTAATTCGGGATCCCGTTATCGCCCGACGGATATTTGCTGGGATTGGAATCCTTAAGCGATGATACCATACCTGCAGAATGTTATTTTTCTGTTTTCTGCAGGGCGCACTGTCCACTGCAAAAGGCTGCACATCCCGACTAGCGTGCTTCCTTTCGTGCCGTCCACCGACCCTCTCATTGGATATTGCGTTGCGGATGCATCACCGCGGATGTGACATTATCAATCGCTGACATGCATTAAAAGCTCAGTGAGTATGTTACGATCTTCTAGAGTCGTCGAACATCATCTATCCCGACTTTGCCGCTCATTCCACCTCATCCGTTCATATCACATTGGATGCGATTGGCTTCAGAGTGCATGTGTCGTTATCCGGATATGTTGGGTTACAATCAGGGAAAGAGAATCCTTGACATGCTCATGGGAGTGACTCAAACCATCCTGCTGAAGGGAAGGATATAAAGGGACGGGAATCCTTGGGGGGCTATTCCTCTACACTTCAATAACCATTCTTCTCAAGATTCCTGAACCGAACATAATCATCTCTAAACTATAACTACCTGTCTATTCATAATGCGTGTCACGACACAGCTAAGGGTCGGCATCGTCGGTGGCGGATGGAACGGCTGCCATCTTGCCCTAGAGCTCAAAAAGCAGGGCCACCGAGTTTCTTTGTTCGAACAGAAGCCTGATATCTTCCAAGGTGTCTCAGGAAACTTTGGTATCCGCCTGCACAAGGGGCCACACTATCCTCGGTCCAAAGCCACTCGAGACAGCTGCCGTGAAGCCCTGGCCAAGTTTTGCGAGACGTATCCCGAACTCGTTGTCTACCATGAATCCGCAATATATGCACACGGCGAAGCAGACGCTCTGGGAAACCCATCGAAGGTCTCCGATGAGGCATTCAGGGATGTTTGCTACGAGTCTCCCGAGTGTACTACGGTTGATCCGAAGGCAAATGGCTTCCAGGGTCTCATCAGCGCATACAATCTGGACGAACCCAGCGTCGCTATTGGCGATCGTCTCCGGAATGCATTCAAAGACAAGTTGGGTCGTGCAGGCATCTACGTGCACCTCAATACGACAGTCGACCGTATCATCCACACCGAGGACACCAACTGCATTCAAACTGGGGATGGACAGTACGTCTTCGATGTAGTGATCAACGCCACCGGCTATACCAGCCTTCTGCCGCAGAATATCGCAGATGCTCTTCCCGTCGACATTGGCGTCACGTATCAGACCTGTATCGCCCTTGTCTACGAAGACCAGCAGCCGCAAGAAAAGCCCCTCTCTTTCATTGTCATGGACGGCTGGTTTCCCTGCGTGATGCCGGCGATCGACACAAACGAGCCCCTTCAGAAGAAGTATATTTTAACACACGGCAGCTACACCATCCTCGGATCATTCGACCGTCACGAGGAGGGTCAAGCGCTTCTAGATAGTCTTGACGAGGAAGCTATCGCTGCTCAGATTAAGCCCCACTGCGAGCGGGAGATCACCCGGTTCTGGCCCGGGTTCCTCGATCGGTTCCACTACCGCGGCTGGAAGGGCAGTGTTCTGGCCAAGTTAAAGACCACATCCGAATTCCGAAGCAGTTTGACCTTTGAGAAAGACGGCGTGATCCACATCTTCCCCGGCAAGGTGAGCAATGTCGTGACGGCTGCCGAGGAGGTGGTTCCTCTGATCAATGACATCGCACGGCGACGGCACGGTGTGGTTCGGGAGTGGAATGGCGTACGCTTCACTGTGAGCAGCGCCTTCCACACCCACGGCAAGGAAATTGGCGATAAGCCAGGGCTGGGCGAGCACCACACTAGCAACCTGCAGACCTATGTTTCACTGGTCACTGCAAACTAAGTGGGGCTCGGTGGTTTTTTCCAATGGCAACTGGTTTCATATGTAGCGCTAATGAGTCCCTGGTTACTAGAGAATAGATGCTTTAGACGTTAGAGAATGTGATTTTGAGTTTTAGCAAATAGAATATCAGATCCTATATTGCCCGCAACACTAGTTCAAATGATTGACCCTATCTATCTATCTAAAATCCTTCAAGGACCCACCCACCTCCCTCTAGGTAGCAATCCTCCCTCGGCGATCAGAAAGCACGAATTGCACGGAAAATGGTATCGATCAGCGTCTTGACTATACATTCGCAATCCAACTAATATCTTATAACATGGTAATCTGATTGAATCAATCCCGAACATAAGCCTCATATCCACCCAATCACCTCTTCCTCGGCATATGGCAAATCCGGCTTAGCGGAGATCGACAGGGATTAGGGCTGGCTCTAGACTTATCAGCAGCTACTGAGGAATCTAAATACCGTGCATAATGCTCCACCCACTGACCCTGCAAGATTTAAAAATTAATAAATAGCTGAGGGGCAGGGATGTTCGCCATTTCGGCCATGATTCTATTCGTATTCCTTATCTATCACTCCGACAGGTGTGTTGAGGGCCGCAGAGTGTCTGCTCCGTGCCTACTACTCAATCTCAACAAACAACCAGAAACGCGGGCGTAAGCCGTGAGTGACTGCCGATTGACTTCCGGGTTTTGCTTCATGGCTGGTAATTTTATGATGAGAGAGTCAGGACACTATCCATGGGGGAGGAGACCAAGACGATACTATTAATAATGTCAACCCGGAATAGGGAACAACGGCTTCTTGACATGCCTCCGAATCACTACATACATACGCAATCTAGGAATGCTTGTTAGTTCTGTGGCTCACATTACATTGGTATTATCCGCTGAACCCTGCGACGAACGCACGTCCATCCGAAACACGCTAGGTTCAATGCCGGATCTATCGGCCGAGCTAAAGTACAAGCCGCGCCTCACAAGGCCGATTTTGCCGTTGAGGGTGTCACAGGAGGGGAAGTCCTTCCACCATGGTTCTGACGGCAAGGTTGTTGATTTTGCCCATGCATCCCTGCATCCCTGCATCCTGTTATCTGTGGCGGGAGTAGGATCATCCCGAATGACTCAATCCCAGTAAACGACTGTCGGGACAAGCCGAAACTCTCATTGTATTCGAGGAACTAAAGTACGTGAATCATGATTGGGACTAATATGAGGTGATGGCATTATACCCTTCGACGAGAGGTTAATGGCTCCACCGTCGTGTGGAGTCTTTTCAGTAGCTGATAAATACAATATGGCGTTTCAATCTAACACTCTTCACCCAGAGCACCATTGCCACCTATATGCGGTGCTTGAACAGGTGAGGGTGGGGATAGTTCTATTAGAGGAAGAGAGGATAGATGAGTTTAAGCGCTCCTCCCAGACAGAGGATACCCAACACGGGATTAAAGATGCTTCAACAGATGCCTTCTTCAGTGACTTAATCAATCTTCGAGTGATACTCGACTCATCGGAAAACCTTCTTAAACAAGAAATGTGAAAAAGGCAGCAGGAACAATGGTGCTAGTTGGGAAACAATATCTAATCAGGACTGATGCATGACACAAGCTGTCAGGGAAGGGCAACCGTCAACGGGATCATTACCCTTGTCTTGATGAGAACACAACCAACAGAGCTTAGCTGTATGGGTTCGTTGAATCTGCTACTTGGTAAGATAGCCAGTAGCAATAATGCGGTTTTACCCGCATTCCTTCTCGCCTACAGCGGCAAGATTTCCTCCAGGGTGCATATCATTCGCTTCTTCAGGACTAGTTATACGCCACTGCTGATGTCGATCGCACACTTGACAAGGACCCTGGATTACTCAGTAATATATGCGGGTGGCTAGATAGTGGACCCTCGACGGTTATGGATCACTAATCTCCTTGTCTCCTAGTTGAATTTTCTCTTCCTCTTATTTTAGGAATAGATCCATCGTCTGAAGGATCTCTATCCCTAGTATTGAATCCTGCTTTATCAAGGGTAGTTCTGGTTGCCAATGTTCACAAGGTTCCAGATAACTACTCCAACGCCGTAATATCGTCAGCCATTATTATTCTTAGTCAGATAATATGAGAAAACGGCCTTGGTTTAGAAGGCGCTTTCTGAAGAGCAATCTACTTGGCAATGAATTAAGCATTCATAGTACAGGCTCGCTGATTGCTGTGCTTATTTTAGCCTGAGATGGTACGCGGGCGCCAATGCATTCGGGCCACATTGGAGGCAAGGTGGCCACTTGGGAACGTAACCACACATGCGGATAACTCTAACAACTCTATGTACCGAGGCTGATATGACAGTGAGCAAGATACCAGTTACTCGAAGGAGAAGTGTCTCTTAATTCCTCACATTAAACAGGATTTCAAGTGGGCGGCCGCGCAAGAAAGGATTGACCGGACGCCATATGTGGAGACGAAGTGCCAACAGTAATTGTCAGAGTTTGAGTAAATGAAATGAAGGATTGCTATCCCTGTTCTTACGTCTGCTCCTAATCCTTCGGTTGCCAATTTACGACGCTATGGTTATACCATTGGTTGCTTAAGCAGGTGCTGCAGTAGATAAGCACTAACGTTGGCTGCCTAGACCTTTCTACTTCCAGTACTAGGTGGATATTATAAGAAGAGCATTTCCTAGGCAGGTGACGGCATTTACGGTTTACTAATTCTGGTAAGACCTACAATATCCATTATTCATGTCGTTGGCCTGTTGGTTCAATCTTCCGTGCAAATACTTGTGCCTCATCGGATTGGGTGGATACAATTATCTCAGCGACATATACGATACCTGAAAGGGAGCTGAACCCTGGCCACCTGGAATTAAGCACCACTGGCGATACTTCATGTGATTTAAACCACGATGGCGAAGGTGTATGCACTGTCTAGTAGCTTGTAGTTGGTGCGAGGGTTTCGTAATACTATTCTAGTTCGAAGAGAGGATCCTCAAAGGTTTTCAATTAGACAAGTCTCTATGACTTGCACCAGATACCTTGAGTCGTCACATGGGTTTGGACACAAATTCAATGCATCAAACATGGCTTTTACGTACACAGTCGAGGGAATAGCTTGAGTCTGAGACGTTGAAAGCTCCAATGTGAACATATTCAATGCTGGCAACATCGTCTCACTAGCTAAGGCTCTACTGCCCTTCTCTAACAGCAACAAAGGCCTCAAAAAGTTCCGACAAATCCATAGCACCCTCCATATGATGCTTCTCTCCAATGACAAAATGAGGCACACCAGTGACTCCATCAGCCCTCGCCGTCTTCGCTTCAGCTTCCATTTCCGCCACCCCAGCACCACTAACTAGCCACTCCCGGATATCATCTTCACGCATGCCAGCCTGTACCCCAACAGCAACCACAGTATCCAATTGGCTAATATCGGCCTCCTCCTCAAACTGGTAGTGAAAGAGCAACTCCGAAACCCGACACTGCCGCTCACTTCCCTCCCGCGCGGCCAGATACAGCAGCTGATGTGCTAGTCTAGACGAGCCGATATACCCACCAAACTTGAATCGGATCCCGGCATCCACGCCTACGCGCTTCAAGCGGGTCTGGGCCGCTGCTACCATTTTGGGATCCATGCGGCGGAGCATACGGTCTAGCCCGGGAGGTTAGATTCGGCTCGTGCCAGTCATTGGTGCTTAATATAGAAGCGAAGACCGACCTTGTATCAAGATGCTTTCCTTTGGCGGTTCTTGATCGATGAAGTATGGTTTCCACCATACCTCTATGGTGTCTTTCGAGCCGCCGGGGTAGGTCTTTCGGTATAAGGAGATAGCCTTTTGTAGGTTTCGATATCCAATGTAGCACTTTGGCAGATGAGCTATCGGAGTACTGTGCCTGTTGCGACGGGTACACTTACCCAGGGACAGATTGCATCTGAGATGATATCGATCTTGATCAACGCCATAATTGTTTTTCACTTCCTAGTTTTTTGTTTGTTTCCGGCAGTGTTCGTTAAGGGAGAGATTCCCAGCCACGACTTCTAAGTAAGTCAATTTGTGGTTGCCTACAGGTTCTGTAATTAATTCTGAGATTTGAAATCAAGATATGATCTCGTAAGGCTGTCAAAACAAAAAATGTTGAGGCCTACTGCTTACGCTACGCTTGGCCTCGTAATCTCTTCGGCTTTCATACGTGGCATCATTGAGTTTGACGTGAGGTCCGTGGGTAATGATTTGCGCAGTAACATAGTATATCTTAATCATACGCCTCGTCTACTCGAATATAAAAATCGTTCATATTGAATACTTCAAATATATAGATATGTACTGGAAAGGGAAAGAGCGTTGTAGAGCCTAATCTCAATTGGCTGGAACCGACTTCAATTCTGACATCTGCGGGTATACTTGAGCGGTAGAAGGAATATCAGGGTTCACACAGATTGAATGTTAAATGTTTAATTCTGTGACTCCAATTATTCTCTTGTGTATATATCGTAAAATCATTGAACAATCTGTGGTTAATCGAATGCTGTTTCTGCCAACTACCGATTATATATAGCCGCTAAGTGCACTACCAGCAAAACGCTGTTTTTGAATGAAAATATAATTGGTACAGTATCCTCTCATTCTTTAAGATTGTTCTATTCCGTAAAAGCTCAGTCAACCATTCAAATGCCTAATAAGAAGTACCATGACTTTATACCTTGTACTAGAAATATGAGACTACTACTACTGTATACCATATATAAAATTATTAGACTACTTATATATCATTGGTCCATACCAGGCTACCGCCTTGTCATTCTGCCCCATTTTCCCCTCGTCCTTTAAAAAAGATATGTAGCAATCTGCTGTTATGCATCCTTGATCTATTCCATCTAATGATTAATTCGCATATACCAACGTGGTTACTGCTGAACTACCCCGCCATCGGTTAAATTTTGCTGATGACGTATCAAGGGAAGATCAATCTGCTTTTTCCGCTCAGCTGAAAAGAGCTGGAGTGTACTCTGACGTATCAGATCACCACAGTACAAAGGCCCACGATCTAATCAATTAGCGTACCCCATCAAGTGGTTATTTTGATCGAATTAGAGGTGGCCATGCTTCCCACAGCTATTTGTAAATGGCTCGCTATGACATACGTTCTCAGCTCTCTATCTGCCTCGCTAACGCAATACCGAGATACTGATAGGGTGCAACAAGATCATCCCGTGGAGCTGTTCGCTTAATAATCGTGAGTGGAACTATCGAGGCCGAGGATGGTCCTATTATATTTTGCATCCAGCTAGAAACATACTACAAAGGGGAAACGATATACAGTGACCCCCACAGGGATCAGCACGGGGCTTTCGTATCCTACCAAAGTATACTTTGTGGCTGGTTAAGATAGCAGCTGAAAATCTCAGCTGAGCTGCCCAGATCTGTCTATATATAAGACTTGAAACCCCTCGTGGCTCACTCAATCATTCACCATCTTTCTCAAATAGTCATAAACCAACAAAAGGCTCAATCCAATTCCACATCAATCCCCGACCCCCAAGCCTTAATATTCTCAAAATGGTCCATACCCTCCAGCAGTACGTCAGGATCTCACCTCAACTCCCCCTGCCTATATAACTTACCCCATGTCTTCGTTTAGAGAAGAAGACGTTCTCGAGTTTATTATGAGTAGCCTAAAGCCAGTCGTTGTACATTACTGGAGCCCCTTGATGGGGCCAGAGTCGCCACTCATGCCTCTGTTCTTGGAGGCCGAAGAAAACCGTGGAAATGAGGTTGAATTTGTCATTGTGGATAGTGGATTTATCCATCCCCAACATTACCCAGATGAGATGCCCTTGACGGTTCTCTATAGGGAGGGTGAGGAGGTAGAGACCGCTCCGTTCCATCCCGATGAGATCCAAGCACTTATTGAGAGAGCATAAAGGACTGGAATCTAGATGATTTTAGATGAGAATACATTATCAGAGCTTATGATTTACCTCGAATAGTGATGTGGCGCAATATCAATAGAAAGTATATAAATGCTAGAGTTTCTATCGAGAATCATTGTATCTGATACCCGCTTATATTTTGTCTAACGGAACTAATAGCTTGATGCTCCAAGCCCATCTACTAACTAGTGTGGCTACTATGTATGCGAGTACAGTGTCACTGATTTTATATGGTATACGGTCTTTCATCAAGACTCTATCTACTAGAATCTATGTATCTTAACAAGTCTGCTATTTGACTTGAATCATATTCAGGGAAGGAAATATGTATATTTTCGAGTAGAAAAGCGGGGTATAATTCGATCATTGTAGTAGGTAACGTGACTTAATATCGTGACGCGTTGCTTCAGAGTGATAAGTACTTAATTCAAAACTTCCCCAGAAGGTTCTCGTCTGATTGGGTCGGGTCATTCGCGTACCTTAGTCCTCATTCTGTGCAAACGGTAGGCACTAGGCAGATATAGTATATTACGTTGTTCCCAAAACTCTGATCTGCGTGCATCCTCTTTACCAAAGTTCCCGAGCATTATATGGAAGACACATGAGATGATTCTATACGAGGATTCGACTGGGCATACAAGCTGTTCTACTGCTCCATACTCTAGTAGTCCAAAACGGGCCTGTTTATAGGCGGTGGGGCTAGACAAAGTGCTTATATTTAGACAAGTATCAATAGCATATTATAGGACGAAGTATCCCTATTGCTGAATGAATCATCGCGGAGCTATCCATATCTACTTAATCTTGAAGAGTCGGTCATATAAAGATTAATCGATTGTCAGGTAATCTGTTATCTGTAATTGACTAAATACTACTGGCTAGTTTGATCCTATAGTCTTGGGTCGCCCAGGCTCTACCTGTTTAATGACTCGAGCCGGGGAGCCTACAGCAACACTGAAGGGAGGAATGCATCTTGTCACGACCGACCCAGCCCCAACTGTACAACCTTCACCGATTTGAACACCGGCCAAAATTGTAACATTGGCCCCGATCCAGCAGTCGTCACCTATGATGATCTCTCGCGCAAATTCGACCCCATTTCTACGAGACTCTACACTGGTCTCATGCGTTGCAGATAGAAGGTTCACATTCGGGCCGAAGGAAACACGATCGCCAATAATAATAAGGGAGCAATCAAGCATTGTGGTACTGTAAAATGGCTAGTTTAACACACACAGAGTCCACAAAGCACTACCGGCGTTGAATCATGATGGGGAATAGGCATACTTGAAGTTAGCATAGAAGTTGTCCCCAATCTTGATATTGCACCCATAATCGACCATCAAGGGGGGCTCAATAAAGGCGCCCTTGCCAGTTGCCCCCAGTAATTGCCTTAGCAATTCCTCGCGCTGATCGGTGAGGCCTTCAAACGATATGTCATCGGGAATTGGTGCATTGTACTTGGACATCAGCTTGCGGGCTCGAAAACGGCTTTGCATAAGCTCCGGAGCGAGTGGGTCGTATCTAGACAATGTCAATCGGAAGACTTGGGGCGCCATCTCTGTAGCTATGACTTCCCAGGACTTACAGCATCCCTGATATCATCCGTTCGTACTGTTCGCACCAAGGTATATTTGCCAGCGACTGGGCAGCTACCAGTAGCTCAGGGTCCTTTTCTTTAGAAGGTTCCATGGCAGGAGGGAAGGAACCGAGAAGATTTGTTGTACAGGATAAATGTGGGATGATTACTCTTGGTGGTGTATATAAACAGTTTCAGTTGATCAGCCCTATTATAACCCTGGTTTGTCTGGCGCGGCTATTACCTCGACAAGAAAGGCTAGTGTGAAACCGTAATTTGTGGGCCGGTCAAAGTAGTACATAAATAGACCACTAACATCAGTGAGATCTTGCCCCAACACAAACTAGCGATACAGTGCAGCGTGCTTAAATACAACACCCGATGACCCCTTCAAAGGCCCGGAGCGTGATGGTCGGCTGGCTCGCCACGAGCGGGGCAGTCTGAAGCGAAGAGGATGCCCAACGTGCGACGCGGATGCCTGAAGGAACCGTCCATTCGACCGCAGTGGTTGTCCAGTTCATCGCAACAAGCCAGCTCTCTTTTCTGTCTGCACTAGTCCTCAAGTACGCAAAGACCTTTTCGTTGTGAAAGTCCAGATCCTCAAAGTCGCCGTAAACGAAAGCATCTTTATAGAGCTTTCGGTGCTGTAATGCCTGCTGCCAGAACTGCCAAACGGATGGTTCGCCTTTTATCTGCCACGGGAAGGACATCTGTGCCTCCACATTGATAGTTTCATAGTCATCATTTACCCTCATCCAGGGCGTCGCATTGGGGACTGTGAAGCCCGCATGCGGCGCAGCACTCCATTGCATTGGGGTGCGGGCGTGGTCTCTGGCCTTCTTTTGCAGGAGCCTCCGTGCCTCTGCAGAATATCGACTCACTGGGGCTAAGCCATACAATATCGACACCCAAGCTCCTTACATACGGAACCTTATCAATAATACCGGTCACATCACCCCATCCATTGCCTTCAGTCGCGGGTTTCCCGTTGTTAAAGCTTGCGGGATACACATGATACACCACCGCGTCTTTCCACCATTTCGCGGAGGTGTAGTTGGACTTGGAACACATGGTTGACATGGAGGTTAAATCGAGACAAAAGCTGCCAGACGATGCACATGGGTTGAGTTGTAAAGATTACAAGATATTAAGGAAGACTAGGGGGTTCAATATACTTGTGGGGTGGGAGAATGCGTACTTCATGTCATTTAGTCCGTACACCAAAAGAAACCTTGCAGAGCAGGTCACGGGGCGACGCCAGCCAATCGACCTGTCAACCAGTGCGAGCGCGGGGAGGACGAGCACATTTCTGTATCCTCGAGACCGTCAATTTGAGCCCCATCGCCCGCGGGAGTTCTCTCCAATTTTCATCTTACTCTGGTCTTCTAGGCCTTCGGCACAGCCTTCACAGTTCGGTTATATTTTCCCGGCTCTCTAATCGCTTCGATGTCGGGTCGGGTTCGGGCCGGGTTGAGCAGGAAACCCCGATCAACTCTAAGCAGGCTATGTAAATATTGCTACTAAGACTGTATTACAGATTATACATTCTTTTTTTAATTCTATAGAGGATGAAATAAAGTATCTATATTTTAAGCCCGTTTTATATAATACCATATACTACGAGACGGCGATCCAGTATAATATTAGGCGGTAAACCCTTAGTAAGGCAAAACTGTGATTGCAGATTGGCTGCTATGAGCCGATGGAGACACCGTCAGCATAAATGATTATGCCGCTCATAGAGAAACCCCGCAATTTCTCTTCTCTTCACATATCCTAGTGCTCGATTGAAACCACTAATTAGATACTAATTGGACCTCAACCAAAGATACACACTTCTATATACATAATACCCACCTTCCCCTCAACAACGCGAGATTTATAATATCAAGTCTATTCAACCGACTTACCACATAAAAGTCCCATAAGATGTTCTCCAGAACACTCCCCGCAACAACCCGGTTCTTTAGTGGTACCTCCGGCAAAACCCCTGCAGCCATACCAGTCATCGTCTGCGGAAAGACGAGTCAGATCGGGGATCTTGTCAGGGAGGCATTGCAGCCGGAATATGAAGGTATTTCCGATCTCCTCTCTGTGCCTGTGATATGTGATATGTGATGTGATATGCGACTACTCGAGTGTGTGGCATTTGATGGATGATTGACGGAGTACATCATATAGTAACCCATCTCTTCCTCTCACCTGCTACGGCGAAGAATGAAATCCCTGCATTACTTCGTCAGACGAATTCAACTACAGCTACGGGATATGGCACATCCCCCTGGGCGATTATCATGGGTGGCGGATATACCCAGACTGATTTACAGGAGATCCGCGCGGCCAGTCAGGGTCCGGATGCCAAACCGGTTGCCTGGCTCAAGGTTGATCCTGGCAAAATGCCGTCGTCGATTCCGGTGGGCCCGGAGTATGGCCGGGCCGTAGCGAAGCGGACAAAGGATCGGTTGGATGCATTGGTGCGGGATGGAGGCATTGATCGGGATGAGGTGCATTTTATCTAGATCCTCTCCTGGTTTTTTATATCTCCGCATGGGATGGGATGGGTATATAAAGAGATGTCACGCGGTATATTGGTATTCAAATTGGTATATATCAACAGAGCTAGATAAAAGCACAGTCATAGCTGGATCCCACGAGCCGAGGTGCTTAGTAGAAGTCCCTACGGGAGGCTTCCTCGAGCTGCTGCTGGGCGTGGTACTTGGCCTTCTCCTTGTCAATGAAGTCAAGACCCTTGGACTCGAACTCGCGGTCGATGAAGGCACCGGCGAAACCGGCCAGGAGCTCCTTGGCGGTCTCGTGGCTCTGGGGCTGGCCTGTTTTCGATCGTTTGTTTAGTATATGTACGGGAATCGTATATGAAGAGGAGAGAAAGGGAGGTTGGGGGGAAGAAAGAAACCAATGAATTCCAACATACCGTTCTTCTCACAGTGGTCGTTGTAGGCCTTCATGGCCTCGAAGGAGGCGGCACCGGCAATGAGCTCATGGCTGAACTTGGCCTTGTGCTCCTCGCTGCCGTCGTAGTTGTTGAACTGCTCGTAGTGCTGAGCCTGCTCACTGTCGTTGTCTGAGACTTTTAGTCAGTATGGGCAAGAGAAAATACGGCTAAGAAAGTCGAGGGCCAGGAAAACATACCGAACCAACCCATTGTGAATGATGTGTGATGATGTAGTTACAGAAGACAGAGTGTGTGTGATAGTGATGAGATGAAGAAGAAAAGGGGGTAAGAGGGGGAGGGGTGGAAGAGGGGTTTATAAATGATGGGTAAGACTTAATCTGCCCCTCTCGGGGGGTGGGTTATTGTTATGAAAGATTAATCCTAGTGCACTAATGGTAGTATGTCCATTGTATACACTGTACCACTAATAGTATTACTAGTCTTGACCCCACTTCAGAAGCTAAGCTTCGCTAAGCTTTGTCAGCCGGTCTAGGCGATGCTCTCGATGTGCCATTGGACAGGTCTTGCCCAGGTTCCACTGGTGATTTCGGCTCTTACGGCAGTTATTGGTTATGGCCTCACGCCACGGATTGCGCGGACCTAAACCGATCGGAAATCTACCTCCAGCTGGTACTGTGTACTATTATTACACTGTACACTGTACACTATACACCCTCATGATGGTGTTGGCCGTCCCGTGGAACCCTTTGCTTACCTTTCTTCGTCAGGGACGACATCCTAGCATGAGAAGCCCTCCTCCCCACCCAGTCTCAAAAATGAGGGATCCAGTCAACATGGGGCATCGCCAAAAGTAAATATAGGATATGACGCCACATTTGACCCAAAGGGGGGGAATCTCGTCGGAGAAAAATGGAGCCCGGGACCACAAACACAGTCACCGCCACTTGATCTCCACTGCTGCGCCCCCCGATAAAGAGGGACACATAACCAGGGAATCGTTGTCGACATGCCCTCGTATGCGACCAATACCGGTCCATGACGGAGCATAGTCTGCACAGATAGTGCAACCGATGTCGCCGTCTCTGTCAGCGGGAAAATTGAAATTTCCCTCCTGATTTATCTCTATCCTAACAGGTCCTGTCCGGATCCATTAACCCCGAACAAGATACCCCGTATCGTGAAACGACGCGACCCCACCACGATGCCGATAGTCGGTTGGAATCCCCAGAGGGTCTGACGCAGTTATAATGGGAGGGGACCACGTACGGAGTACCTGAGATGGCCACCCCGTAATTCCCCTGCGTAATAAAGCGCCGGACGACCATGCCCATACCGAGCCGCCCAGTGTCAGAGCCAGCTAACGCATGCGGACCCATTTCGATGGCGTCTCTACGGCTGAAGCCAGGGACAATTGTTGCGAGTATTGACGGCAGAACCCGCAGGCCTGAAACGCTCTCCGCCAATGATGTCTGTATTTCGTACCGGCAAGTATACTATAACCGGAATATCCGTTGGTGTCAGGCGTTGCCGCGGGATATCATGTGATGGACTATGGCTCGATGATGGGCATTAGACATTCACCATCGTGACCATAGTATAAGTAAGATAAGGGGTCGATGGTAAAGGTTTTGTAGACTAGCTGGTCATAAGAACCACGGGATATCTACTATCGGTATCTACAGAATAAGGGAACCAAAGACTCCAGAGAAGCGTGACAAGTGTCAATGGAAGCATGCCTAGACAACAACTTATGGGTCAAGTATAGCATTGAGCTCTTACGGGGCGTGTAGTATAAGTCGACGATTTTGTGGAACTCGTCTGGTGGCTGTCGTACACATAGATGTCAAGTCAACTGCTACTGTAATACTCCGGTCATTGCTAGTGTAAACACCCAACACACCACGGTATACTTAAGAGGCATCAATCCTCTCAACCTCATTGAATCTAGCGCTCTTGGCATCTTCAGCCCTCTCAGTTTCGGCCTTTTCAGCATCCACAGAACGAGGATCAGCATAACTCCCTCGAGGTAACAGATGTCTCTGTCTTCCCCAGACGGTTCGATGTCTAAACCCATCATCCACCTCTTCAAGTTTCAATCCCTTTGTCTCCGGAACCATTAACCACACAAACGGGACTACAAGCGTCAGAAAACTGGCAAAGAAGAAATGTTCCGTACTGGATTTTCCGAGTCATATAGGGGCACTGCGGGCAATGACGAAATTCAGAAGCCAATGGGTAGCCGTGCAGATGGCCACACAAGGACTTCACACGCGCAACGGATAGATTTCAGAGCAGATGACCCATGGTACGCCGGCCCAGCGGAAACAGAAGCCGACAGCATAAATAAAGATAAAAACTCAGCTGCATATGATACGGAGCGGATGCGCCCTGTAGCGTCGGCGTGGTTGGTGGTGGCATGAAGTTTAACGAAGGCCCCCATAGACTACATGCAAAGGGCCGTAGTTATAGCTTGTCAGAAATCAACTAGATATGATCCGCGTGTTAGGCCCGCTCATGAGGCAGCAGACTTACCATCAGAGCACTCCCCCAAATCAACATTCGCGTCCGCCCGAAGCAATCGACGGTCCAATACATGGCGATGCAAACAGCGATCAGTCGGACTACTCCATAGTGTCCCGTTGAGATTAAAGTAGCCTTACTGCCCGTCAGACTGAGCGATGGGAATATCCGGGAAGAACAATGGTTGATGGCGTTAGAACCAGCCATTTGATAGAAAACCATAATCATGAAACCCAAGGAAGAGTCTTTCTCTGATACCAGGGTGGGTTAGCTCTTTTTTGACCCAGAGCCCCTTTCCAGGATTATTTGCCCTTTTGTCCTCGAGCTGGGCAATGATATCATTGAGTTCCGACTCCACAGAGGGATGAGTTTCTGGGAGTCCCCGCAAGGCTACGTCCAAAACGATCACTCAGTGGGGCAGAGATGAGAGCTCCGAAGCAGCCCGCTTGTAGGAGGGATACAATATTGGCTGCAAAGGCATCCTCGACAGATTTGGAAGCATGCTCCAACCCGAAGTCCCTGTAGATTGTTAGGGTCACCAAAACCCATGGAGCGAAGTCCATTTGGAGGCTGCTCACTTCTTAAAGGAATGTAACTCAATCGATGTGCCGATCAAGGCCATGTCATATCCGAATAGGAACGCCCCCATTGAGCTGACAATAGCCAGGAGATACACCCGTACAGTGATCATCTTCCCAGCGGTACCAGAACCAGAACCACCCGACTGTCTTGTGAGCAAATTCCGCATGGTTGAAGCTGGGGTTTGATTCAGTTGTAGTATTCGTTCTCATACCATGGCGAGGAGCAATTGATTAATTAAGAGGAACGGAGGTACTTCTTCCGAACGCGAGAGGATTGACATACGTACTCCATGAAATGGGAGGCGCGACATCAACTACTTCTAAGGTGGCAATAATTCGCAAGTCTGAAATACCCGGGGTGGACGTCGACTATACCTTTATTAAGATTGCCCCGGATCAAGCCCAGGTTGACATGACAGGGAACTGTGGAAACAGGGCGTCTGGGGTAGGACCGTTTGCTCTGGATGAAGAGCTCGGGAGACCAACAAGACGGGGGCAAAGAATGGTAAGCTTGCCTTCTACAATATTTAGCTCACATTCTGACACCATTGTTAAACCCGCAGATGGACATCACAGTGATTAACACCAACACTCAACAAATCCCGGTAGAGACCGTTCACGTCACCTCAGCCGGTAAGCTTTCCGAGGGCGGCGACTACAGCATCGCAGGGCTAGAGGTACCCCTAAAATCGCCCTTTTGTATCCAAGTTGACGCGAGGTGGGTGCAGAAGGTCGCATTGATGAGGCTGATATTGAAATACTGCCCTTCAACCTGGGGCAACCTCATCCCAGCCTTCAGGTGGCGGGGGCTGTCTGCCTCGGCACTGCGCGAAGCATACCAGGAACAGTGGCATGGTATTTTCGGCGCCAAGAACACACAAAGGATGACCACAATGCCTCTCCAGAACGGCAAGCCATGGTGATTTATCAAACGATCAACACAGTCACGTGGTCGCTCAAACGCCTCAGTAGACTGGTGGACGTCGAGGCGAAGTTGGAGACGCACGAGAACGGGGAGACATCCGTGGAGAGCGTCAGCGTGTTTCGCTCTACACGACGACTATTTGATGGAAAGGCATTTGATCGCCTAGAATCACAAGTCGTGGGTCTGATTAGATGAATTCAAGATAAACTCTTCCAAGAAAATGTATCGACGGCGGTCAGGTGACGATAAAACGATGAAAGCTGTCGGTTCACGTGGAGATCACTCAGCTGGTGGCCTCAGGCTAAGATTCTCCCCCCTGACGGATCGACAACAGCGATCAACCAAACTTAATTGCCGATCATCATGTCCGAATACCCCATCTGTTTCCCTCGTCCCCTCATTCAAACACGGTGGGCACTGCTCATCGTCATCAAATGATCGTTAGCATGGTAAAAGCTTTGCTTATCTCTCCCAAGGGTATTCAATATAATTTTTCGAATTTTTTTTAATTGTTTTTCCCCATTTGAATCCCGTACCACCATTAGGTCCCGAATCCAAGGTTCCGCGTTACACAAGGCGCATCGTCAAAACCAAAGCTAATTCAGTAGCAAGAATATCATTTAAATATACAAGCCGAATCGACACCGATGTATGCTTGAAATAGGATGCAACAAACGCAAAAAATCAGACTCTCCGTACGCCACCCAATGAGGATCCCTGGTCCCAGAAACTCCGAAGCTATATCAAAAACTCAAGATGTATATTTGGCGGGATATATATGATGGTGTATGACCGCATCCAATGTCCGGATAGGTCATCTCGCGGGCTACGTGACTGGAGCAATCCCGTTACTCGTATTGTTTATCGTCGTCGATGGCATCGGCCACTTGATCATCGGGGATCCATTCCTCCGACTCGGGAATCCACGTATGGCTACTTGCGATTAGCACTACGTTACGATAGAGAGGACCGAAGAACTCACTTATGGAAATGCGTGCTGGTCAAGGCAGTCTTCCCATATTCCTCGATCAGGATCGCCTCGTAGTCAAAGGGTACTTTGGCCGCAACCCCTTCGAAGGTGGCCTTCCGGAGGGGGTAGATATCCTCCGTCTGATACTGGTGCTCGTGCTTATCCATCCACAGGTTCGGCTTCTCCGGGTTTGCTTTACTCAACCCGGTGATATCGATATAGAGTCCTGTTTGCATGTCGATCCATCGCGCATCGATGATATTCAATCCCATGCCATTTTCACGTTGACGAGCCCAGGGGTTAATGTCGAGGAGATAGGTCCGTTGTAGGTCGGCATTCTTCGTCGAATACTGGACGACCGTCTGGTTATAGCGGTCGGCCAGCTGACGCAAGGTGGTATCCGGTACTTGGGTATCCATATCCCAGTCCCAGGGCATGACCTAACAGAGAAAAGCAAGCGCACCCAATTAGCGACATATCGAAAACGCACTGGCCGCACGAGCAGTACCTTGCCGTTCCACCACCATCCCAGCAACGTCCCATGTGCGATCCACGTCTCTAATCCATTTTCCTCGAAGAAGTTCAAGTATGCGCGCACCATGTAGGTCATCGTCTGCGGGCGATCCTCGTCCGCCACGGGTTCGGTAAAGTAGCGGGAATCATAGTGACCGAGGATGTCATCGTGGCCCGGTTCATGGAAATACTTGAACTCCTCGGATTTGTTTAAGCCGTACTTGTCCCACAAGGGGTCCGGGTCCTCTTGATTGACGACCTTGCCATAGTGCTGTTCCGCGCTGCCCGTCAACGAACCGGAGGACGCCTCGGTCCGCGCTGACCAGATCGCACCGGTGAGGGCCAATAGACCCCAAAGGTACATTTCGAGGTCTCGTGTAATCAGGGAAGGAGGGTGATCGGTGGGCGGATAACGAGGGGATCGATCACGCCTCGGTGCGCATAGTGGCCGGGGGAGCTAGCAACCACCCGTGATGAGTTGAGTAAAAAAAATTGTATATCGAACAGGCAAAAAGTAAATCGTGGACCGACAGTTTTGCGCACGAGGAATCCGGGGATGGGGCCAATGTTATATTCCTAAAAGAGTAGTCTCCCTGTCAAGCGCTGTCGATCAGAAACCGAAACAGGGAGAAATTATCCCAAGCTAAACCTGGGGAGGAAACTTTAAGAGCACTGAAGAATGTAAAGAAAAGTAAAGTGAAAAAAAGGAGGAGAAAATCAAACAATCCAAATGCTTCAACGAAAAGTCGAGCAAAGAAATTCCCAGGTACAAACCAGCGCACCGGAAGAGCATGGAAACCTTGGGTATCCCTGCGATCCGACTAATCCGTCGAGAAAAAGCAAAAAAAATAAATTCGAGGAAACCAGCTCACTTGCAGCTACAGTTCTTAAAGCGGGGCGAAAGGTATTTGGGTTCGCAAAAAGGGTCTCCACCGTGGTAGGAGAAATTCAGTGGAACGACCCTGCGTTGGGGGTGACCCTGAGATGGTGAAATTCCTGCGCATCATCCGTAAGGGTTTTTTTTTGCCTCCCTTTCCACGGCACGGGGGGAAACCGTTAACAATCGATAGATACATCCATCCATCCAGACATACTTGGAGGGAGCGGTCCGGAGTAGAGCCTGAGGAAGCAACAGAAACGATACCTGATGGGTAACGACCGGGACTTCCCCAAGTGCCGCCACCTCGCGTGCCAATTTGCCCGCTTCGGGGATGCTCCACCACTCAGTACTTCCCTCAATCAATGCGGTAGTATGAGTATCCATCCGTAATAAAGTATTCCCATCCTACTCTATAGGAAAACCATGACCGGCGAACAACCACTCAATGCTCCCCCCTCCCCACCAACTTCCCCTAGAGAATAGTAATTATGACAAATAAACGACATAATCCCCCCTTATCCCATTAATATACAGTCAATCAATCTCAATCATCCATTCGTCATCACGGACTGGTGTTTCATCGTGATCCACGTTGACACCTGACACCTCTCAAAGAACAAAAACACCCCAAAACACTCGTATTCGTAAGAGCCAGAACCAGCCCTACGTAGCACGACTACTAGTACAATCTCACCCCTGTTCAAACTTCCGCTTCCCGTCGAGTCCCGGATTCCGGAACTAGTGGCTGGTTTGAGGCGCCCTACTAGACGCTTTTGCAGCTTTAGTCCAGCATAGAACATCCGACACCAGGACTAAATATATGAACGCTTGGATCCCCTAGGTGTATTGATACATATTCTTATGCACAAAAGCACCCGGATCCATCGTTAATGCCGTATCTCATGCACCGAGTCGGGACCACTACCGGCCTTCCCGTTTTGGGTTAAAAGTAGAACCTGAGGCGCGAGAGATCTCCAACACCCCCCTGAAATGTTCTACTCACTCACATTCAATATCCACCACCGGATTGAATGAGATGGCAAGAACAACTCAAAAGATTGACAATCATACCAAACGGTACAATTTCCACGATCGTCAAATATCCCCATCATGACAACCCCCCACCCCTTTTTTTGGGCCCTTTCAGCCTGCCAAGCAGACCGGGTACCCACTTAAAGCCGTTGGCCCTCGCCTCCGACTGCGAGCCCATTTCGAATCCAGTGTCCTTGGCGAAGCGAACAACTAGATGCCGGCGACCTGTCACGACTCGAATGAGTGCTGCCTAATGCCATTGGTCTTGGCGAGGAAATCCGATTTTCACACCGTTCTTTGTGATCGTGAGTGAACCGTGGAGCGTTTGGAAAGCCCGAATCTCCAAAACAGTTGGAAGACTTGATGAGTAACCCCCCGGAAGGGGTCGGTCGTAGTCGGTCACCTGATCATTTCCTTTCCCCCCGAAGCATCAATCAATATCGACAAATCCGAGGTGTCGGGACTCCAGTAGACATTTAAACCACATGAATAAAACGAAACTACTTGATTGTATGCTGTTTACGGAACGGGTAGGTTTCCTATTTTTCCTGCGATAGAGCTTTAGATGAGACCGTCTGTCAAAGACAATGAGTTTCTACTAGCCACGGTCGGTCTTCAAATTATATATATGTGAGCCACGTCGGATGATTCCGCGGGAGACATCCCTACAGATAATACCTAAACAATCAATCGGGGTTCACGGGTATGGACCTTCCGCAGTGCCTACGAGGGAAATGATCCCCGGTTTCTACGGGGCACCGCCGCCCTTCACCCGGCAAGTCTTGGAATCATACATGACGGCGACACACCGGCGCTAGCCTGAGCCTGAAAGGGATGATTAGGCAGTATTATCCTGGGATCTTTTGTGTATTGGCATTCATTTACTTTTGCGCAGCCAAAGTCTATCCACACATGTCATATCTATGTTCGGTTCCGTCTCGCGTGCCTTGATGCGCCCTTCTATATGGCCGGTCGTCAGCGGATGGAAGGGGGTGCCCCAACAACGGTGATCAATCAGCAGTGGTGCACCCCCTCACCAGCATCCTCGCAGAGCAACCAGGGGAAACAGAAACGCCATTAGCGACACACGAAAACCAAAAGAAATCTCGTTCTACATGAATTTTGCCAGGTCATGTCGACAATCGAAAAGAAGGAAGAAAGAAAAACGGGTGGGGCATCGTAATGATAAAAAACAAAAGCAACCGAGCGCACAACATCATTGAATTTGGTTCATAGGTATTGGCATCAGTCTGCATATGAGAGAGCTGTGTTCAATGATGATATAGAAAGAATATTAAGTTTGAGGGAATAGCCGATGCAACGGGAGCGAAGCATTTACTGCTTATCAGCGGCGGGAGCTTCATCCTGAGCAGGAGCATCCGGCATCGTCTCATTCCGCTCTTCAAAGTTCATAGCAGCGGCCGCGGCCTTCTTGGCCTGCTCTTCCGCCGCACGCTTGGCTTCTTCCTCCGCGCGCTTCTTGGCGAGCTCTTCAGCCAGAGCTTGCTGGCGCTCGTCCTCAAGAGTCTCCTCGAATGGCTGCACAAGCTTCTTGATCTCCTGGAGCTTGGCAGCATAAACATCGAGTGTGGTGTCAGCACCGCCCTCATCATCGTACAGCCAGTTCTACACAATCGAAGTTAGCACGGGCACGGACTCTAAACAGACATGGCGATCTAGCCAAAAGGGAGTATGAACATACCTCGAGCTCATCCAGCTTGTCATCGAAGGCCTGCTTCTTCGCCTCATCTTCGAGGAATCTTGCATAGCGGCCATATTTCCGGTCACGCATATCATAAATCGTGGTTTCAAGCTCGTTCTTCTTCTCGTCGGTCTCGGCGATGGTCTTATCATGCAGATACATGGCCTTCTCGCCCTCGATCCAGGCTTCCTTGACGGATGGCTCAATGGCAGGGGTGCCGGCGGAGATGGGCAGGTCACCCTTGCGAACCTGCTTCTTGACCTTGCGGGTCTTCTTGGGCTGCTCGTCACCCTTGGCATCGGTGTCCATGGCCTAAATCACATGTTAGTAAAAGACAAGTGCATGCATTTTACGATGGGAATCTAGCTTACATCACCATCCTCCTCGACGGGCTCCTCCACTTCCATGTCCTCGACGTAGTAGCCAGACTCGACGTTGAGGATACCGTGCAAGTTCAGGCGGGCCTTGAGCTTGCAAATCATGAAGTCATCGTTGGCATCGGCCTTGACGCCCTTGACGGAGAAGCGGCCAACCCAGGGGTTGGTCTTTCCAGGAAGCATCTCGGGGTTGGCGTAACGAGCTTCGAGATCGAAAGGCTGCTTGCGGTAGAAAGTGAGAATCTTGGTCGATGGCATGACATTGCCGCGGCCGAAGACAGTCAGGCTGGTATCCTCATCGGGGATATCTGCGGACTGCTCCCAGGTGAACTCGATGGGGTAGTTGACGATGTCGTGCACGGAGAAGTCACGGACACGGAAGACGGGGGAGAGGATAGCACAGCTGAAGGCACTACCACGAGCGATGGCCTCATCTTGGTTCAGGGTGAAAGAAAGGTTCTTGCCGAAGAACTTGGCAATGGCCTCCTTGATGGCAGGGACACGAGTGCAGCCACCAACCATCTCAATGCTGTCAATATCCTCAGCCTTGAGCTTGGCCTCGGCAAGGACCTGCTCGATGGGAACGAGGACGCGCTCGAGGAGAGGCTGAACCATGGTCTCCAGCTCCTCACGCTTGACAATGGCGCGGACATCGACGTCCTCCATGAGGGACTCAATGCTCATGGGGGCAGCAGGGTTTGCGGAAAGGACCTTCTTCATCTTCTCAGCGGCGGCGAGGGTACGGGCCCAAGCCTTGGCGTTCGTACGGACATCGATTTTGAACTTCTCCTTGAACTCGTTGGCGAAATGCTCAGTGAGGGCAAGATCGAAGTTACGGCCACCGAAGTGGCGGTCGCAGGCGGTGGCCTTGACGTTCAGCTCACCCTTGCGGAACTCAACAATCGAAGCGGTGTAGTCGCTGTGTCCGATATCAACGAACATGACGCGGCGAGGCTTCTCCTCGGGACCGGGCAGATCGAGCTTCGTGATACCATATCCGAGAGCGGTGGCGGTGGTGTCGTTGATCAGTCTCAGCACCTTGAGACCGGCAATCTCACCGGCGTCAAGCATAGCCCGGCGCTGAATATCGGTGAACCAGGCGGGAACGCTGATGGTGACATCGGAAACGGGGATTTGCAGTTCGTTGGCGGTGATATCTCTGATCTTGGTCAGGTACATGGCGACCAGCTGAGTGGCCGAGAACTTCTGCTTCTGCTGGCGGAAGTTGACCTCGACACCGGCCTGGCCATTCACATCGCAGAGGGTGGCAGTGTTGAAGCTCTGCTCGATCTGAATATCGGGGTCGCTGAATGAGCGGCCAATCAGGCGCTTGAGGTTTGCAACAGTGTTCTTCAAGTTGGAGGTCTCTCGTGTCTTAGCAGCCTCACCGAGATATCTACATTTGTTGTCGAATGAGACCAGAGAGCTGAACATCACACACAGTCAGTATAGGATCGCTAAATGAAGAGAACCATGCCGTCAAGCTCGTTGTTGGCTGGGGTGGGGTGGGATAGTAACAGAAGAGTGGACATACGGAGTAGATCTGTTGGAAACTTCGTTGGTAATCTAAATCGAGTCGCACCGACAGTTAGTCTTTGAATTTCAATGGTCAGAGAAAACGGGGGGTTGATAGAAAAAAATAAACATAAAAAAGGAAGTGCTGAAGGCGGGGAAGGCATGATACGCACAATGTCGATACCCTTATTACGGGCGACACCAATCTTGGTGCTCTGGGCACCGAAGTCGATTCCGACAACACTCATGGTGAAAAGGGATATAGGTGTGATAGGAGGAGGTAGGGTGGGAGGGAAGAAAAAGTGATGGAGGAGAAGGAGGAGGTGTAATGGATAGGAAGTGGTATCACAAAAGTTAGGATGAAAAGATTTGGGGAGCGAAGAAAGAGGGCTGGAGGGGGAGAATTTGCACGTTGAAAAGCGCCACTATCGGGCGGTGATGCAAACTGTGGCTCAGGTAAGAAAATCGAAAAAGTGAAAAAAAAATTTAAAAAATTTAAAAATTAAAAAAAAAAAAAATTCTAGACGTGGGCTTCTCTCGCTGGTCACTTGAGATCCACTATCAACCTTTCTACTGTGTAGTTTTATACGATCAGATCAAAACCGGATTTAAAGGAAAAAAGACGAGGGGAAGGAAGAGGTGATATGAATCTATATATAGGATAAACCCGTTCCTTTCAAGAATTCCAATCCGAGTCATCTGGCGACACCTCATGCTTTCTCCCAGCCGTAAAGTACAGCACAACTCCGTTTGGGCTCCGATGGCGCTGACCTTTGGAACCTTCGAGCGCTTACCACTCGATTCTTCCTCCGCTCACCGCCTGTGGTGGGCCAGGGCAATATCCTTGACCGCCTTCCGCGGGGTTTGCTTCTTCTGCTTCTTCCGCTTGCTTCTTGCCTCAAGCTCTTATCGATAATCCACCCCTCAGAGATTTCACGGCCCCGGGGTACGCCCATTGGGTGCCTGAGAGTCTTGGCCACCCCCGGGTTGGACTGACCTTCACGTAACAGTTACCTAATGTCACCCCAATGATTGGAGAATTAGGAATCAATTTCTCCAAAAAGGTACCGTTTGCTACTCATGTGCAGCGGCTACACATGTGCCCGATGATTAATGACCTGGCTTAATCTCTCAATAGTCACCGACTATCGGCAGAGGAGGACAAAGGGGAACCGATGAGATAATGATATCCATTGTAGGCCGGCATAATTAGAGTATGGTGAAGGGGAAAGGACCTCAAGAAAACAAGGTAAGAATATAGTATCAAAAGAAGAATGACTGTATTTATCCAACCCCCTCCAAGTCTCTCTCTCTCCCTCTCTAATTAATATACGGCGTAAACTTGTCCCACCTCCCAACCTCCCAACAGTATCCAACGTGCGAAAATGTCGTGCTATGATGGTTCTCATGGAAAATGGACCCCCGCCCAGTGACCCTCTCCTTATGATGTCACACCATGTACTCAGGGCTCCTTGACTGTGATGCTTGTCTCGGGGTCTTTTGTAGGCGCCGACCCCGAGACGGTCGAAGACTGCGATGATTCCCTGTCATTACACCTAGCTCAACTGACTGTTGAGCATATGCAGACTGCAGCGCTCCTTGTGGCTGCCTGAGCGGCATACAGTGAACGGTGTCATCTCTCAGGGCGGGGGCAAAGGCAGGGGCACCTCGAGATTGCTCCGATGCAACATGTGTCTCAGGACTTTCAGACTGTAGCCTCGCTGGGCCTTGCGTATGGATATCGCCATCGTCGGGGTCCGTGGCGAATTGTTGAAGAATGCTTGTGAGTTCTTGCGCTTGGAGAGCCATTGAACGCTTCGCTCGATCTTCTTCGTTCATCAAGCTCTCCACGTCCAAGGGTAACGATATGGAGTTGCTACTAGAGTCCGTGGCCACAGAGTCGGAAGAGCAATTCGGATGCAAGCCGATTCGGGGGACATCCAGGGGTGAGGTCGTTAGACTAGCGAGTGGTACCACCGCCTCATCATGATTGGCAAGGTAGCTGCCGCGAGGCCCTGGCAAACCAGAAAGACGGCGATCGATCTGTTCTGAAGCGCGATTGGAGCATCCTTTCTTGTCGGCCTTGGCTCGAAAGGTATCAACCATGACATTGAGCTCATCACCCTGCGCTCGAGCCTGCTCAACAGCTTCCTCGGGCGATGTATGCTCATCGGCTTTCGCAGCGTCAGCTCGTGGCCCTCCCCAGGTCCGCTGTCCCGCGGTGAAAATCCCATACACCATATATAACCAATTAAAGAATGGGTTGAGAACGAACATCAGCGGATACAGCCAGGCCTTGTATCGCTTCAATCGGATCCCGAAATAGAACATGAGCACGTAATTCAGCCCCAGCGATATCGCGATGAAGCCAACGGGGAGATCTGCGACCCGACTGGATGTTGTCATGAGGGCAATCATCTGAACGAAGAAGAGGAGAGCAGTTGTGCGGATAGTATTTTGCATGAGGCGAACCAAGCACAGGAAGGGATATCGTCTCCACAGCCGGACGTCTGTCAACATGCATGCCTCGTTTGTAATGTAGCCAAGGAACCATCGGCGCCGTTGCTTCAAGAGAGTGCGGAAGGTCTGGGCCGCCTCCGTTTTACAGAACGCGCTGGTACACATTTGGATCTGATAGCGCTCCTTCGCCCCGATCATAAAGAGATGCGTGAGCCACCGGTCTTCTCCCAAGTGGCATTTGGCATAGTCAAATAGATCTTCGCATTGTTCCGCTTTGTCTGCAAAGTAGTGCTTCGCCATCTTTCGAAAAGCAGAAAATCGCAGGATCGTCAATGCGCCGGGCAGACAGGTCACAGCGCCGCACCCCGATTCCACAGAACGCTCGAAAAGCTGGCCATGAATGTATTCCAAGTCTTGTAACACCGTGATGAGACTATTCTTTTCTGTAGTTGACGTGATGATCCCAGTCATGGCTAACATGTTATGTTTACTCCCCGGTTTCAGCTCCATATCATACATAAAATTTTGCAGACACAGTCGGTCCAGGATGCAATCGGAATCGATGAATAACATAAAAAGATCATCGTGTTTCCTGTTGTACTCTTCATATACTTGACTAATCAACTTGAACGTTGACTTCTGGCAATGTCGCTTGCCGCCATGCTTGAATCGAGACACGGTGATTCTAGCGCCCCTATACGTCACATCTATACTCTGCGGATAAGTATCCAGGCAAATCGGTATTCCAAGATGGTGGATCACTTGAAGGTAGGGCTCGTCAAGATTGACCCCATCGTATGATAAGAATACATGAATACAATTCGATGGGTAGTCACTGCCTACAACCGAATTGATCGCTTTTATCAAGACTGTAGGGTTCTCCTTATATACTGGCATAACAATCACAGTCTTCGGTGCCGTCCGGTCGTCCAAGACTTCCTTTATTCTCTGCGTTCTTCCAATGGAGTTCGTGACCAGTCTATGAACGCAGAACAACCAGGGAATGATAAGCAAGGCTGAAAACGTCCAAAATGCGAACCACTGGAGGAAGGTGACGAGCTCCGGAGGGTAGTTCCGAGTGAGTTGAGTCGGTAGAGGGAGGGTGACAACCATAATGGGGAGGAAAATTCCTCTGTACCGATCAGTATGCTCAGGTCCCTAATAATTTCTCGCAGTGTTCTTCATGGACCAACTTACCTTAACAAGGTGAAGATTATCATCATTGCCACAGCAAGGATTTTGATACTCCAATGCTCGGCTTTCTGGAACACCTTTACGAGGCAATATAAGAATGCAGCGAGAAAGAGAAACCATTCCACAAAGGCGGCCAGCATTAACGGGCCAATAATCGATACGCAAACTATCTGTATACCTGTTAAATGTGGTGTTCGCGTTTGTATTCGAAAGTAGCCCGACTCACATCTTTCACTGTCCATGGCCTGGGCACGCCCTGATTGCCACTACCCGCCATAGCACAACGGCGTCCTATATAGACGCGGTATCACTGGCTCAATGTCGCTAGACGGCGGGATGTCAAAATTTTCAGGTCCTGCTCACGGAATGTTGTACCAGACGAGAATTGAAGCAATCGCATGTGTGTAGAATCTCAGCGGGGGTCCCTTATTCTGCAGATCGTCGCCAATCGAACAGCGACATGGCCGTTATACGTAGCTTCTTGTTGTCAAGTTGTGGATTGCAGTGGTACAGTTGGTCGCTTTCAAGTTGTCAGTCTCTGTTTGTGACCAATCTCGTTTGCAGTCGAGTACAACAGACCTGCTGTTAAACCGATGGCATTCTTCGTTGCATATGTGAGACCTCAGGCGAAAATTTGAGCTGGTTAGCAATACACTCTTTTGGAATGATACCTTTGCCCACCGAAACAATACGGACTCTATGCACGTCGAGAACATGGGGCGAGTGTAAAGAATGAATGGAAAATCATGATCGTAGTCCAGAAGAGGAAGGCACAGGTCTTTGTGGAGTGAATGTGTAATACCACTGTGCGCCTGAGGCAATAACCCTCCTGCGATACCCCATGACAACTACAGTCACGCCCCCTAGAACTTGTACGGGAGAACTCCATTGGCTTGTATTTGATCAAAGTCAGGACAGCTATGTCCCAAGTCACCGGCAGATACGTTGCATTGGAGTCATATCCAACAGATGATGGCATACACACTGTACAACACTAAGACGAGCGCTAGAAGACTTTGACTTAACGAAATATCAAGCAGAAGATTTTTACGCTAAGTTGGCTTCTCCAAATTCCAGGGGTGTCGAAACTTTCAGCGGTCACAGAGGTCATTGGTGACAAAAGTCGGATTAAATCTGGGCTGTAGGTTCAAATATACCTCCGCTCAGGTGGTCTCAAGTTCATTACTAGCGAGCGCCCTGGTGTCAATACGGACAGGATAACATTCCAGGAATGAGATAATAAATACATCCAAATATCTAAAACAGACCGCAATCCCATCATGACAGATCAATGTTAACGTTCACAAAAGGCACAAGCCTCACCACCCCAATCAAGCCATTATCCGCCGGATCTGGGCCTGACCCCTCAAGTTCGGGTAACGAGCCAGCCGAGTAAAGCTCATCCAACATAGTCCGAATATAATTCCACATAGTTGACGGTACCTCTACAGTCAATTTATTCTCCCCGGTAATGAGATAGGGACTGAGATCGAGTTTCGGCGCTTGGAAGTCGAAGGCTGGGAGCCTGTGGCCATTAACATAGACACGGGCTGCGTTTGGGGTGTGCGGGAGGAACAGGTAGGCGCCGTCTGCCGTGTTGGTTGTCGGGGGCCACCGTATGGTGGTGGTGTAGTAGCCAACTCCGGACGCATTGGCGATGGTGGGGATTTCTTGCCAGGATATGAGGGAGGTGAGCTCGTGGGTTGTGTTGTGCTTGGCTGCGATTATTGATGCGTCGGATAGATTGTCTGGGCGTTCCCAGTGTTCGACTGTGAGGGTCCAGTTGGTGAGCTGGTATGCTGGGGCGGGATCCCTGGTTGTTAGGTGGGATATGGTTTTCCCGTTGGATAAGCCCAGGGTCTGGGTGGTTGAGCCGGATGAGACGGATGAAACGTGCAGTTGGACATTGTTTGTTCGGTTGCCGTAATTGTAGCCAATGACTGAGGATGGTACCTGAGTAGCATGGAGTAAAGTATTGCTAGGTTTGCCGGTAAAGCCAATGATAGCCGTTTGATTCGCGACCAGGCGAAGAGGCACCACGGTTCGGCCAGACCTGTGTTGGTACTCAAGAACGGGGGTTCGGCTCCCAGTCCAAGGATCGAAGAAATATGGTTGCTTTGTCGTGGCAACACTTAGGTTACCAGCAGTATCCATTGTATCGCCCAAGACATAAAGGTAGTCGACCCCATCAGCGTCTGAGTGCCATGTAGAATACCATGTGCCATTAGTCTGCACCTGCACCCGCGGCGCAATGCCTAGCGATTGAAGCTTTCCGGATGCTTGACCAGGAGATACAATGTAGATGTTTTGCACTTCTTTCAAGGAAGATATCTCCTTCACGAGACTGTCTGTGTTTCCGTCCCCTGTGTAGAACGCATTTGGTAGCCCACCGGATAGGATTACAGGCAAGCCATTAAGAGCGAATTTCTTAATATCTCTCACTGCATCGATTGTGAGGTTGCTCGAGCTGGGAATGATCATTGCACGGAATCCCGGACCATCAGGAGCAAGCGTGCCATTCCTAACACGAGCCTGCGGTAAAGCAAAGTTATCTGGCGAGAGATAGACGTATGTGAATCCTACACAATATTAGCATGCGAAGCTCATTCAACCTCTAGCATTAATATAGCTAACCTACCTTCCTCAATTAGATCGGTTTCGTTGTAAATGGTGCCGAACTGCGCATCGGTGGCTGAGGCCTTGTTATAGATGACTACATCCAATTTAGGTTGTCCCTTCTGCTGAGTATATTGCAACCGAGCCACATAGTTCAGAGCCTCCGAAAAGCCATGGTTCCAGGATGGCTGTTTTTCAGAATACAATTCGGAGAACAGATAGTGGAATGGTACATTACCCGGCCACGTTGTATCCACATAGTTTCCGGAGAATGTCTGTCCGTGAAGGACGAACTGGTTGACGCCTCCGGCAACAGCCCGAGCGATCTCCCACAGAAGCGCTGTAACTGGATGCTGGAATGCCTTATTGATGACTGCACCCACTTCATTGGAGATCACACGTTTGCCGGCGAGAGCAGCGGGTCCAACGAATTGACGATACCCGTCGATGTTGTCACCGAACGCCAGGCTTTCACATTCCGGTGCATTCACGTCCGGGACATTTGCCAGGACATCGAGATTCAGGTTGTAGCCCACTTGGGAAGAGTATTGTAGATTCATGTCATTCACCCATTGTGTCAACCCCTGCAAGTATGCCCGGTACCCCTCTCCTAGCGCAGCCCGATAGTCGTTGATGTACCCGTTACCCTGATCGGGGGTATCCAACAGACACTGGATAGTACCAGGAGCAGTCGACTGTACACCTATGTTGTTGTTGTTGTAAATTATAAGTGGAAGATATTTTTTGATGCTGTAGCCATGCTTCTTCTGGAAGATGCTAGGAAGATCCGGCGTCCAGGAGACATTGGACGTGATCTCCATGCTATCCTCCCAGCCTGCGCCCTGTTAGCCTCTCCATTTTTTTCTTGATTACTGGGTATGACCAACTTACCATAATTACCGACTTCGATGAGCATCTGTTTGATCTCGTCTTCAAGGATATACTGATCCCAGAATCGAGTAACAGTTGCCGCACCCTTCGGACTGAAATGGTCGACGGCATAAGATCCACCGTTAAAGATTGTCCCCGACACGTTAGAAGTACTTGGTACATTTTGATGCAACGTCTGACGTTGGTAGAACGCAAATAGCCTATAACCTTGGCCGCCTGTCTTAGGAAAGCTCAAACTAAGCCCTCCTGTGGATGTAACATTCTGTGACCAATCCTGTAGTGTTGAGTTCTTTAACACATACTGTGCAGCACTTGGTTGAACTTCACTGCCAGGAATCAAGCTAGTTGTAGGATTCGAGATATTTCGACTCGATAACACTTGAGCTGAAACGAGTGCTACCAGCTCCCCGGTACCCCAACCAGGGAGTTGTCCTTGAAATGAGCCGTTCAGAGGGACACCAACCGAAGCTGTAGACTATATGCATGTCAGGACGCGTAATTGCCATTCCTTGGAACCAAAATACCTACCAAGTCCCATTGGAGTCCTTCATCATCGGGACTCGCCGGTACGCCTTGTCCCTGGTTCGGTCCCAAAGGAAAGTCCATCACCAAACCCGCATCTCTATGAGCCTGGAGGGCAGCTTTGAAGACATTGACAAACGCGGGCGTGCCAAATCCATAAGTTACCCAATCTGCCCCAGGAACAGTATTACCGTAGTCAAAATAAGGAAGAAACTCCACGCCCCCAGCGCCATTGACACCGGCATCCTTGATGTTCTTTTGAACAATAGTCGAATCTACACTGGCATCTGGGAGCCAGTAACGAAAACGGGGGCGAACTCTAGCCGCGGGATTCTCGAATGTGCCATAGTCGATTTTCGCTCCTACTTGATCATCGACTGCTAGCCCGTACTGTGGGAGCAGCAGGGCTACCAAACAAAGAATGCGTGTTTGCATTTTTGAGGCCCTGCGCTGCACCCTAGATAGGAGAGAAGAATTCCCTATATGAATATCTTTCCATCGTAGCCCAAGGTTTTGGGTTATGAATGGGCCGGCAAAAACAGCCCCGAGATGGTGATCGTCATGCTCGGAAAACCCGAGCGTTGATCTACAATTCTTCTGCCTGAAGGCAGCGCAATACAGCGTCATTCTGTCCCTAGCTTTTCTCCACATTCCGAGCATGAAGTGGGGTAAACCGATACCATTTTTGTCCGGAGAGTGAATTGTGGGGAAACCCGGGGTTTCTGCAGCTTGCTAATGCTGAACCGGACTATCTAGCACCGAGGTTGTGAATTCTATTCCAGATACTCATCATATTGTTCGTGTTCGACAGGAGTTGCAACTTGCATCTAGAATATTAGAAAGTCACTAATATCTGTGGTGTTCTTGCTCTGCAAAGACCTCACAACACATGAACCTGGGGAACTTTAACAAAAAGTACACTGGCGCAGCTCCGTACGTCTGTCCACTCAGTCTTTCAGATGAAGACGATGTTGGCAAAATCATTCTGGCTTCTGCCCATATACCACATAACTAGGGTCAAAGTTAGACGAAGGTTCACAAGTCGACAAGTCATTGCACTTACAAATTATGCTGCGCCTGTAGTCGAGGATTTTTGAGATCCTTCCTCACATCAGCCAGAAATTCCCGTAGCTCTTCTGGTTTCCAGCCCTTCATAGCTGTGAATATTCGTAGCGACATGCCATCCAGTCCGTCATTGAATTGATGGTAATTAAGCGCTCCTACGGTTTTCTATTGCAAAGAAACTATCAGCCAAAGGTTCCAAAAGCCCTCGCCATCGAAGGAGACATCGTAACACATACCAGTCTTTTGTCCCTTGGCCAGACACCAACCGGCACGGGCACGACCTTCTGTTGTACATTGGTAAATCCGGCATCCTTGAACCACTGTTGTAATTTGGGGCCGGGAGAAGGTTCCAGTCCAACAGACCTCAGGCCTTCAATGCTTTCAGTACACCACTTATCTAATGGACAGCCGGTCTTGAACTCCCCGTTAGTCGTGTAGAATTGCATTTCGAAGTCTTGAAACTCCACCCAGCCTCCTGGCTTAGTAAACCTATTGCCGTGTCAGTATCCGTATAGACATGCAGACATATAGCCCAAGGAAACGCCCATCTCATACTTGAATGCTTGGCGTAGTAGATTTGGCCAGTCTTTAATCGCTCCAGCAAAATAGCGAGCATGTATATAGTCGAACTCTGAGCGGTAAACCCAGTTGTTCTCTACATCATCCACTTCGAATCTCACATTAGGGGGCACCCTGTAAGCTATTCAGTTAGTTTAGATGTTTCTCCGCTATGGATGGCATGGTCTCACATACATAGTAGGCTGTATAGGGCTAAGATCGTTGCCCAAAACCTGAATACAATAAGCTCAGAGGTGCTCAATTCAAATCTAGGCCCACCAAAGGCGATCTCACCTCTGCTGAAGGATACAGATCCCCTAAATAAGTTTAGGGTTAGCACAAAACCATGGAAGGAGTACTCAGAGAAGCAACCGTACCCATGTCTATAGCCCAAACCCCGGTGCCGGTTCCTAAATCCAGAATCCGTTCGATATCGGGACTGATCGGTGCAAGGTGGAGTTTGTTGTTGCAACTGAGAGTTAGGATATGATGGAAAAGATCGAGCCGGCCTTTCTCTTCCTGTTTGGTCTACGTAAGCAGTTTCCCCGCCCTGCTTCTACGCTGCGTAGAGCACAACGTACATCATCATTTGGGAGATAGTAATCTACCGATATCACCGCAGCCTATGATTAGATGGTACTAAGGCAAAACGCAGTAAGCATGACTTCTTCAGCAACTCACTCTCATCTCTGTACGCGTGATAACGGCGTCCGTGCTCAAACTTGTACGCAAAGACACTCGAACTTAGGCTTGTCGTGTAGCTCGAACTATTCCGCCCGATGTGTTAACGTCCACTTGCCTAACTATTTGTTTTGGACTCACCATTCAGCTTCATAAGATAGGTCTTCCGCATTAAACGACACCTATGGGTACGGTTAAAGAGCTGCATATCGTACATAAAATATCGAGTAGATGCTCACATCGTCTGCCTCAACATATTCATAAAGCCGCAATTGCGGGGAAGTAGAAGTAACTTCTGTGGACTCTGGGTTGTCGTGGGTAGCCATTATCACAAAATGTGACCCAGCTACACAGCAAGAATCTAGAAGAGACTAACAGAGGACAGCGTTATTCACTACCACTACTCATGGGAGGAGGGTATGCTCTTTTATCTCTTGACACAATGTGTCTGTGGAGACCGGACGTGCCGTCACCGAAACGTACGTTGATCATGCACAAGGCCCAAAATGTGCAGCATCCCAGTCCTCCTAACAGGCTAGGCTATAAGGACGTCAATGGCAGGCAATACTAGACCTTTTGCAACCAACTTACTAAGGATATTATTGTGACATCCTGGTAGAGTGCATGGTAGCTTCCAGAACTATAATTAGGGCTTGATTTTCGAGTAAAGCTCAATTTAGTTGTTCACAATCGATAAGTAATTTTGGACAAATCCCTGTAGAAATAGAGACCCCTGTCCGAATTGGAGTATAATGTGAGTGGTAAGGGTAGGGACTTGCATCCTAATCTGCATATTCCGCCTAGTCACGTAACATCGTCGCTGAATATTTTCAAAGAGCCAAGGAGTCGGGGCACCAGGAATTTCTGAGAGGGTGAAGGGCGGAATCACATATGAATGATGCTCATCACGACGAGTCGGAGTTTTGATTGGCATTGGTGGAATCTTGAAGTACTGCAGGAGTACCAGAGTATGTAACAGTAGCGGGCGTGAAAACAGCTTAGTTCAAGTCATGTGAGAGATACATTTTCAATTCAGTCACGGGTTCTATGCAGTGAATGTTGATAACAATGAACCAAGCCCTCGTACCACAGAGAGCTACATGAATAGCATATATGCTAAACTCTCCAAAAGTAACAAAATCCAATGACCTCACATCCCACTCAAAGCAAACCACCTCCGCCTCGATTGGATGTATTTGCTAGCGATTCAGCAAGACCGTCAAGCTCCTCGCAAAGCACCTCGCGATTGTCACACTTTTGAGCTGTATCGTAGTCGATCAAAACAGCCCTCGAGTCGGTCATCAAGAAATTAAAGCGATTGGTGTCACCATGCCGAATCCCCAGTGAATGCAACCGCGACAATGTATCCCAGCAAGCCTCGAGATCATCTAAAACTGCATGTCGTGCATTGGAAATTCGTTCCATCAGGAACCCGATTACGCGACCATCTTCGACCAGATGACCCAGAAATCGTGGGCCAATGTCGTGGTCTTTTATCCACTCGTATGCTGTTGTCTCGTTTTCCATGTACCGAATCTCCCAGTGGAAGCGAGCAAATTTAGCGACGACAACGGTGTCAAATCCCGGACATTGAGCCTCGTAGATGCCAGTCCGAAGCCTCTTTCCCACTTTTATATCTGACCAGTCAACCGAGTACTCATGCCATTGATTTCTGACACTCGGAAACGTGTTCCGGACGGCGCGTGCGAAATATGGCTTCCCGGTGCTCTTGTCTTTAGCAATTAGCCCATCATTCCAATCTCCAGGTGGAAATTCTGGCAGTAGAGACCTTAGAGATGGGCCGAAAGCCATTTCCGGGGTTGAGAAAATGTTCCCCTCGATGGTAAGATACTTGATACTTCCATGGACTGAGAATCGGAAGAAACTAAGGTCAGTTTCATCGATTTCTGCCTGGAGAAGCTGTGCGTTTCCGATGGAGAGGGTCATCGCGCTCGTTATATAAAACTTGACAATTGAAAACAGCACAGACAAAGACATTTGCCAGCTACCCTACAGCATACTTAAGATGACAATCTACCTTCTATAACCAGTCCAGGGGCTCCCTTTGTCCCTCGCGTACAACGTCTATGTTACACCAGAGCCAGGGCGCCAGACTTGGTACCCGATAGTTGCGGTGTGTAAATTGCACCGCATGCTAACAGAAGAAGAATATAAGAGGGTAGTGATGTAGAATCCTTGAAAGGCAGCAGTCGCAGTTCCTAACACAAAAACATCGCTCACAATAACTATACACTCCACATGAGCAATACTAGATCAAGTACATACTACTATTTACTCGTGTTTACTCTGGAAGAGATGATTAATTGGAAAGTCAAACGGGCGGGGCACAGAGCGGTCACAGAACAGGAGGCAGAAAAAACGCGCCTTTGTTTGCACCATGCCCAATCAGGACAACCAGGCACGAGTCCCACAATAATTCATGCGCCACATGATGGTTGGGTATTCTCGAATGGATAACGTGCGCTGAAAGTGCGAATAACTCCAAAACAGTATAACTGAGGGGGTCTGCAATCAATTCTTTCGCCCCATACTTTCCTTCTGGTCATTACACCCGTAAACTATTCCAACTTTGTACACCACAACGAAAATGTCCATGACACCAGGTTCGAAATCCAGGTCGTCCACCCCGACAGTATTCGAACAGCAGCGGGAGGAACTGGTGAGAGAGATCGCCGTGGTAGGTTATGCAATCTCGGGCAGATCATGGTGACTGTAGCATCGAGATAACTTACTGAATTGAGCGATTTGCGCAGGGAATGGAACAAGTCCTGCAAAACATCAACCGATTGAACCGAAACCTAGAAAGTGTCGTTGCAGTAAGTTCTACCTTCCAGCTTCCTTGTACATGTAACTGGCTAAGTCCAACTGCATAGGTGGGCAACGAGTTTAGCTCCGTTGAAGCTCTCTGGTCTCAATTCGAGAACTTCATGGGACGGCCGGAGGAAGAGAAGGCCGAGAGTGGTGTAAAGGAGAAAGAGGAGCCTCATGAAGACCAGAGCGAGCTGCATGAGCAGGAACTCGCCAATGAGAGGAGCGAGTTAGACGGTTAAGATATGAGACATGATCCAGAATGTTTTCGGTGCATGGCTTGGTGTATTGGAGTTCAAATTTGGGCGTGTGTACAGTTTATTCTCTATCTCTAGATGATATAGTATCAATTTACAGGACAAAAACATCTCTCGGGGTTCACAGTGTTTTTATATTCAGTGACATGGGAGACTCAGCGCCAATAAACACCCACCCCATGCATATGACATAGTGGTCCTCGGACCGGATTCGTGACAGACATCATGAGGAAAACATGCCAATTTAAGAAATCAAGGTCACAGACAAGTAATAGTAGACATAAAGGAAGGGTAATAGTGTTTCATGGAGACAATCATCAAGGAAAAACAGGTATAGCAACATGAAGATGTAAAATCAAAAGGCCGCCGTTAACGAAATATTTAGAAAAGCACATAATGGGTTGGACCGTGTAGGCCATCCTCTCCAGGTCGTATCGACTTCATATCACGTACAAGGAGAAGCAAACTGCCGAAGCAACCAGGCTTCTTTCGGCGGGAAACAGTAACATGCCAAACAAAAACAAGGGGGGGGGGGGGGCATGGGACACGTGGAGACAAGAAAAACGATCTACAAGATCTTGCATGTACGCTTCTTGACCTTCTTAGGACCACCGCCACCTCCGGTAGGTTTGCCACTGGTACTATGACTTTGACGGTTGTTCCAGCTAAACTGTTCTTCGGCCGACACAACAGTGTCAACAGCCATTTCGAAAACCCCGTCCACACCGCGCATTTCCTTGCTACTACATTCAATGTATGAGGCATTCATCCGCCGAGCCACTGCCTGACCTTGCTCTGGTGTCACTGGCGTCAGTCCTTGGGTTTTAAGGAGTTCAATGCAAGTCCTCTTGTTGCGCAAATCCGACTTTAAACCAACCAGGATAATTGGTGTCGTGGGGCAGAAATGTAGGACTTCGGGGTACCACTATACACAGTCAGTGTCACGTGTCATACAGGAACTCTAAGAGGACATACCTTATCCATCACATTCTCTAGAGATGCGGGGCAATCAATTGCAAAGCAAACAAAGAGTAGATCAGTCTCGGGATAGGATAATGGGCGCAAACGGTCGTACTCCTCCTGGCCTGCAGTATCCCAAAGGGCAAGTTCGACCGTCTTCCCTGACGCCCGATGGACGGTTTGCGTGATGTAGTTCTCAAACACTGTCGGAACGTATTTCTAGTCCAGGTCAGAACGGCGGTCGGAAAAGACTGTTCAAAGCATTCGAGGGAAATAAAGAGCCATACTTCCGGAAAATACCCTTGCGAGTAACTGATTAAGAGACAAGTCTTTCCGCATCCACCATCTCCCACCACAACGAACTTTTTCGAGTATGCCGGTGGTTGAGTGATATTCGTCGCTTCCGACATTCTCCCACTTGAGATGCTGGTATTTGTGCTGGCAGTTCCATTGCTCACTCGGACGCTCTGGCTGCGCCCCCTGCTGTGCCGGGGAGTGGATGAAGGAGGAGGTGTTTTTACCGAATGACGTCGTGAGACTGCATAAGGCTGGTCATCGTACATATGGCTCGACATGATGGCGGAGGGCGGAATGCTGAGGTTGAATTAGGAGAACGTGGTGCTCAGCGGCGCCGAAAATGGAACTGTCCTTCTGATCTATTGCCTATAGATAGATCCACTGCCCGTTTTAAAGGTTTCCCGGAAATTTTCAGTTTCCAACGGTCGCTAGGCTCTGTGATAACGTGAGGATGATGGAGCTGAAGGGTATTGAGAAAGATGACGGCAAGAAAATAACAACAAAAAAAGAAATCGAAGATCGAGAGCAGCAGTCTAGGTACTGAAAAGAAAGAAAGAAAGAGATGTCGAGTTTCACGATAGTCGTGGTAGTTCGATCAAGTAATGGCAGGTGTGGCGTGGCCGCTACTCCAGCTGACATGAAACCCGATGTTTACGGGCCGAAGCGCTGCCATGGCAACCACTTGCTTAGGCCATGACGCAGTCAAATCAATATCATAAAATAAACCCACACCCAATCCATTGAACCTTTTTTTAGCACAACGTCACTCGATCGATTGAATCAAGGAATTCCTAGCATGTGGTCTGGACCGCATAGTACAAACTCCTTGATCTTCTTGGATTTCTTCCAAGGTTGACCCTATCAGTAATCTTGCTCTCACTCTCCCGTGCCCTAAAAGCGGCTCCGATCTCGAAGGCTGATTTTGCTTAGTGTTTCGATTGGCCCGCGATCATCGATTATGCAATCTAGACACTGGCCAATATCTCAGCCTAGATTAATCCCTTGCGGGCCTTGGTCAAATAGTATGCCCCTACCAGACGACTAGTATGTGCTTGAAGGACAGCAAAACGCTGGATCCTTCGACCCTCCCTCACAAAGCGTTCAGCTGTCATCTGTCCGCACCAAGACGAATCATGCACGGCTACCGTCGTAGAAATTTCCAACCAATCCTATTGTCCGCATGCATCCAATTATCCAATGTCCCCACACTCCTGCCACTTGTTGCAATGTAGTATCGTCGTATTAATGTGCGTGGCTTATTCCGGCATCAACCAACTCGAATTCGCCCGACGATCGTCACGTTACTCGTACTTAGTAGCCTGAGAGAGAATACGCTCGAGACCAGAAGACATCGTAGTCTATAATCACGTCGTATTTCGTTACCCAATGTGTGATATCTACAAGCGATTCCTTTTCTCCCACATTTGCTGAAATGATGCCCGGCTATTATGGTTCATGAATACTATACAATTTGCCTCTTGGGATATCTGCTTTATCGGAACCAACTTCCACGTCGATAATGCAGTCCGAGCCTGTGCCAACATAGTTCAGCATATTGAGTCTGGTTGTTTTGATATAGTAGAACTCATATTGACTTTAGTTTTATAATCAGGATACGAACAAATATTACTTACGGCACAGGTTAACCATGGTCTGTCCAAAATCTCCTCGAAAGCAACCGTTGCATGGGTACAACTTCACCGCGAGAATAATGGCTATCAACTTCATTGAACAAGCTGTTACTCTTCAGATTGTTATTTTATTTTTGTCTTTTATTTTTAATTATTTTCTTGTAGTCAAATATGACCGATGTAGTAGCTCAGTGCTGGAAAAAGCACAGATGCCTGTGTGTCTGCATGTGTATGGATAGAATATATATGGTGGAGAGTTGGGCGTGGACGAACATAAGCTTGCTCTTAGTTTATTTTTTTTTTAATTTCCCTCTGCGTTTCAATCTACCGAGGCTCATGAAGACTGATCATAAGTCAACCAATAATGGGAAAGTAAATACCCGTTCAATTGGATTATTCGAATAATCCACTTGAGCATACTGAGTTCTCTAGATCAATGCAGAAAGGGAGCATCCGTAGGAAGTCCGGACCCAGATTTCTTTCGGCGATTCTTCATGTTCCGTCTTCCGTTGTCATAAAAAAGCCTCATTTCGAACGATAGAAAAAAATCACTAAAGTAAGAATTATCCACTCCGTACTCGTATCGGGCCAATTAGGGGTGACTAAGCACGAACCCAGCATCCTACTTTGTATTAGTATGCTATTCAAGTCGCATTGACCGCCCGAGAAACCAAACCGCTGGATAGCGCGGGACAATCTCCCCGACTAATCCAAATTGATCTGCTGCTGTCTTCCTCTTCCCCCTGATCGAAACCGAGTGGACAAGGGACAATTAGTGAAAATTTTGCACATCTCGTGCTTCCGAATGGTTCTCTCACGTAACTGTCATCGGCGTTGAGACATTGAACTGAGCAGATCCTCCGTGGGATCTATGGGGAGACCGCAACGATAGCGTCACCCTGATTTGAACGGCCGTCTGCAACATGAACAAGGGACCAAATGGCACACCAGATGCTGGGCTGAGAAGCCTTAATCATTGTGCGTCGTAATCCCTATTTGACCTGATGGTCTTTCCGTGCGTCAACATACTAACGGTCCGCTGGGAATAGATCGCAACCAGCTCCCATCCTGGCGGTACTGGCCACGACAGAAACTTCTCCCCTTAGTGCGATATGAGACCCCATATCTCGCCTGGTTGCAGGAGAAGGTGCGAACTCCGGCCCTAGATTCCTATTTTGCATTCACGGCCAATCTTGGAACGCATACGTTTTTCATGGTTTTCTTGCCTATACTGTTCTGGTTTGGGTATACAAGCTTAGGGCGTGGGTATGTACATGGGCCCGATATAGTTCAGAGTACACTGAGCTGTGGACCGCGTGATCACATTGGCTAAAAAAACATCAATTGGTTAGGATGGTGAATCTTTTGGCATCTGGAGTCTTCTTTAGCGGTTTTATCAAAGACTTGCTTTGCCTCCCACGCCCGCTATCGCCTCCGCTACAACGTATTACAATGTCTGGTTCCGCTGCGTTGGAGTATGGGTTTCCCTCGACTCATTCGACAAATGCCGTCTCGGTCGCCGTATACGCACTGGCTCTCCTAAACATGCCTGATTCGACCTTGAGTCCTGCCATCAACGTGTTTCTACAAGGTATCACTTACCTCTATGTCACCTCGATTGTATTCGGCCGACTGTACTGTGGTATGCACGGCTTTTTCGATGTGATCATTGGATGCTTGCTGGGCAGCTTGCTTGCAGCCATACAATATGCCTACGGGACCGCCTTCGACGAGTTTGTAGTCTCGGCTTCCGGCAAACAGGTCACGCTGGTGGTATTGGTGATCCTCGCTCTTGTTCGTCTTCATCCGGAGCCCGCCGATGACTGTCCCTGTTTCGACGATAGTGTTGCCTTCGCGGGGGTGATACTTGGGTTGCAAGTGGCGTATTGGCACGTAGCGAAAACGGACATCACATGGGATCACCCCGTCCCCGCTACTGTTCCGTATAGGTTTGACGATTTAGGGGTATTGAAGACAGCTATGCGCCTCATCTTAGGAGTGGCATTGATCGTTGTATGGAGAGAGGTTATGAAGCCCTCTCTTCTCCGTGTACTTCCCCCGGTCTTTCGTGGTTTGGAAAAGTTGGGTCTGTTACTCCCTCGACGATTCTTTACCGCAGCGTCGTAAGTCAGGTCTCGTCTCCATCTAATACCGATTTTTCAGCTCACCGTTGAACCAGGCAATACACCAAAGTTCCCACGCAACTCAAGGATCATGAAGTGTTCCCAACCTTCTCCGAAATCCCGTCCATCTTTTCGAATATCCGCCACCCCCGACGACGGGCCATCTCAGTCGGCCCTCAGTCGGAAGCTGATGCCTACGAAACCCTGGCCTACCGGGAAAAGCGCAGACGAGAGAGCCTGTCAAATAGCAACCGAACGTCGCCTCTGGCAGAAGAGGATACTCAGCAAGATATCTCCGATGGGCAATATCCTCACCTATCGCGCAAGCGCTCCAAGCTCCATGAGTATGAAACAATGATGGGAACCGGTAACCCTCGAATCGCGACTGGCGTTGATGGTACAGAGGCGCCTCCGTTGACGGAGCCATTCCCTGATTTGGTTCCTGACCCCGAGCCGGATGAAGAAGAGATGTTTGCACGGATTAAGAGACCTCGTGTACGATACGATGTGGAGGTAGTCACGAAGCTGGTGGTATATTCCGGTATGTGGTTCTTACTTTCCCACCCTTTTTGGACCTTGGACTTACGCTGGCTAGGTATTGCTTGGATTGTGATGGAGGGAGCTCCTTTTGTCTTCGACAAAGTTGGCCTTGCGCCGATTTAAAGCCATCTGAAAATTAAGCTAAGAGTGAGGTTTAGTTCAGCTGGCTGAACGTCACGAGTCATTATTATTTCTGTACCATAGCTGGCCTTCAAGTGTACATATATGACTTTGATGCGTTATGTATTTTCCCCCCATGTTTTTCTTTTTTTTTTATTCTCCGTTGGTGTGGTCGCGTGTTGAAGAGAAATTAGGACTCTTGACCGAGGTTCGAATTGATTAAGACCTGAATTATATACAGAAGGGTAATTAGCAGAATATTGAAATTGCATCTCTAATGGTAGGAGAGCTGTTCTCGATACACTGATGAGCTACTAGTACTTGTAGATCGATTTCGTTGTTGTCTGCAGACTGATCACGTGAAGGTCCCAAAAGGGGAAAGCGTGGTTAAGCTTCGGAACGTCTAAACCATGCCGGGAACTACTTTAACTTCTTCCCATCAATTCACTTCTCCAGATTGCGCGCCGGTAGGAAGGCTCGTTTTGCGCCTTTCCAGCCTGCCATCTGTTTATCAAGGGGAGCACGCTCATGGAGCTGCCATTCACTCTAGCGACTGTCGCGACCTCAACAAAAACCATGGCAACCACCCATGGCCAGTAATTGCGATCCCATCTGTTTTGCTTTCCCCCTCCCTCATCTCTTCACCACTTCAACCCATATCTTCCTGATACTCTTTCTCTTCATCATCATCTTTTGCCTTCTCACTACACGATTTTCTCGCTTACAACGCGCTCCAATATCTTCTACGTTGATATCTGTACCTTTCCACAATCGTCCGGATTCTAAATCTACCATGGCTGGCGTATTCTCGACCCAGCAACGCGTGATGGAGGACATGACCATGAGAAACATGAGCGTAATGGATACTGAAGACACTAGTATGGGGGCCGAAGAACAATACTACGACCCCATGGATATCAGCCCTTTACCCTCAAACGAACCGTCACGGACCACTGCCCAGAACCTCCCTAGACCTGATTACTGGGTTCATTTTACTCCCCCAAAACGCGGTGGTGTGCCCAAAGCTACCAGACTCGACGGAAAGCCGGCGACACGAGCTCCAATAATCAGACCGTTGACGCGATTCTCACCGCAGGCGCGAATCGACCCATCGACTGGCCGCTTCAAGCAGCAGTTCATCGCGCAGCCTTTCCTCCGAGGTACTTTTGCATCGAACAACATAATCGGCCATTTAAACAACAAAACCAATGCCTTCACCTCGATCAACGGATACAGCTCTCATTCGAACAACGTACTAAATTCTCTGTCTAATAAGCCAGTGACTCTCGGAACAAGCGTTCCCACCACACGTGATTCGTCTTTCAATAGTCTTTCGACCACCCAGTCCATTTGGGACCGCAAAACTCCTAGTTTTGAGTCGAACACATCGATTACCACTGCGACATCGCTCAACTCTCGGAAGAGATCAGTCGACGATGGTTTCAATGAATCGGCTCACCGGGTTTACCCCGAGGCGGATAGCCCGTCGAGCAAATATCGACGCGTTAGCGAGGAAGGTTTCCCAAATTCCGCTATCATAAGCAAGGAAGACACCCAGAAAGCCGAAGCGCTATCAACCCACGCTGCGCATCCTATCCAGGAACATCATACCGTGCCGACCGCTACATTTCCCGTTCGCCGCGATGCTGCGACGCAATCCCAGTACTTGACCGCTCCTGTCGCACTCGCGGCCGAGATTAATTTCTCTACCCGCGAAAATGCTTGTGGTCAAATTGGTCATTCCAGCCGTGCTGATGCCCTCATTCCTGGTGGATGGCCTGAGCAGCCTTCCCACGATAATTCATCCGCCACTGCAACATCTAATGCTTCTTCCGTCAATGATATATTGCGCGCAGGAGAAGACCCTCTCATGACGGGTGCACTTATCGCGCCATCTCCTACCACCTCACTACCTGGCCCCAGTGGCTCGAACACCGCTACTGATGAATCTGGTGATGCGGATAATCAGCGGATGCAAGCGATTGACACTCTTGACGGCAACCTCTACAATGGACAGATCTCACATATGCTACGCCCGTACTGGGCAACATGTTACGCCATTGTCAAAGGCGCCTACGCTGCGTCGGGAACTGTCAAGAACGTTTTTACTAAGACTTGGAATTTGATTGGGCAGCCCGTGGTTGACTACGTACAACATCGTCGCCATCCGCAGCCATTGCGCCGCTCTCCTGGCCTCAGAGCTTCTCCATCACGAGCTGCAGCACTTCGTCGCCTCCCCGAGGAGCAGAGACGCATGATCAGAGACCATGAAAGGCGTAGGCAGAGAGGTTACCCCACAGTGCAAAACCTTCCTTTCCCAGATTTGGCTCTGGACATTCCACAATCTCCGACCATTGGGTCTTCATCTTTCATGGAGATGCCAAATGATTCTTCCATGTCACACGCCGCAAACCTTGAGAGGGATCCTCGACAGCGCGGCAGCCATTATCCTGAAAGTACAGGACACCGCTGGGCTAATCGAAGATTCACCAAACCGACAGGCGTCCAGAAGTCCCCGCAGGTCAAGTCTATGAGCCCCAATCTTAAGCGCCGGTTGTGGCCAGGTAGGAACCTGGAGCGTGGCAAACGCGAACTTGCGCTACAAAAAGCATGGAAAACAGGGGATTTCAGCGAGGTCTTGAGGGACCAGGGATCCCGTGTATCCACCCACATTGGACTTTCCGAACGCACCGAACGTCTAGGCCAGCCCGCGCCAAAAGAGGGGCCGAAGCCGAAGCCAAAGAAGCGAGTACGCTTCAAGGATCCGATTGAACAGTTCATCCCGGAGCCTACTCTCCCTGACCTTGCTCCGTACCTTCATCCCACGTCTCCCAACGTCGAACGTGTTTCTGCTAAAAAAGCATCCATTGAACAGAAGGAGAATGTCCCGCCAATTTCTAGATCGGCGGTAAAGACTGACACTGAAGATGAACTGATTGGATTTGGAGGACATTGGTGGGAAGATCAGATTGAGTATCCACTTGGACGACCCGTCTCAGCCGTGAGCCTCTTTTACCCCGAAGCAAAACCGCTTCCGCCCGGCCGGACGGAGTCTGTCTATGCTGACGAGTGGAGAAAGATCGAAGAGGAGGAGAAGCGTAAGCAAACCCCAGCACGAGTTCGTGTTGAAGGCCCAGCTGTACGCCCTCTTTCAGGGGAGTGGATGAGCCGAGTGTCCAATGCCATGGCCGCACACAGCAACCGCCGCATCGCCACTACTCTGTCCGGTGACCCGCTGACGAAGAAGGATCTGTCTACTTGTTTTACTCCCATGGCCTGGTTGAACGATGAGGTTATTAACTCGTACCTTGCTATAATCGTCGACTATCTGCGCCGCACGAATCACAACAACGGCCGTGGTGACAAACCCCGGTTTCACGCTTTCAATACTTTCTTTTTCTCCAACATGCGCGACAAAGGCTATCAGTCTGTCCGACGCTGGGCCAATCGTGCCAAGATTGGCGGCGCGTCTCTTCTTGACGTGGATACCGTGTTTGTTCCAGTACACAACAGTGCACACTGGACGCTTATCGTGATCAAGCCATTGGAACGCACCATTGAGCATTTTGACTCATTGGGCTCACTCTCGCACCGGCACGTGGGGGTGATGAAGGATTGGCTCCGTAACGAATTGGGCCCTCATTACGTCGAGGAGGAATGGCGCGTCCTGCCGTCTGTCTCACCTCAGCAAGACAACGGTAGTGATTGCGGGGTATTCCTTTTGTCTACCGCAAAAGCGGTGGCCATCGGCCTCGAGCCACTATCATACTGCGCGCGGGACATTGTCCTGCTGCGCAAGAAGATAGTAGCCGAGCTGATGGCCGGGGGGCTGGAAGGAGATTTTGATCCGGCCTCCGGTGGGGAGGTGTTGCTCTAGAACAATTCCCTCCCGGTGGAGGAGGAGGAAGACCAAACCATCAATGTTGTATTGTGTTGTCTTTTGTTCTTCTTATTTCCTTGTTTTCTTGCATTGCGTGGAGTTTTGGAGGTTGTGAGAGTATGGGATGGATATATTGTAAGAGTTCGTTTTGGGATCAGCAACGGCGTTTGGCACATATACGAGTGATACCCGTCAGTTGAAGCAAAGCTCCTGACATATGACATTGAATTGGGTCTGCTGGCGAAAATCGCTTTTGATGCTTACATGCACATGCAGCATGCGACATGTGGTGGATTGAATAAGGACATGGACATGGTTGATTTGAGCGCTAAATATCTGTGGATACAATGTAGACCAATGTGAGTACCTGCAAAGACACCGTGTCTCCGTTGTAAAGATGTCGATTGAATATTTATAAGACCATGAAGACGTAGTGACTGTATAGAGAACTTAATGAAAGTCACTCACATAACACGCTCTTCGACACCCAACCTTATCTCCTGTCCGTATATTCTCTTGCTTCACGATATCACCTCCTAACGTCTTACTCCTAGCCCGGCGCACATCACTATCAACATCGCGAAAATCAGCCCTCCGAACCGTCCTATCTCTTGACCTCGTTAAGTCCTCCCCACGGCCAGCAGGCGCACCAGCCACGGAAGAAACATTGAACGCCATCTCAATCCACTCAACTCCCAAGAACACCGACTCCCCAGCCCTCAAATTCCCTGTCCAATTCCCCCCATCACTCCACAGATTCAGAACCAAAGTACTCGGCTCCCGAGGCACACCATAAGCCTTAACCGCCTGCAAAGCCTCCCCAGCATACCAACGCGACATATCGGGAAACCAGTCCAAGCGATGCGTCGACCACGCCGTCCACGGCACAGAGAGGTTCACCATGGTGCCCGCTCCGGGGATAGCCGTATCCGAGACGGGATCGTAATCTGGCTGATTGGAATAATGAATCACATTGGGTGGATCAGAGGTAAGGATCTCGATATCCGATTCGCATGTTTTGGAATGATATGTGAAGAGTCCGACGCAGGCGCCCTTGGGAACGACATTATGCCCGATTGGTCTTCGACGTCCTTTGCCCCAATGCCTGTCTAGGGGGTCTCGGGTGGTTGGGCGGATGCGTCTGGGGCCGAGGGCGGTTTCATTTGACATAAGTCTCATTCTGACACGGAGTGAACAGTGCAGGATATTCCATCCTAGGAACTCGATTTCGGCTGTTGAGACATGGTCCGCGTGCCGGGTTGTCTGGAGGAGGAGGTATGTTGGGTTTGGCGAGACGTGGCTCTGGGGGTCTGGGTTTGGCGCGATGAATACGTTCGTTTCGGCGTTGGTGATGGGGAGGAGCTCCGTTGTTCCGGTTTTGGTCCATGTTTGGGGAAGCCAATCATTGATGAAGGGCGTGTTGGATAGGAGGAGCGTGGTATATAGTGCGGGGGGTTCTGGGGCCGGTTGTTGGGTGACATTTGGGAGGGCGATGTTGCGGAAGTCCCAGAAGTGGTAGTTTGTGAAGTAGCCTGGGTCTGGGCCGGAGATTATGTAGCAGTCGCAAAGGGTGTTGTTTGTTGATGGTGGGTTTGGCGCTGGGGAGGTGGTGGTCGTGGGTATCAAAGAGAGACTGGGTAGGAGAGTGAGATTGTTGAACTTCATTGTTGATGGGAAAAGATAAGAGAAAGGAATGTCTTGTGTAATATATATCGAGGAGTATTGGTTATTTGGAGAATATTGCATGTTTCTAGTCACTTGGATATGTTGTATATCATTAGGGTTAGTGATGCTACGGCAGGTGCGTCTTTGTGTGTTACTTCCACTACAGAGTCATTCGTCCCTCTGCACAATCTTGGGGATCAGGGTATAACACTGTCTGGATACTACGATATAACTCAATTAAGCTTATTGAACGACTACGAGGGTGTCCATTGTTTTATCTCCATGAGAAGAACAGAATGGGAACACAATAAGACTATACTGACACTAAGACTACAATCAATAGTCGCAAAGAACGTCTACCTACAAAGGAGCACTATAGGGGCATCCCTACAGTCACTGGCATTGTATTCCTTTGTTATATCAACATGGTCTATGAATAAACGACCCAGTGCCTTTCAATAGTTTCTTGAACACATCTTTGATACGGCCTAAAGTATCTAAACTGGATGAAGATGTCAACTGATAAAGAATCCAATGTCTTATATATACATACTCCCTAACCGGGCTCCTACTCGTATGGTCTGCGTAGCATCTAATAGAAACAACGATCTCATATCCAGAAACGCGCAATATTCGATGCGATGCCGAGGCGCAGGGAAAATGTGGAATGCATCCATTGCGGACGCTTCCATCCACAGTATTATGGCGCGGCATTAAAAGGCCATGCGAGGGTACATCAGAACCGTCGAGAGGCTGCTCAAAGACAACGTGACCTCTCGACAGAAACAGAAGATGATGTGGTATCAATTCCACACGTTGCAGACGTACTTCGTCGTGTCCGGCGTCTAAAGCAAGAGCAACTTACTACTGATAATGTGGCACAAAAGCTGCTAGACGTATGGGGTGATGACGACGCGAGAATGGCGTTGCTGCACCGTCTGATGACTCCTCGTCTTCCACCTGGGCAAGGAGCAAGATCGCTATTGGCGACTGCCAGAAACATAATCCTTACCTTAACTGGTCCTCTGATCCGAGCTGCGGTAATGATTCCCAGTTACTTCGAGCCTGGACCTTTGGAAGACCCTATATGGCCTGAGCAGGAGCCGTCCCACTACCCCATACATTCCTCCTTGGCAAGAACGTCAGTTGGATTGGCTCTCCTTCGAGATGATGCTCGCGCAGTTGAGATGCTAGTCACGCTTGAGATGAGCCCGAACGGTATGCTTTTATGTGGGTACAACATTTTGGCTGTGGCCGTCTTAACATCGGCGAGGGAGGTCATAGACTACCTCCTATCCCTCAAGGATGAGATTCAAGTTGACCAGCAGGCAAACGCCTACGGTGAGCAAGAGACGGCGATAACGCTGGCATGGAAGATTGGGAATATGGACGCGTTCAGGAAGCTCTTAACTCACAATGGGGGTGGAGTCCCAGGCCGAAGCCTTTTTTGCATCTGTGCTCATGAACAGCATGATGCGTTCAATGAGGTACTTCAACTGGGTTTGGATGGCCGAGAACTTCTTCGGGCCCAACATCCGATCAACCAGGAGACCCCTCTTCATGCCGCCGTATTAAACATGGATTATGCTGTCTTGGACGCAGTAATGCAATTGGCCGCGCGGGTTGGTAACAGTGAGGGTGACACGTATCCTCAATATCTGCACCTTCGAAATAGACAAGGCCAAACGCCTCTGATGTATGCGATCGAGCATCAGAAATACAGGAACATCGTAACCCTTCTCGACGACCAAGACATCAATCTTAACAAGCGAGCGTGGGGCGGCCAGACCGCGCTATGGTATGCTGCTCGCGCCGTGGATCTAGCGCTCGTCGATATACTCCTCATACTGCGGTGCGATGCGGGCAACCCTCTTCCTCTTCAGTTTCCGACCAAAGGTACTCCGCTCAATGCCTTGCTCTATGCATATGAGGACATTCTACAAGTATACACGCATGAACTACTGGAAGGTGTAAAGGGAGCACACAGGAGATTCAGTCAGGGGAAGAAGGACATTCTTGAGATTGCTCGGACGTTACTCCAGTACGGTTGTCAAGCAAATGTCGGGGATGATCGTTGGCGAATGCCTATGACCGAAAGACCAGAGGGATTTCCAGAGTGGGGGGCGTTGTTCACGTAGTACTTAGTTTCTTTGGTCACTTTTTTCCCCTTCTTGTCTGCTTACTTTACTTCTATATCTGTTTCGAAGATAGGGTCATCACTGAAGTCTGCTGGTGTTGGTGTGTGATATAGTTGGGCAGTAGTCGATTGTAAATATATAGATTCCATCAATGTTGAAACTACTGTTGAATTTCTTATACTTCTGCGCCACTATGAGCTACTCATAGTTTATTCTGATATCTGGTTTATCATTATATGATCTAAGTTTTAGTACTATCCATTTTACTGATACTGGTTTGCCCTACATAAGCTAGTGGTGCTGGACGACGACCCCCGTCCAAAAGTGGCCCACTTTGTATGGGAATTGAGTTCCCCCCAGAATGATTTTCGGACGCGGGAACGTTTGAATGCACGACAGCAACCCAAGCGGTGTCGGTAGTACTATGAGGAGTCGAATCGGACTGTGTTTTTATTATAATTAAAGTGTGTTCTAGTCTAGTGTCTTTTATTTTATGTTATTTTTCTTCCCCCCCCTCCTTTCTCTATCTCTTTCCAAATATTTTTATAAGATTCTAGGTCGTGTCGGTTAGCAGGGTCAACTGGTTAGTGGTCATTCCCGACCGTGGGATGTAAGATAGAGTAATACGAATACGGCACGGGTGATCCCATTCAGGGCGATTGCACAATGACGCCGAGGGCTATTTCTGTTCTCCAATAAAGGAAGGCCCCTTGGGTGGTGATAAGGCAAAGTGGGAGACAAATTGGTCAATCATTGGCTTCCAGCTGGTCAGCTGAACGCAGCGCGGCTGCCAAGCCTTTAGCTCGGTGCTGAATTTGGTCTCATTGTATTGTCACGGCTCGTATTGCTGACGGAAGAAGGATTTGTGATGAGCATTTTCTCTCGGTGGGCTTCATTTGAGATTCAAGTGTTGGGCACCGTTAGAGCTGTTATTTAGGGATAAATGAATCAATTGGTCTATTTCAGACTGAGGATATTTTCCTCCTGCGAAAAAGAGGACCAGTTGTTGAACGACGGGTGTTCGCAATGTTTTGATTAGGGCTAACCGACCGGCAGTCCCGACCGCATTGGGCCATCCCGTGTCTGCCACGCAAGTTGGAGGGGATGGGGCGGTCACGGGTCAAGGAGAGCGTTTTGAGTCTTTCTCACTCATCTTGCAACCGTCATCAACCGTCATCAACCATCACCACCATCGATCAACCCACACATCCCATCGCTATCATTATTCAAACTATCGCCGAAATGGACCTCATATCGTGTTGAATGAATTTAGGGGGTGTTGGCTTTGTTGAAACTCGAATTAATCACGATTTTATCACCTATCTCTTATCCCTATCTACCATACTCAGTCCCTTCCCATCACAACACTATGACAGCCACCCTTGAACGGAGTTTGTCTCGCACTTCGAGCATGTCTATACCCATCTCGAGCCCTAGATTATCTCTTTTACATGAAACGACACCGCCTAGCTTATCCGACCCTGCCCTATCTCACATCCACGACCGTTTAACCCTCCTTGACTCCCGTGTTCTAGAACTACGTTCGACTGTCCTCACCAAAGACGGCTATGTCGATCGACGGAACCGGGAAGATGAACATATTCGCCGGGAATTCGAAGCCCATCGCTCTATCTCGAACCGAATCGATCTTAATGTGGTCGCGCTGAGGACGGATGTGGACCAGCTGAAGTCGGGAGTGTTCCAACTGAAGTCGAGTATCGGCCAGACCGGCAATGAGACCGTCTTCTTGCGCAGTGATGTCGACCGTTTGTCGAAGAATATCGATCAGATTCAGTCCGATATCGAACAAGTTCAGACGGACGTGTGTGGATGCCGGGTGGAGATCAGCAAACTACACGCAACCATCAGTCAACTTCGTACCGATTTGATCACTCTTCAGCATGAAACATCACGGCATTTGAATTCTGTCTTCGACCGCTTTTCCTTGATCGAGTCCCGCATGAAGCATTCGGAACGCGTCCGCTTCAACTCCCTGGCCCACACCACTCATGCGCCAATCACCCCTGTCCCCGTTGTTGAGGATGATGGCACTCTGCAGTGGCCGGAATATTTCCCTCCTACTGTCTGGCGCTTCTGGTGCCTGAAGAAGCGCAGTCGGAGTAAGTCGCGCTACGGTGAATGTCCCTGCGGAAAGTCTAACATAATATAGTCAATCGGTTGGTTCAGTTGGCCGAATTCTACCAACTTGGAGGTTACCAATACTGGGGTCGAATGCATCAGACAGAGGCTATGTTTGTTAGCGATAGTGACTCTAGCGACTCCAGTGACTACCCGTCCAATTTAACTCGTGCTGAAGCAGTTCGCTTGTATCCTGAGGCCGCACACCAGGCACTGGCTGCCACATTGGGTTTAGTTTATTACAAAATTCGGAACGAAGTTGGAGAAGGGCCGAATACCCATATTCCACGTCCCCCGAAGCGGCAGCAAGAGGACCTGCCGTCGGTGTCATCGGGTTCGAAGCCGAAACCGGTGAAGATGGCACGCCGTCCCAACAACGTGTCGCCTACTGCTTTGCACAGACTGATCACTGGACCGTCGCTGGAGTCAAAATCAATGGCTTCGGACGAGTCTGATAAGCTTGGATGGAATGCCCACTCAGAAGTATCTGATGAGGCTATGAGTAAGCTGCGAAACATCGTTTCAGAGGAAGTCGGTACTCTGCTTCGAGCTTTGGAACGTGGACGCATCCGGTTGAAGCCTGGTCGCTCTGAGCGTGAGAAAATGTCTCCCATCGAATCTAAAGCCAGCATTCGTAATGGCCGGTACGGTGGCGACGGAGCACAGGACGATGATGCGCGGACCTTACCGAACACGGTTCCGACCGAGATCGTGTCCCCTTCAGATACAACGGACAAAACAGAGGAACATGACCCTGAACTCCCAGCGACCGAGTCCGATGCGACTAGTCCGTGATTCTATCACGATATCGTCAACACGATATACTGGTTGAATACAGAGGCTTGCATTAAAGGCTCTTGCCCGTTACGTGACTATACCATATAAGTACTCATGCAATAGTCACGTAATAGGCGCAAGAGCCTTTAATGCTCTATCCTCATTGGACTAGTCGTTTCGCGATCGACGGTTGTCCTTCACACATCTCGTTGCAGATGCATCGCTGGCACGACACGCAGAGAATGCTCCAACTGAACCTTTTGATATAGTTGTAGCACTCTCAGGGTGTGGTGCGCGACAGCAGCACTGCTTCTTGGTTGCACAACGATCGACATAGGGCACATCATGCCACTGTCGATGTGTAGCAACATTCCAAATACTGGGTATGTTACGGTGCGGCCAGCCCCTCGCATATAAATAGCGAGTTCTCCCGTGAGGCTCGCCGCACCATGGCATCGAACTGATAGACCCTTTTGACATCTTGGTGGCCTGCGACGTCCTGCTCAAGGCAAACACAATACTTTACGTAATGCTGACAGTTGAGTCTTGAGTCGGGGCTCATAACCTACGATTAGAGTTGATAGGCATGATACGGCGCCCTGGATGGATATGTATACAAGATACCCCTTTGGTTGGATTGTTTTTTGCAGATTATTCTATTTTGGTCTGGACCTAGCGTTATATACCTTGCATTTGGCGTTTCATATTACAGCTAGCTTTGGTTATCTGATACAATGACAATAGGAGCAGTGATATTAACAAGAAGACAGTCTCGATCCCACGAGTCGAGACGTTCTACGTATCTGGACCAAACCTCTCCGCTGGCCGCAGCCTCTACATCGTGCATCAACCGCTTAAGCGTGGGCCCACTCGTAAGCGTCATGTTATAAGTGTCATGTTAAACCCGTTGCCCACCGCTGAGACCAATTACTAAACGTTAACAATTGATAAATTAGATCAAGGTTAACCCAGTCCCATTTGAAACAATGATATCTTAAGAGCCAATTCCCGCAACCATCAACATCCTGCGGTCTAAACGGGCTCCAATAGATCTTTCTGCAGCACCTCCAACACTTTTCTCTCATCTAGATTTGAAATATCCACGGACCCGGGTGCCGGTTGGTCGCCATCCGTCTCGGAAGTTTCTCCCGACTCGATTTCACCTTGTGGCTGTGTGCGTAGATAATCTTTCTCGAGAAGGAACTTTGCGTTCTCTTGCTCCGAAGACAAGGCATCCGGTGAGTCTGATAGAATATAGATAGTCGGGAATTCTAGAACGGTGCGGCCACGTAGAGCGGAGGTGAGGGTGGCAGTGGGAGAGAGAGGGACAAGCACCGGCCGTTTCGTGCTCGTCCGCGGGCGATGGAGATAGAAGTAGAGGTCGCGGTGGGAGGTAATCTCATCCGTGGATGTCGTAGGCTGGTTTTCCGGGATTTCCGGTGCGATGTCCGGTTTTGTCTCGCTCTCAGGGTTGGGAAGCATAGTTTCCTGAGGCACAGTTTCTTGAGGCGTAGCTTCTGCGGGAGACGGAGTAGGGTCGTGTGTATCAGGAAGTTGTTCAGATGAATTGACGTCCACTTGTTCCGACTTGCTTTCCTGGCCTTTCTTCTTCTGTTCACGCTCCTCCTTAGACAATGGAAAAGACCGATTGTAGGCCTCCGCAAGAGTCGACGATTCCAAACAGAGTCTATTCCTCCTCTCCCCATCGGGAGCAATCCACTCGACCGTCCAGTTTAGGCACTTGTTCCTGCACCAGAGTTAGCAACCACTCCGTTCACTTCACTCCAAACCAAAACCCTAAGAAGGAAAAACATACTTAGGCAACCACTTCGACGCATTGGCCTTATTCCGACTCATCCCCCTCGGCGCCCGAAGAACAGTAACACCAGCTTCCTCCGCGCCCCTAAGAAACCCATACTCCCCCTTCACAAACCCCCCAGAACCACCCTCAACCCTCCTCCTCTTCCTCCCCGTTTCATTACCACCACCACTCTCCTCATCCCCATCCAGCCCCACAACCGCTAGATCCACCCCTCGCCCAGAAGTCCCAGGCTGTACAGAGATCCCCCTATTCTCGGCATCACGCTCCGCGCGCTCCAGAGTACGCTCGATACCTGTGATGAAATTAAAGTCTCGGTCGAAGGCGGATTCGGTCGCTAGTTCGTTTTTCTTCATGTAGGCGGCTGGATCGCGGACGCCGCTGCATTGGGACCAGAGTTTGTGGCGGCGCGAACAGGGAAGGGAGCAGGTGCGGGTTGAACAGCGGGGACAGCGGTATTTTGGGGGTTGGATATGGCTGTTTTTGGTTTATTTGTTAGTAGGTGGTTTGGTGGTATGGGGGTTTGGTGATGGTGGAACGGACCATATTGTGCAGAGATCTGAGAGGAGGGGGGTTTCGGAGGACATTTCTATTATATATCCTTATTCAGAATAATGGGGGATTGGATAGGTAGTATTATAAATATACAGAGGGTAAAGTATTAAGTATGGATACGGCGACAGGTCTTGTTATGATATAATATGAGAGATGAGTAGTGGAGCGGAGGAAAAAAAGTCTGGATAAATTTAGCTTATCGATAAGGAGGTCTATGGATGCCTTAATTCTCTATAATTCATGCCTGAGGCATAAGCTTCTTGCCTGGATCAGATGTCCGTTTTCAGACACCAAGGAGGTCATGTGCGCTGATTGATAAGAAGAGAACTTTGACTTTGTTAGGTAATGGATCACGTCTTTCCAGATCAGATCAACTATCAAAGATCACCGAACCCACCCACGCCCAGTGTAATAAGAGGAAAGTTGAATGAGAGACCCCGTCTAACTAGAATCAAACTAGGTATATAATCCCCCACTCCTCCAGTGACTCACGCATTAGTAACGCCTTGTTCCTGATTCCATCTCCGCTATCGGATCGGTATCCACCTGACAAATCAGGCACCCAAAGCCGCCACCAATCTTTCATCCCACCAAAGATCTTAATAATTGATAAGGGAAGGCGATCCAGTGCAACTTTCTTTTCTTCAAACCAAACCAACTCATACCTTCTATTCCGCATATACCACACAGAACCAAGGATACCGATCAGGGAAAAACAAACAAGGAGTTGAACCAATATAATTATCCCAAAATGTCTATCACAATCGACACCTCCGTCGACATCGACCTCCCCACCCCACCTCAGTCAAACGGCAGTCAAAAGCGCAACCTCCTCCTCGCCCCTCCCTCTGTCGCTGCCCACGAAGAGAAACTCCATCATGTTTTCTCGACCTTCGATCGCTCCTCGACCGATCTTCAGATGCTCGATCGCCTCTCCGCAGGCTTCGTCTCCCTTCCTCCCAATACATATGATCTCGTGCTGGTGTTGACGGACGCGCAGTCGGATGAGGCTGTGCGATTGTTGACTCGGGATGTTTATACCGCTTTGGTACCGGCGATGAAGGCGGGCGCTAGATTGCAGCTGCAGCAGGGAAGTTTGGGGGCTAGTGAGGGGTTGGAGGCTATTTTGGCGGGGCTGGTGGAGAAGGATGGTGGGTTTGAGAAGCCAGCGCAGGAGGCTGCTGTGCCGTTGAAGTTGGGCGGCAGGAAGAAGAAGGACAAGATCAATGGGGTGCAGAATGGAGTGGCTACGAATGGAGCCAGCACCAACGGCGTGGGAATGTTTGATCCGACTCAGAACAATGACGACGAGTTGATTGATGAGGATGCGTTGCTTTCGGACGATGATTTGAAGAGACCTCTTCCACGACGTGAGTTTCCCTTTATATATTCGATTACCTTGTTAAACGTCATATTGACTCTAATTTCTCCAGCCCAAAACTGCGTCCCAGAGACCGCCAAGAAGCGCCGACGTCCCTGCAAGGACTGCACCTGCGGTCTAGCAAATCAACTCGAGGAGGAAGACCGTGCACGTGAGGCAAAGGCCGCCCAAGATCTCAACATTCTGAAGCTAAACACAGACGATCTGAACGACGAGCTGGACTTCACCGTGCAGGGCAAGACGAGCTCGTGCAACAGCTGCTCGCTCGGCGATGCGTTCCGTTGCTCCAGCTGTCCGTACATTGGACTGCCGCCATTCAAGCCCGGCGAGGAGGTCAAGATTATGAATGATATGGTTCAGCTGTGAGGGTGTTTCTTTTCCGGGTCTGGTTTTCGGGTCTTACTTAATATCCCCTAAAAGGTGTTTTGTGGCGATAGATTTTCGGTAAGGTATTGTTATGAATGGCATGATTTGTTTTTCTCAAGGATGTATGAAAGAAAGCTATTTCAAACTGAAACTTTTTTGTTGTCGTTTTATACTCAGTAGTTATCTACGCATTTAAAAGATCCACTTTGAAGTCAGGATGTAAAACAAGCCAATCTAATTCATTATCTCTCCTTTGTATCCATAAATCAGATACCAGATTGATCAAGTCTCTTCCATACTTATCCTATAATATTAATTCCATATACTCAGGAACAATACTACCTCAGTCGGTCACTTCATACATCAAATAAACAGTTAAGACACCGTTATCCCGCCGTCTCGGTGATTGAAGCCCTAACAACATCCAAAACAAGTAAATCATGGACCCCTCTCCAAGAACAACAAACACCGAAGCAAGCATTGTATATTAATCACAAAATCTATTATAATATTATCTTTTTATAAATCCTAAAATCAATCCTCTTCACTGATACGGTCCAGTTATATGCCAGCAAAACCGATGAGATCACCGCAGCGACTGATGAGAAAATCACAAACAACTAACTAACCTCCGCATCGATTTCTAAGCATCGGCATGAACCAAACGCCGAGGGAAATCACGACAGTTGTGTAGTATAAGTAGATACCAATTCCCATATCTTATTCAAACCAATTTCACAATTTGATTCTGAACAATAACAACAATAACAGTACAAACTTAAGGAATACAGAAGAGAAACAATGGCCAGCAAACCCTTCGCTATCATCGCCGGCGTCGGTCCAGGAACTGTATGTCCCCATCTAATCAATCCCCTCGGATCATATCGTCAATGGAGGGAGTTCCATAACCCCACATCGTCCCCACAACCAATCTATCAATCTTCCTAACCAACTCACCCAATATAATCAATGAGGATGAAACAAACAATCTAACAAAAGAAAAACAAAAAGGGCGCCTCAATCGCCCGCAAATTCGCCCAAACCTACTCCGTCGTTCTACTCGCCCGTAACCCAGCAAACTTCACGCCCGTCGTCGATGAAATCAACGCAAACGGTGGCCAAGCAACGGGCATTAGTGCCGATCTATCAGATACAAATAGCGTCAAATCCGCGTTTGAGAAAATCACCCAGCAATATGGGGGATCGACGCTAGCAGCAGCAGTATTTAACTCCGGGGGTGGATTCGTCCGCAAGCCGTTCCTGGAGTTGACGGAGGAGGAATACGTTTCGGGGTTTGAGGGTCAGGGGTTCGTTTCTCCATCCCATTGTAGTCCTTCTATTCCTTCTACCTAGTCCCTAGTGAACCATTTAGTCCTGGATATGATATGAGAGGCTAACAAAAAGAAACAGAAAGGGAGGCTTCAACTTCGCCCAACGCACCCTCCCCCTCCTTCAAAAGGCAACTGGTCTCCAGCACCCACCTACCCTCATCTTCACCGGCGCAACAGCTAGTCTGAAAGGCTCAGCGTTGTTCTCGGCCTTCGCATCGGGGAAGTTTGCCCTCCGTGCGTTGGCACAGAGTCTGGCTCGCGAGTTCGGACCCAAGGGAGTTCATGTCTCGCATGTTATTATTGATGGCGTGATTGATATTCCTAGAACCAAGGCGTGGACTTTTGAGCATGAGGATGCGAAGTTGGATCCTGGGGCGGTGAGTTGTTTTCCTTGTCTCTCCTTGTTTTATTTAACTTTTGTTTCTTTCGTTAAGGGTTGGGTTTTGTATGGGTGAAGGAGAGGCTGATTCTGTTTTTAGATTGCCGATTCGTATTGGCATTTGCATACGCAGCCCAGGACGACATGGGGCTTTGAGTTGGATTTGAGACCTTATGTTGAGAAGTGGTAGTTTGGTTTATTGGGAATGGGATGACCGTGACGTCTTTGTCAGGCTGGGTTGTTCTGCATCGAGAAAGGCTGGGCAAGGAGTGGAAGTAAACACCATGGTACTACGCGGTTCTTTTTAGACTGTTTGACGAAATTGGAAGATACTATTGATAGTTTATGGATTGGGAGTTGCGAATCCGAAGCCCTATCTGGAATAACAGTCTTAATGTGATTGGTCGTTTCTCTGTGTATATTCTGCCCTGGAATCGTAGAAGACGCCATCTGAGTCATGGGATAATGGTAGCTGTAGATTGTTCGAGTCGAAGTGCATATTCGTGAGTTGGCTCAACTCTAGGTCCATGTCGAGGGTAGCATCGATATCTTTTGTATCTATCATGTTCGCATTCATGCCGAGATCATCACCAACCGAGACGTCGGATACAGAAGTACATGTCTGTCTGGGCAGTAGCGAGTAATCGATGGGTTGATCACTGGATGTAGGAGTAAACCCATTACTACTGAACTCCAGCGGGGAATTGAACGACAAGGGAATGGTATCCATAATAGTAGGGTCCACAGGGAGCATCCAGGACGGATCTTGTGAGTCAGAAGATAGCAATGACCCATCAGTAGACCCAACCAGGTCGATACTGGATTGGGTATTCTCTGGATGCTGAGACACCAGACCAAGTCTCCACACATTCAACCATGAGCCATCCCGCTTCATCATATCGTCATCTTCAAACCAGGACCGAATCCTACGGAAGACTGTCGTCAACTTGGTAGCAGGCCATAGTGGTCCCCACCCTGCGAACAATTGTATGATGCAATCTAAATGATTGGAAACTTGAAGTCGGTTTATTTGTAGTTGAGCATCTTCGTTAGGCGACGTGATGGCCGCAAAGTGAAGCTTGACTAGGATGAGCGCGGTGTAAATCATCCGGATCAGATGCATTGCTGGTAGAACTCGAATCGCAGACATATCTAAGGAGGTAAAAACTCGGAATATGTGATCGATTGTCTCGACGCATTCGCTGAATGTGTCTGCTGGGATGGTGATGGTGGGTGGTGTCTGATCTTCTGATGATGTTTCGGCGTCGGAGGTGGCGTTTTCAGACGCAGCACAAAAGGAAACTTCGTTTAGATACAAGGACGAGAAATGATAGGAGAGTTGTAGTGCACCTGTGTAGTAAAGGTTCGTTATTTCTCAGATCTATGTATCTATGGAAGAAGGGAAGAGTGCTTACCATCGAAATCGCCTCCACGTATGTTGTTTTTCCAGTCCCAGAGTTGTCGCTTAGCCAAACGATGTGATGCTTGGATATGCTTGGCCCGTGACGACAGAGAATCAGAAGCGCTTTTACGTGACAGTTGCATTGTAGCTTCTTCGGTTATACGCTGTAGGCGTATGTGCTGACACAGAATCCTGTCAGATGGGAAAGCATCCGGAGAGGTTTCCAGAACTTCTACACATTCACCCATACAGTGGGTCCACCTCATGACGTTTGGCGCCCGTAGAGACATAGAAGTACTAATATGTATTAGCAATAGCATGGATTGACGTCGACTCTGTTCACCCACTTCGAGCAAATGTAATGACATCCCAACCAGACTCTCCGAGCCCCAAGAAGCTCTGCCTGGGCATTCTGGTGTCGGTCGGCCTGCCCCTGCCGGGGCAACGCTGAGGATTCCCTGTTCGTGTTACTCAATCTCTCACCTAGTCCCATGATTAAAGCCATGTTGGCAGCGGTATGTCCAATCTGATAAATATCCATCTGCTCTCCCGGCTCTAAAGGCTCAATTGACCGATACCAAGTGGCGGAAACGATCAACGCTTGCAGTAAGCCGAGGGTGTATTGGTCGCTGCGCAGCATACAATGCACGTATGTCTGCACGATCAGCTTCCGGAGTCTTCTTTGAATCTCCAACTCACAGAACCCAGACGATGCTACGTCGAGAATTGCTAAGAGAAGAATGGGGTTATCCTTTCGTACATCGGCCGCCGTTGTGCCTGGTGGGAAGACGACGGCTGGAAAGGTGGGAGCCATGTTGGTGATATAACGGTTGAAGATGATCTCGGTCATGGCATGATCAAGATACGGGGTGATACTTTTGGCCAGGACCGACTGTATGCTGGTTTTAAGATCCACAGCTCCGGAGCTCACTGCCTTGCGGGATCGAGGGGTGAGTAATGAACTCAGCGTAGGATGACAAGTATGAGATAGACTAACCACTGGAGGGTATTGGTAGGGCAGTCCCCACAGATGGACCCCAGCCAGGTTGTCCAGGAGCGTACGACATAGGAGCCAAATCAGTAGGCCACTGTGGAAAGGAGTCCGTGCGAGGGCGAGTTCGGTTATCAGTGGCCTCTTGTTTTACAGCAGATAAGATCATCTTATCGATCCTAGACTGTATCTTGAGAATGCGACTGTTCAATTGTTGATGGTTCTTCTGCGGTTTCTCCGCGGGAAAACATGGTTTGCATGCCTTTTGGCATCTCAAGCACGGCATACCAGGGATCGGCTGGTTGCATTTCACTTTGGAAACATGGCAGGCGTGACATGCTCGCTGGGTATTACTGTTGGTTGATTGTTAGTATTATAGATAGCTATGCCAACTATCATATATGTTCGAACTCACGGATTTTGGTCTGGAGCCAGTCCATGTTGTGATTGCTCAGCAGTTGCTTTCGAATCCCATGTTTCCATGTCGCCAGACGAGTGGAACCTCATATGAGGGGTAGAAGGAAACAAGCTGCTCCCCCGGAGAATTGATGGCAGTCCAATTAAGAGTGAAATGACCCCTGGAGAAATTACCAGGGTGTAGTAATTCAAAGCGAGTGGCTCTTCTAGTCGTCCGGCCAAGAACAGCACGAGCCAGAATTTCAAGGCTGGAGCGATCGGTGAACTTTTGGACCCCAATTATAGGTGCATGTTGGGCCAAGACTTGGACGGCAAGGATCGTATTTGGATCTAATAGTCGGACGTACATCTTTTTCAGATTTCATTCAAGACAAAAAGTATCGCAAAACACTCTCCACGAACAGCTACCAGGTTTTTGGTGCTTGTCGTGTTGTTCTCGCAGCATAGTCCAGGTAAAGCACTCCACATACCGTGTGTGTGCTGAGATTGCCCCCCGTATGATCCTAGCATACGTTTAACCATACTAATTAGTGGAGATTTAGCGATACTGGAGGTGTAGTGTGTGGTAAAGAGCATTTATCTCACCTGTATTTACTCCCTTCTTGCATGTTGTCCGGCCTTGACACATTTTCCTTATTGCACAATACTCGAGCAGCGGAATCACACCATGTCCCTCACATATCAGTGCGTATTGCAGCGAAATGACTCTTACGATAGAAGAGACTAACCCAGCTGAGTGATGTGCAGAGAAGCATGGAATCTGTTTCAATATGAGGATTCGCCCCAATCACTCAATACGAGTTCGAATGCGCAAAGCCCCCGACTTGCAGGCAATCATACTTCTCCAGCAGATCCCACCGTAGCCACAAATCACGAAGCTGAGAGTTCCAATAGTGAACTGGTCACCGAGCTCCGACGTCTGCGTGAAGATCTTCAGCGTCTCCAATTTACAGGGTATCGATATCCCCACCCGAGCCATCGGTAACTAGCCCATTAAAGATAGAGTTAACTGACTTCGCTGGACCGATTATAGATCACAGGAAGATGCTCCAGATGTCGTCCCTTCAATGAGTAATCGATCAGGTTCCGAATCAGCGGCATCGCAGACGACCATCGCCGTTCGCACGAATCAAGCATCTCAAAAGTCAGATACTCTTCGTTGCTGGGAGTCCTGCTGTAATGGTCGTGTCTTTTCCAACAGAAGTAACTTAATTCGCCACCAGCGAGAACGACGTGGTGAATCGGCGAAGCTGCGATGTTCTTTTTGTGATGCGGTTTTCTCACGTCGAGCTGCGAGAGACACTCATGAGGCTGCTAGACGATGTCGTCGGTTGTGATTTGAAGCGGATGTTTTTCAAAAAATTAGAATTAGAGGGAATGCATGTAAAAATCAAATCTCATGCCATATTCTTCGTTGTGTTTCGTTGACAGAACCCAAGAATGGAGGAAAGATTCCGTCCATCCGCCCGCAAAAAATTCAAGTCGGTCGGAATATAGAAGTGACGCAGTGAGTTAATATAGCTCTTTGGGATAAGTAAGATAATCGAAGTGAAGATCGTTGAACCAAAATTATAATTGACGGATTATGTTGGATGAATGATGGATCGTGTGTTGGGAGGATCGAGGGATTGTTATGATCCCTCATCGGCGAAGGATCACCGACAGGCTGAGGATCAAAAAGGCGAGCCCTATCAGCACATCTACCATGAGATAATATCACACTTGCGATTAAATCACCATAATACAAATACATTGACTCGATTCTACTATATCAGCTACTTCCTTCTTGATATCCTTTATCGATTTAATTCTCTCTCGCCCGTTCCACCTCTACCAACGATGGTCTCGCTCAAGATAGTCCAGGCATCCAACGCCAGTCTCCGGACAATCCCCAACCTCACAGCCCTATTTGTCGGAGGCACAAGTGGAATGGGCCAGAGCACACTCCGTCAATTTGCCAAACACACAGACAGTCCAACAGCATACATAATCGGCCGGAGTAAATCACGAGCAAAGCCCTTCCTCTCCGAACTCCAACAACTAAACCCAAAAGGCCGCTTCAACTTCATCGAAACCGACGTATCACTCATCCGCAGTGTAGATGCAGCCTGCAAAGAGATTCTCCAACGAGAAAAACACCTTAACTTCCTCTTCATGACACCAGGGGGAATCTCCCTCGGAGGCCGAAACGAGACCACCGAGGGAATCGACTATCTTTTCGCCCTTCGCTATTATGCACGCATGCGTTTCGTCCAGAACCTCCTTCCATTGCTTGAATCAGCAGGTCCAAGTCGAGTAGTGAGTGTCTATGGTGGCGGGTTCGAATTTAGTATCAACGCCGACGATCTAGATCTCAAGCATAACTTCTCCTTGCTCAATGCCTACAAACATTCCATCACCATGACCTCCCTGAGTATGGAATACTTAGCTAAGACTCACCCAGCCGTTAGCTTTGTCCACGTCTACCCCGGTCTAGTAGGTACAAACATCTACACAAACAGTTTCCCAGCACCTATCTCGACGTTCTACAATTATGGAATATGGCCTCTGATGTGGCCGTTCTCCGTCGGTCTCCAGGAAAGTGGAGAACGGCATCTGTTTCATCTAAGCTCTGCACGGTACCCGGCCAAGAAAGATATCCTGGCCCAGGGTGTCCCCGTCGAGTTAGGAGAGGTTGCGAAGGGTACGACTGGGAAGACGGGGAGTGGAGCGTATCTCTTGAATTGGAACGGGGAGGTTCGACCGAGCCGAAACGTCATGGAGGAGTATCGGGAGCAGCAGGTGCCGGAGTTAGTATGGAGGCATACCGAGGATCTGTTGGATCGGGCTGTTCGTCGGTGATCTGACCGTTTTCTTTCCGTTTATATCTCGGAGTGATGTCTTTAACCTGGATCGAGAAATGTATGATCGGCGGGATACGTTGAGTAAAGATTGGATGCGGAGTCCGTATTCTATTCAAACAAGGAATGATGGGCGCCTATCTAGAATTATGCATAATAGCAGTATAAAGCCAAGAATCACGGACCTGCAGCCATGCATACAACCCAGAACTTGATACGCACCACTCACTCTCTCCCAAACAAAATCAATATCAAACCTGTAAACAAGCTTTAGATAACGATACTGATAAATGAAGGACCAAGAAAATGACATCACTTTCTAGCTTATGAATCGCCAAGTGCCAAACTAACCCCAGAGCAGCAATCCAACCCTCCGTACCGAAAAAGGAAATCAAGCCCTAAGGTCCTCAGAGATCACTGTATCGGCCTAGATACACCGAGACTACATCCAACTTGGCCCCCGAATAGAACAGAAAATCATTAACAAAAGTGGTGCAGCTCCGATGTGTTGATCCTGCAATTTACAGCCATATCCCGGTGGGGTTAATATAGAGCTACATTAGCGTGGTGTCGCAGATGCAAAACAACCGTGCAGATCTGTGTCCGGGCGATTCCGTTTATTCGGGGAACATGGTCTATGGGATGGGGATAAATACCCTGGGTTCTGTCGGTGATTATTTTTATTTTTACTTAGCTTCTATTGTTTCCCATCATTGAGAGGTGAATTAAGTCGGACTTTGGATATTGTCAGGATGAGACCCATTACGCTCCTTTCCCTTGCTTCTTTCGCCTATGCGGAGAACCTTATTCCCACCACTTGCTTCGACTCCTACACTTCCCTCGAAGAGTACTTCTCCTACCTGTACCCATGGGGTAGCGACCACAACGGCTCAGCCCGCATGGTCGGCAACTCCACCGACCACGATTACATCTCCGTCGAGTCCGGCACACTGACGCTCGTCGCAAAGCCGACCACGGGCCAGCCGGCAACTAGTGGAGGCCAGGAAATTAACTATCTCTCTGGCGCAGTGCATTCCAAGAACACGTTTACTGTTGAAGCGGGCTCTGGTTTCGACATCGAGGCTGAGTTCCAGGCGACCACTGATAAGGGAACGTGGCCCGCTTTCTGGTTGAACAGCGCGGAGAGCTGGCCGCCCGAGATTGACATGGCCGAGTGGAAGGGTTGGTGTTGCTTGATACTTATTTCGTGTCAATCCTTTTGGCTGATAATTGGAACAGGAACGGGGCAAATTACCTTCAATGTCTTCAATGTGAGTTCGTTTATCTAATATCATATAAGTCAGCACAATTAACCGCAATATTGCAGACCTCTTCCGAAGTCATGAACCACAACACAGACTACCCGTCTCCGAGTGACTTCCACAAGGTCAAGACCCAGATCCGTGCCGAGAACGACGCCGATATCATGGTTAAGTACTTCCTCGATGATGTGGAGGTAACGACTCAATACGGGGCCGACTATGTTGGGAAGCCTTTGTATCTGTGAGTACTTGATAAGTCCTAGAACGGGAGGGAGATCTCATATATGATTTACACAGGCTAACATGCTGCAGGATTATCAATTTGCAGATGGAGGGATCATCCGGATCCCCTGGTCCTAGCACGGGTTAGTACTATCTGGTCTAGCTGTTACGGGACTTAGCTTACTGAATGATTAGACACCTATTACCGCGTGAAGAACCTATCTTTCGATCAGATTTAGAGGGGGTCCTAAATCTAGGAAGGACATCGGAGGATAGCTGGTAGGCAGAAGACCTTGAGGTCTATTGCAGTGGAAATTAGCGATCACACAACATTGCTGCAGCCCAAGGATCTATTGCCCTATCAGTAGGTTTGTGGAGAATATAGCCCTTGAATTTCGACTCTTCTTTAGATATCTGACTGGGGTAATGATGCCTACATGAGGCACCAACGGTGATGTACAAACAAGAGACCACACAACCGTAAGGCATGCCGCATTGAAGGAGGAAAGGTAGTTAAGATATGCGAGAAATAATTAAGATGCAATATGTCATCACTGAGCTCGAATTACTAGAAGAGCAAGAAACATTGCTATCAATCTTTGGATAACCTAATAACAACTCGGGACCACGTAACTGCGTCATCTCTTTTATGTTGAGATGTCATTCTGGTGGTACCCCGTTTCGCCAGGCTGCGGGTTAATTTTAGAAGATCTTCCATACGACTGCAGTAACTTGATGATAGCCATGTCCCCGTTCCTCTTAGCAAGCGACAGGGGGGTCCAGCCACAACTACCCTTAGATACTGGATTGGCACCATGCTCCAGCAGTAGTCTGATGGCAGTTTGATTTCCTTTCTCTATGGCCCGCAACAGCGGTGTAACCTTTTTAAGGTTGTTCCGAGAAAGTTCACCATTTAGCATTTCAGTTAGAATTTGTTGTCGGGCTCGCTGTGATAACCACGGAAGTTAGAATCAGTTACCAATTCGCCTTATTCAAGATAGGGTTCACTAACAATCCTTTCTTGAAACTCTGGTGGAAGATCAGCTAGCTCGCATAGTTTCCGATAAGTATCGAACACTGATTTGTACACTCTATTCACAGAAGGGTTGAGAAGTACAGTACGCCGAGTCTTTTCATGTCTTGGATGAAGGAGGATTGAATCGACAGCTTCCATCACGGGGTCATAAAGCACTTCAGCAATAAGAGTACGAATATACTTCCAATAATTATTCGGGTCTTTATCATTAATGTCTCCAAGGTTCTATAACAGTTTAAGAAGGCACCATCAGTACCAGTTCGCCTCTTAAAGCATCATATTCACTTACAAAAATCTGGACATCATCAATTGCAAATCCAGGAAGCGCCTATTAAGGCCCAGTCTAGAGTCTCAGCCATCACTTCATTGTCTCAGGTAATTCATGTACACTTACATTTAGAATATCAAGCTCCGCAAATCTCCGTTCTTTATGTCGAACAAGATCAAGTCTATACCAATAGTTCACCTGGGAGCCGTTCTTGAGGAGCATCTCGATACCTGTATCAAACTCGCGCTCGATTGCCCAAGCTAACGGCGTGCTATAGCTCTTATCCAATATATTAACATCAGCTGCGCTTTTCAGGAGGAGTGAAACCACCGCCGCATGCTGTCCCCAGGCCGCCCAGTGCAGCGGTGTCGCTCCAAGCATATCCTTACTGTTGATACCGGCCCTCGCCAAAATTAACTGCTTCGCCGCTGCTTCATGACCGTTTGCCGCGGCGTACATCAATGGCGTTCGATTATCGTCATCGTTAGAGTTCGGGTTAGCTCCTTCTTTGAGCAACAGTTTGACTATCACCTCATATCCTTTCCTTGCGGCGTATATCAATGGAGTTCGACTTTCTTCGTCTTTCGAATTAGGGTCCGCACTGTTCTCAATCAACAATTTCACCACTGCTTCGTGGCCTCTCTCCACAGCGTAAAGTAGTGACGTCCGACTCTCGGCATCTTGCAAATTCGGGTCTGCGCTCTTCTCAAGCAGCAATTTCACTACTGCTTCATGGCCACAATCTACGGCGTAAAAAAGTGGCGTCCGACTCTTGGCATCTTGCAAATTCGGGTCCGCGCTCTTCTCAAGCAGCAATTTCACTACTGCTTCATGGCTTCTCTCAACTGCGTAGAACAATGGTGTCTGACCATCTGAATCCCTAACATCTGGGCTTTGCGTATTTTTGAGAACCAACGTAATTAATTTCTCCAACCCAAAGAACACAGCAAGGTGTACTCCTGTTATCCGAGTCGGGGTTTCTTTGCCATAGTAATGTAGTGTTCCAGAGACCAGTGCCTGGTAGGCGGCAGATACCTTAGCTTCGCTGCCAAGAAAGCGCAAAATTGACCGTTGCTCTTCCTCCTCCATTGAAGTAATGCGAGCGTGATGGCCCCAGTTTTTTGCCGCATACTCATAAAGGGGATTGAGTTGTAGCCGCTGTCGAAACTCCTTTCGTGTCTCGCAATACCCACTTTCGAACGAGCTAAATGAGAGATATCTAACGCAAGTCGTCACAATATCTGATTCTACAGTTGGAAACCATTGCTCTTTCGTTCGATAAAAGTATTCTTGTGTCGTGTAGTGGACTAAACGGATGATGTCGCTCTCTTCATCAACTGTCACCAGCCCAGCGCACACGGAGACAATATCTGCGACCTGGGGAAGGTTGTCTTCGAGCTCTGGTTCGTCAATCTCCCTTACTGTTAGGGCATATTGAAGTTCCATCGTACTCAGTGGTCGTTTTGCGCAGGTGATCCATGACAGAACCTTCTTGGCGAACTTCACGGAAATTGGACCCTGGCGATTCACCCGATCCATAGCTTCCCGGTAGGCACAATCATAGGCCTTGGAGCCCCTCGGGAGGGTATCCAGTGCGGTCTTAATATCTCTTGGCAATTTCATATCCATAAGTGAGTCTAGATGGAGCTTTGCCAGCAGAAACCTGATTAACTGTTAGCTGAGCAGATCTTTTGGGAGTAATACATGCATTCCGTCTGCTGCTTCTACAATTGCGGTCGACACTCTTTCTCTGAGATCCACGCGTTTCAGAATGCGTGATTCGCATTGGAAACTAATTCGATCGTCCAGATATTTGCGTACATCGTCATGGCTGGCACGGATCTCTAGCGATTCACTTCCAGTGAACCTTTCTATAATTTCAGGAATGATCCTCGAAGTAGCAAAGAGGTTCACCCTACTCTTCGCCTGGAGAGCGAAGATCTCTGTCAAGAATCTTGTCCTGTAGCCGTCGGATGGTTGGCATTCATCCAGTGCGTCGATGATAATGAATACCCTAGAATACATGACAGCTATAGATTGCAAGGTACTCGCGATTTCTTCACAAGACGGCCGTGTCCGCGTTTTTATGTGCCTATCGTGTAGAGACCTCACAGTTTCTGGTAGAGAAGGTTGATTTTGAGCCAGCTGTTTAAGCAAACTCGATAACATTTCTTCAGGTTTCTGTTCATCTTGCCGATGGAAGTTGTAATAGAGGTACGCTATCCCAACATTACTGTCGTCCTTGAATCGTGTACCTAAATCATTGACGACAATTGAGGAGAGAATTGTTTTCCCTGCTCCAGGAATACCTGGACAGAACAATGTCTGCTTGGCGGTTTCGAGCCAGGTTTGGTACTTTGTAGAGTCCAGAAGCCATTGGCCAGTCCCTTGTTGTCGCCTCCTAAGGTTGTCGCTTTGCTGAGGGCCGTAGTCAATCTGCGTTATCCAGTCAAGAATGGCTTGGTGTTCTTGATCTCGTTTGTCATGAAGGATTTCCCCAACATCTGTCGAGATTTGGCTGACTGTCCCTTGCACCCCTTCGCGATTAGACAAAATTAGTACTTGCTAAAGTTATTGTTCTTAACCGCTGTTAGACTAACCGGAGAGAATGTCACCAATCCTCCTCTCAGCCTCAATCTTATTTGGCGGGATTCGGTCCAGCAGATCTCTCGCATACGCAGCTGCCACCATCGCCGCATACCCTTGCCACTTCTTATTCTTATGAGAGTCTGAGTAGTCGCATATACCACGAATGATCAGACAGGGAAAGTGATTCATCAGGCCTGCCGCTTCCATTTCAAAGCACAGAACATCCATCTCTGCTGCAAGTCTATCCCGTACAGAAGCATCCTTCATCAGCTGGTTTGCCGAAGCAATCAAGCCGTAATGAATAGCTGGATTATCCTCATATTCCGTCCGTTTGGGCCGCGAAATCAAGTGGAGCGGATCATCCCCACAGAGTTCCTCGCAGTCTGCTTCACTGTTTAAAGGATGAATAACTCCATTTTGATATAATCTGTCAGTGCTTAGGTCCGGTCGCTGATACCTCTTCTTCAGTCTTGGATTTTTCTTGAGGACATTATTGATGGCTTGTTCCAGCCGGTGCCCTTTGCTCTCATAATGCGCCTCAAGACCACTCACAGCAGACCGAAGCACTGTCGGTGGTTGGTTCAAGCATCCTGTGGGTTGGAACTTTTGATTTTGTATGGTTTTACCAAAGTCGTACTGGAACACACCACTCTTTCCATCGCGAGGAATGCTGACGACAATATCACCTAGACGGATGTCATGCTTTCGGCTTGGTGCACCCCCACCGATACCCACCATTAGGCCGATTCTGATGTTGGGAAAGCTGTGCAGCATGTCTCTTGCGACGCTTGCCGCGGAACATAAGCCATACTCGCCGCTAGGCAAGCCTGCAATGACAACATTATGCCGCCCAGCTCCCCCTAGAGTGTAATTGTTGTTGTCGTTCGGGGATATACAGTCCGGTATCTCGTGCTCTTCGTCCAGAAATTCTCTCGCAGCTACGAGTTCTGGCTTTATGGCGCATATCCAGCCGACCGTGTAAGCGTCAGGTGCTAATTGCTGCATAGTCTCTCAGCCGAAGTCTCTCTTCAACGTCGTCGGTATTTTGGGTAGTCCTTTGGGAATACATCAACGTTCTTAGTCTTCAAGTGAATAACCATGCATGTAGGGGATCAATCGAGCCCAGTTCTGCCTGGCTGCAGAATTTCTTGGGTGAGTTCTCATGGGTTCAACATCTCAAATGAGGGGAAAAGAGCGGCGAACGGAACAAGGCTGAAGACTCAACCTCACTTAAAACGCCTAACCAAGTATAACAATTCTGCCTCGTTGAACGGAGCGAACTATCATTTAGTCACCTGTGCCATTATGCGTTTGCTTCCATGTTTAACAGCCAATAAAGCCACTGAAACCCCTAGAGTTTGACCCGAATCTAACTATAGTTAGAATAGCTTCTATCATGTGAGGGATGAAATGAGTTTAAACGTGCTAATCGCGGGAGGTGGAATAGGGAAATCCCGCTGCCAATGCGCCCTGGAGCCGAATCTTATTAGCCATATTGTCGTAAACAATATCTCGGTCCAGGTGAGGGTGGCAGCTTTCATAAAGCGGCACCTGACCTATCACTTCAGTATAGTCGACATAGAGCGCTCTGTTTATTCGGTCACTGCCAATTCGGCACTAAGGGGCAACATTCTGGTATTTTACAGCTGAATTAAATCACTACTTCAAAGAATAAACTGTTGCTAATTTGTTGGATAAGGCCAGTAGTAAAAGCCACTTCGTAGGAAGATCCGGTAGGAAAGGGTTAATTACCTTCGAGATATTGCCAAACGTAGTACCACTAGCCTAACGGGGCTTAGATGAATATCGGACAGTCTACGCCAGAATTAAAGAGCCCAAGACACACCAGCGCCTTGTTAGGCCTGCATCTCCTGCTGAGGGGTTCAAGTTGGTCAATGAATGCAAGCCCTGCGTGATTAGAATAAGGTCAGATTGCTATTCAGAGTTTAGATTACCTTGATGATAACACCTAAGGATATAAACACCCCATTTGTATGGGACCGCTGATTTGGAGTATCTACAAGGGAGTCACTATGATCAGAGTCCAGACGGTCTCATATGCCTGGATTGCGCCTGTATGATATATTAGCCGCGCTGTGACAATAAAATCAAAAATATTCATAAAATTGGAAGTTTTGTAGACCACTATAGAATTATCTTCTATTTTTATTTATTAGATATAAAGTAGATCAGGTCAATCAGACAATCTACCTAGGTTCTAATCGGTAGGGTTGCCTATGAACACAAACCCGCATAACTGCATAATAAAATTACTGACTAAGCCGCATAACGAGCCATAACGTCACAGCATCACACAACCAACTCCAACTCCATCCCTCAATAAGAACTACATTCTCCATTCCAACACCTCCCTCTCCCTCACCCACAAAACAAACCCAAAAAACCCACAAAAAAAGATGGTCCTAGAAAACGCCCAAGCAGACTCTATCCCTCCAACGGGCGTCGAGCCAACCAACGACAGCGACACCACCTCAAACACAAAATACCAGTACCACTCGCTCTATATTAAACGCGACCTAATCGCCAACCCGGACCCATTCACCCTCTACTTCGGATTCTTCGGGCGATGGAACTATGACCGAAAAGTAACCGCTAATGTACTCCGCCGAGTCGAAAATGCGCGCGTTCTCATCCAGCGACTCCCTACACAAGACGAACTAGATGCGATGGTCACACACAGCAGTCGCAGCTTATACCAGGAGCGGATTGGCGCGCCATTGGGAGGACTCGTCGGGTCAGGGCTGTTGTGGATGCAGGCCAGGAAGTCGGAATTGTTTCCGGCTTATTTCCCCAAGGCTTCCGGGCCGGAGGGGAAGATGCCGTCTCCCGGGGAGATTGTGCAGGCTGCGAAGAGGTTTGTGGCTGCTGAGCCCACGGTAGCGAGACGGGCGATTTTTGTGACGGGTTTCAAGTTGTTGTTCTATAGTGTCGCGGGCGCGACATTCTCGAGTATTTATGCTGTTTATAAAGAGACGACGAATACGATGGCAGATTCGCGGTTGAAGGAGTTCTTGGCGGATTTGAAAAAACAGAATCCCGAGGAGATAAGGAGAAGACAGATGGAGTCCAGGGGCCGGAGGTCGGTGGGAGAGCAGCAAGGGGTTGTTGAGATGAATCAGGGTGGTGATTACGCTTCGGAGTATTCGGGTGGTGACGTTCAGTCTACAGGGGTATCTGGTCCTGATCGTCCTCCGGTGGTAGAACCTGTTAGTCTTGGTGGCGGATTGGGTGCTGATCAAGCCCGTGGAGGAGATTTCTTCGACGAGGATGATGCGAGTCCCACGGCGCCTGAGTATAGAACCCATCGGGGCGCGCAGGCTGGTTACTCGCAGGGAAGCGCCTGGGAGCGGATTCGACAGCAGAATGCTTCTGCGCCTACTCCGTCTAGTCGCCAGGATACATCCAGCCAGCAGTCACCACAGTGGGACTCATGGAGCCCCCCGTCATCAGAGAGTGACAAGCAGCGGGAGAGGGAGCAAGCTCGTGCGGAATTTGAGCGGTTATTGGATGCGGAACGGAATATTGGACAAGAGTCGGCGGGCGAAGCGCGTAATAAAGGCTGGGGGAAGTGGAATTGATTGCCCTCTAGTAGACTGACACAGTGTATTATACTAACTACCCTTGGTTTTGCGATGCAGTAGGTTCTGAGTCTGGGGTGTGGGCTCATCAATGTATATTAACTGTATGTGGCATACGTTTGGCATCGTTCATGAACATCATATTATCTTCTAGCCCGATTACCACTAATAGTGGTAGACAACCAAGGAAATCAAAGCATTGTGAGAGTGACGGAAGCCTGTGCACTATATCGCAACAGGACCCATCTCAATCCCAGATACAAAGGAACTTTTCCTTGTCCTTGCAGACCCGATCTGAACAAAGAGGAGTAATACGCGGGAATAAACAAAAGTCCAAGAAAGGCACACAGACAAGTTCACCGTGTGTTACTCGGGGGACAAGAATTTGTCATACTGTCAGGAAGGGTATACATCCAACAACCGCATAATGCCCTTTAATGAGTCATAACAGGGCGTAACAGGAGGCAAAAGGAAATGTCGTTAGTCATGAAGGTCCGAGAAGCAGACCACGTCTAAAAAATTAATTGCTAGTAGCAGAACAAAAAGGACATCGAGAACAAGAACAAACTAAATAAAAAGGAGAAAAGGAAAAGAAAAAGGAAAAAGAAAAAGAGAAAAGAGAAAAATAGAAGAAAACAGACAAAGAAAGACCGGCGGAGAGTATCAAAATGGCCTAAATGCGATTGCCGGCAATGGGTATACTTTCATACGGAAAATGCGATTCAGCCCAATTATCGGGTGCCCGATTAACACTGCCCATACGGGCCAGGTTGCGAATCTTGCTGGAGAAGCTTTCGTTCACGCTTTTGCCGCGTCGGTGCTCAAAGGACATACGGCGGCGATGTAATGTCGGTTGTGTCTCCATGTTCACCGCGGGTCCGGCTGTCATAGCGCGAGGTAGGAGCTTTCCCATGTTCTCGTTGTCAATAGCGATGTCTATGGTCCCTGAAGACTCGCGAGGAGAAGCACAATCCATCACAGGAGCAGGTGGTGGCGGGGGTGGGAGAGCGTTCAAGTGCTGCAGCTCTGGTAACATAGGAGGAGTTTCGTAATGTTTCAGTTCCATCGCGTTCTCGATTCCCTCGTCGATGCTGATATCCACTGGAGAGCCTCCATAGCTGTATCCGCCTTGTTCTCTCGAGCTTTCCCGGCGATGGCCCATGTTCCGGGTTCTGCTGGTTGAGCGGCTTCTCGGGAGGTGTGGATTAAATCGCGGATGCATTGGAATGTCGGATGGCACTGTTCCAGGTTGTTTTATTTCGGGCACTGGAACAGACATCGAGCGACCAATTCTCTCAGCATCGGCCTGATACCTGGCGTCACTCAGCAGAACAGTGCTGTCCGGAACATTCGGAACAAGGGGAGCAGTCTCCTGGTTATACTTTGGGTGTCGCATAGCCCTGGGTGTTGTGGCCAGCCCCGGCGGCCCGGACTGGGATGAGTTAGAGTCCGAGCTGCTTCGGTGCTCTGGAGGTGCTTTGCTTGATGAAGCTCTCCGTCTTCCTGGTGTACGTGGGCCAAATGAATTGGCAGAAAATGGGGGGCTTTCTGGAATAGTGCGACTCAGTTGCAGTTCTCCCGGAAAGGGGATGTTGGGCGCGGATGGATTCCGCGCCAGTGAGAGCCGTCGTGCCTCTAGTTCCGCCGCTGCGAGCTCCTTCCTTCTGTGTTCAGACAGCCCAATTTGTGGTACAGCGGGAGGTACAGTGGCAGAGTGAATGGCCCGGCTGTCTTCCGTCGGCATCTCATGGTCGCTTTGAGGTATTATCTCGACGACAAGTCCACGGGAAGTTGTACCCATGTTATACTGTTCATGTTCCGTTCCGATCTTGGGCTCGGGATCATGGCGACTCCGGGATCCCGCTCTTGGTTCTGCTTTTCCTTTGTCCGGACGTCGGCTGCTACTTCGCTGGTGAGATCTCCGTTCTCGATCACTGGCTACTAGCCTGAAAGCATCGTCTGTAGTAGACGTGGGTAATGGAGGTGAAGGCGATCTATCGTAGGAGCCCTTCCTGTCAGCACTGCGTCCACGGTCATGTTTCTCGGTGCCGACCCGATTAGCTGTATGGCGACTAGAAGAACGATTGTTCCGACGCTCTGATGAGTTTCGGGAACGTGTCTTCCTAACTCTGCTCGCACTGCGTGTCTTTGAACGCTGTTTCGCTCGACGAGTGTCGTCGTGGTTCTCCTCAGCGGCGTGGTAACGGGCTATCTCCTCGGGGGACATCGGGACCGGCGAGGAAGGAGACCGCTTGGCGGGTGGGATATACCTCCTGTCGTGTCGTCCACGTGCTTGCTGGGATGTGTTCCTCGAGTGGTGCCGTCTTTCTGAAGTCTGACTGGCCGTTTCATCCATATTGCGCGGTCCTACACCATTGGAGCGATAGTTGTGATGCTTCTTTGAGTGATAGTTC